GCCCTTGGCCGCCCTTGGCGCTCTGGTCATATCCAAAAATCATAGGATACCTGTAATTTATATCCTGAGAGACCGTGATGACATCTTGCGCGCCAACCCGGTGGTCCACGACAGCGATATGCCGTTCCTCGCTGAACTTCCAGTGTATAACTTGGGGCAGATCGTCTTAGACCTGAGGTCATTGCACGTGTTACAGAGTGTAACATTGACCAGTTCAACGTGGACCCGGTCCTTTGGATAGGCTTTTGACAGCAGCCTATCTAAAAGCTTGCGGATCGCGTCCACGAATCTCGTGTCTTGAGTCTGGCCATTTCTATCTCGTTGCTACGAAGTGGAATCGGTCAGCTCGGTGAGGGTGGTGGGGTCGCCCCGACGTCCGCGTCGATCGGCTGCGCGGTTGTCGGTAATCGGCCGCCGGCTGCCGGCTGCCGGCTGCGGGGTTAGCCCGATGTCGCTTGACACACCGAGATCCCTCGCTCCAGTTCTTTTCTCTATGCCGTGAACATTGATGACATTCCGTGTCCACTACTTGGCCACCGTTCTCCACCACCAGCCAAGTTCCCGAAGATCTTTAGCTGCGTAACTTTATTGGCCATTCGCTGCAGATGGTACTCTTCTTCGCGGGATCTTGTCCCCATGGATTTTCCCCCATCCGATTCCACACAAATGGGTATGGATCATCGAGAAGTGAAAATTTGGATGCCCTACACGCCAGACGCAAAGACCAAGACTGGATTCTCATAGCAGGGCTGCACTTTTTCGCGGTCTGGATTCGTGCGCGGTCTTGTGTTACTCTCTTACAATTCTGTGTTTGGGGGTGACTTTGCTCAAACTTATTTTCGTGAAAGTTGCCCGACGGGGATCTTTGGTTGTCGAACAACCGAGATAACAAGGAATCGTGCCGTTTGCTATTCCTTGACCTACATAGGTGTCTGTACTAAGAAAATTGGCATCCTGGTTTGCATTTGTATGCGTTGCCGTGTTCTTGAAACCGAGCAACGCACTCGCGTCCAAAGACAGCCAGGTATTGCAGCTTCAGTGAAATTCGACAATTTCCGAGCTCGTGAGCTTCTTCCGATTTCCAGGTTTCGCCGCCCGCCTTTTCATGAAGCCCTAGTCCATTCTACGATTCATCGACCAGATAGCGCCAGGTCATGTCTCATAGCACGCGGGCTCCTGACGGCAGTCAGCCGCATCTTGGAAGCGGTTCCCCCTTCACTTACGCGAAAATATCTGCCATCGAAGCGAGGGGAGCAAGGCAACTAGGCAACTAGCCACGTTCGCGGCTCTGCCTGATTCCACTTGAAGAATATTGATAGGGCCGCTGGATCCAACGAGTTCTACCCGTGCTAGTGATGGACGCAATATGGCCGTAGAACAAGATCTCTTTCTCGTTCAGATTCACAAGCCGTAAAGCTGCAAACTTGGCTTGAGCCAGCGATTGCAGGAAGGAAAAATAGGCCGTACCCCGTCCTATTCCTGTGAGTGGGAAAGAGAAAGAGAAGCATTGCGCAGAAGAACAAACGCTGGGCGACTCGATCATGTAGTGATATTCGACGCTCGCCCAAGCACTCTACAGCCATATTTGACAGCCGGCTTAGCGAATAATCATTTTCTTTATGTGGCATGCATGCTGTTGCAAAGTGGTGATGTCAGAGTTCCGCGCCTTCTCTACGCGGAGTCGGGGTGCCTGTGTGTTGAAGCCAACGCCAGACTAACGGAAAGTTGCTAAGCAAGGGTCTTGGGGACGGAAAACTCAGCTGGTGCCAGCATATCTTAACCGCAAATCTCTAGGCCACGTTCTTTGCCATCGACAGAGTTCGTGGCAGAAACGGTGAATCGGCTGGAACTGTCCAATTTTTGTTTTCAGCGACTATCGTCGCTGCCCCTCTGCCCCTGCTCCTGAGGGCCAACTACTCCATATTGCGTCTCCTAAAAGCTAGTACATAATTTTGAGTATCTTGCCTCGATTTGAGGCGGCTCTAGGGCACGCCGCCCCGAAACTTTACATCTCCCAGGCGCTCCAGAATGTAGCCAGACCTCGTGGCAGAAGTGCTTCTGGCCAATGGTGATGGACTAAGAGGGAGAGGGAGTCGAGTTGCAGACCACTGGACGGGAGATGGACACGCAGATCTGCGGTGAGTGGTAGCTTAAAACGTTTGGCCGCAGGGGGAATAGGGTACCCCGGCTCGTTTGGGAGAGGAAAGGATTGGATTGGGTGCGCATCGCTGGCAGGCTTTCCTGGTGGCTGGGGATGGACCTCGAGTGGAATGGGTTTCCCGCCGTGGTGGAGCAAGATTGGGGTTTGTTTCTCGAATGGCGAACGCAACGGTTGAGGAGGATTCGGGAGACGCTGCTCCCGCCCAATGGTACTGGTGTCTATCTCTTCGAGCGGTCGACGACTCGGAACGGATGTTAGGACGCAACGGAGCGGGCAACTGTGAGTAATGCTCAAGACGGCGTGCCTAATGTGCACGTGTAACGCCTGGCACTCCGGGAGAAGGCGGCAATACGGGTATGGGTTGTCTTGGGCGCCGAGACTTTTGGCGCCGCAAGCTGCATCTAAACTGGTAGCGTTCTGGCTCGGCGGCGATCAGTAGCTCGCCATTGACGATCCGGGTGGCTGGTTTCAGCCCGGCTAAAGCCTAAGAGTGCTTGGGACAAAGTTGGACTATTTGCATATATATCCAAATAGGTAAGTGACGGATTAACTCCGATGTGCCCGAGTTGATGATGGATGCATTTTGACAAAGTCAGCTCAGGGCCAACTAGAGTTTCTGAGTAGGAATGAAGGATTAGGATATTGGCGACCCAGAGAGAGACGGTAAGTTATGAGCAGGGCGGACGGGAGGAGTCCTCTCAAACGAGGAGAAATACGGAGCAAGAAGAGAGTTCGATACAGGCTCGGCCATTCGATGATTGATGGCTAGACGAGGGAGGCGAGACAAGATCGCGGTGCCGCCGAAGCCTGGGCCAACGGCCAGGTAAGAGCTCTTCCCTTTACGGCAGCCCGGTACGTGCATCGCCCAGAACAGCAAGCTGCCTTATCCGCAACCTACCTCTCTATCTTAGGTAAGCTTAAAGTGGACAAGCTAGGATAGAGTTGGTTAGCGAGTGGTAGTAATTAATGGAAATCCCATTGGATCGATTCTTTTTTGCGGTCCGACTGATCCGAAGACACTTTACCACAGGGCACACATTCCGACTTTCCAAGAATTGTTCTCAATAAGCCTGAACGTGAGGGTTGCACCAGGTATTCTGGCCTGATCATCACGCCCAAACGTCTACCCACCCAAAACAAGGGCGACCTAGTCACACCTGATCTCCGATGGCGCTGGTGAATAGGAATCGTGGAGGGGTGCAGCAAGGCATGTAGATAACACGCAGCCACCTGGTGGGAATTGGTATGTGGTTGCAGGTTGTTCCGTTGTTTGTGCGTAGAGTGACATGTGTCACTAGGGAATTGTGCTTTCAAGCTTGTTTTTCTGTCCGAGTGCTGCAGCAACTAAGTACGGATATTGCCGCCGTCGTCTCCTCGGGTCCGTTTTACTTGCACACGTTTTCTTTGTGTGCCCGACTAGTAAGGTAGCTTGAGATGGTTGGCTTGAAATGCCTTACAGGTCCCAATCGTTCGCAACTCTTCAGAGTGGTGAGAAGAGGCATTCGTACAGCTAAGCAGCAGTGAGCGCGGTGCTAATGCCATCCCAGCGCGATAACCCCTGCCCCCCCGTATCCCGGTTTCGACCAGTTTCGGGCAGGTCGACCTGCCAAGGAAACGCACTCGCACTCCAGCTGCCCATGTCCGTCGACGGTTTGCCGGTTCCAGGCCAGGGCCCACGACATGGCATTCCAAACCAGACATCTCAGGGTAGTCATCCGTAGCTAAGGTGGGTAAGGTGGTAAGGTACTCCGTATTCGTAGGTACATACCTCTGTTGCCGCCCGCCAGACAGGTACCACCACTGTAGAATCGTCATATGAATACGAGATAACCCTTCCTCAGAATTCTCCCCATCCACACTCGTCCATCCATTCATCCATGTTTACGGCCTGCCTGTGCCTCTCCTGTTCACTCCCCTCCTCTATCCTCTGCTCCTGCTTCTGCCTCTCCTCCTCTCCCTTCCAGCTCGCCTGCCAGCTTCTTCCCCAGACTATTCGTCTCTGATTCAGGACCCTGACCTGATCCCGCCTGGTCCGTCTGCGCAGCACCCGACCCGCCGTCTGCAACTGTCCGCTGTCCCGCCAGATTCACCGCTGCAGAGTGCAGAGTGCCAACAGACTGCAGCTTGCTCCCCTGTCTGAGAATCCAGAATCACGCCAGCGCCCTGCCAGTCCGGCCATCCTTACCGTCGGTTCTGTCGCCGGTTTGGGGACAATCTTGAATATCAAAGACAAAACCCCTGCAAGTCGAGTATTATCTTGCACCTGCCTCCCGCCGCTACGGACCCTTTTCGCCCCTACCTTACGGATACCTTGCCTCTCTTCTTCTGAGGCTTTTTCCAACGTGCGCCGTCAAACTACAATATTCCAACAACAACTACTTCTCCGCCAATCTTCACGACGACTTGGCTCGATTACCCATTGTGCCGTTCGTCGCCCCGGCAGAATATTGCTTCGACCTCGCGCAGAAACGTACTAGTCGCTCAAGATCCCAGTCGAGGCAACTCAAACAGCTCCATCTCGTCTCGGATAGGACCCTGAGCTCTCCACCATTCATCAAGGCACTTTCCGCTGCTTCGGGAAGCCCACCTACGATCTTCCGTGTCCTCCGAACCACGACCAAACTTCGCCCCAGCCAAGGCATGCGACAGCGTTGAATACCTACATGTCTCTTGCCATTGCTACCCGGCACTTCGTTCGATTCTCTCCAGACATCACCGCTCCAGCCACAACATAACCTGCCTTCGCTGTCTCGGTCTGCACACCCCTCAGCGTCCTTCGGGCATATTGGCCCAGGAGTTCTCGAATCGCCTGGTCGCTCCTTTGCGCCAACCGCCCACAATGGCCCGATTCGAAGGCTCGGCCTCACTCGCCACGGCCCTGCTCGTCCTATTCAGTTTCCTCGCTACGGCTTTGGCGGCCACAGAGACTGTCTATATCACTGGCTCAGACAAAGATGGCAATACCAAACAGCTCGCGGTCAATCGCAATCCCGGCCTCTACACTGGCGACTTTGGCGACTGTCTTGGAGGACAAAGTTTGTTCAATATCACAAAATTCGATGCCTCATACTACGCCGACAACATGACCGTACAGTTCCATCTGGACGGTACCACCAATATCAAGAACGAATCATTGATGAGTATGTTCAACCGGATCTGAACTGCCACACATGTACTAATTGTGCTGCAGTGCATATCAACGTCGAAGCTTGTAAGCTGAATCCAAAACTAGGGACGAACCTATACGCAAAGATGGGGTATGCTGACTTGAGGTAGACGGCGAGACAAGATTCGATATGAGCTTTGACCCCTGCATGACCAACATCGCTAGGTGCGTCCGAGTCTCTCCGGCTTTCAATGCGGTTTGCTAACCGTACCAGTCTATGCCCTCTGAACGCCAGCGTACCCATCGCTGCATTTGCAAGTTTCAGACTTACGCCCGCGCAGATTGACGGCATTCCATCGATCGCCCTCGATATTCCCGATTTCGAAGGTACCGCACGCATTCAGATCTTCGCAAACTCGAGTCGAACCCAGATAGGATGTTTCCAAGCCGTCATGCGGAACGGCAACAGCTTCTCCCATCCGGCAGCAATATCGTCGATACTGGGTGTCTTCACACTCGCCGCTATCCTGGCTTCTGCGGCGACCGCGATGTATGGTGTCAGCATACCTCATGTTAGGACACACTACGCTCATTCCCTTTCAGTCCTGGTGATCTTTGAGACCTACCAGACCGTCTTCTTCTCGGGCGCCTTGTCCGTCGACTGGCCCAGTGTCCTACCCGCTTGGTGGAGCAACTTCGGATGGGCTGCCGGCATGATATATAGCGAGAAAGTAATCAATTCGATCGACGGTTTCGCAGGCGTGACTGGTAATGCCAGCCAAGTAGGCGGTGCAGGATCGACTGTCATCAACACTGGCGGTGGCCTCATCCAGCAAATCTACGGGCGCTCGCTTGAGACTCTTTCTACCTCTTCTAGCAATGGCGCGTCCGTTCCGAATCTCGTGCAACGAGCAGCTAGGGTTTACAACACGAGCAATCCATACGAATACTACTGGGCAGGCGATCCCGTCGCTCCGGGCATGCCTACGCCTGGCAAATGGATTGGGTTCGCCGGAGACCTATCTGCCCTCGGCATCCCGGCCGCCGATGCTTTCACCCTTGGACTGATCTGGTGGTTGGTAGCCATTGGACTGGTTGCCGTCTCCATCATTGCGTTCAAGTTCATGCTCGACATGCTTGTTCAAGTAAAGCTGATCAACCAGGATCGATTCTTGTACTTCCGCAATCATCTGGGCGGATACCTTGCAGTCGGAGTTTTGCGCACCCTGCTCGTTTCGTTCTTTTCGTTGATGACACTGGCGCTGCTTCAGTTCAATATTCGCGCGCCAGCCGGGCCGACAGCTGTCGCGGCTATCATATTTATCTTCTTGCTCATCGGCGTTGGTGGCCTTGTAGCCTACGCTTGTTTTTTCCGCCTCCGGCTTGGCAAGTATGAAATGGGCCCCGACACAATCATATTTGAACAGGGCAAGCTCTTTGGCTCGATACCAGCGGTTGCAACAACGCGTGCCAGCGACATTGGCGAAAAGGAAACTACTGCAAAACGCTATGGATCGATACCTTTCTTCAAGATCCGATTCATTGACGACGACCCAAATCGGACGACGGTGCACCAAGACGAGGTTTACATCAAGCGGTTTGGCTGGCTCTCGGCTCGTTATCGTCGGACCAGGTGGTGGTTCTTCGCCTGTTGGCTAACTTACCAATTTATTCGGGCCTGCTTCATTGGCGGGGGAGCGCGAAGCCCCCTTGCTCAAGTATACGGATTATTCGTTTTTGAGATCATCGCATTCGTCGTTTTTGTTAAACTAAACCCTTTCGAGAGCCAGAGGAACACGTCGTTGGCGATCTGGATGCTGGGCATTACGAAAATCGTCACCGCAGGTTTCTCCATTGCCTTCTTACCCGCATTCGCTATTGGAGGCATACTCTCGACGGTTTTCGGCATCATCATCATCGTCGTCCAAGGGTTCCTTGTTGTTGCGGTCCTGATTCTCGTGATCCTGTGTGTTGTATCATCATGGATGTCACTTTATCGAAATCGCGAACAGTTTCCAGAAGCATTGGATGGGGTTCGCATCAAGTACTACGAACACATTCAAGCCAGAGCTACCGACCTCCCGCCACCACCGAAGCCAGAGCCGACGATACAAGAGCCTCAAGAGCCACCACAGCCATATTTTTCTGTCAATAGCGTTCGCCGGAATCGCAAGATTGAAGATGATGACGAGGGAGACCAGATTGGAGACATCATTCGGCCGCACAATGCTTCAGTAGTTCAGTTTGCGCCAGGGACTACCACCCGACGAATCCGGACAAACAGTGTCAGCTCGCGCTACTCAGTTGGTAGCTTGCCGCGCCGCGCAAGACCCCATCGCACCTCGTGGAGCTCAGCTGATTTTGCTGAATGGGATGCCAACAATAATACGGATCGGCCCGCATCGTCGCTTGCACACCGTAGCAGTTTCGGTCATCAGCGTAATGGCTCATTGAGACAGATGTCACACTCTGAGTCGCAGCCTGATCTTGCACGCTCAATCAACAACTCGCCGGCGCCTGCAAGATCCGTATCGATGTCGAACAACGAGCTACGTCGTCTCATGACTCCAACCGAAGAGGTTCCAGAGGAGAATGTGATGACGCCCGGACACATGGCTGAGCCTGAGAAACCAAGCGCCGCTAAATCTAATGATACCGCCATCTCTCCTATTCACGAGAGGGACGAGCATGAGACCAAGGAGGGAGATGCCTCTCCTTTTGAGGAAAACTCCCCAAAGGCTTGAGCTGCCATCACGAACATCAAAAACGAAATGGTTCCATAACCATACTGCATCAGAACTCGACACTACAAGCGTCTCCATTTCGATACCACGTCGATATTGGTTTTATTATTCTGGCATTACACTGCATAGATGGTCAAGATATTTGGCCTTTACGAACTTTCATGAGAAATGATTACCGGGCGTTGGCGGGAATGCTCATTTGAAAAAAGGACCCATCTTTATAATGGCACTAATGTGTGGAGTACAGGCCAGCCGGCTGTTACTCACATTTGGAACGTGCACATATTTGTGCGGCCTCTGTATGAGCCGCAGTACATGGATACACAGTTCAGCATAGAAATTGAGTTGAAAGATAGATATAGAAAACAGTATAAAGTCTTCACTTGCCTTCAAGCATATTTCTTGATCAAGGCACAAGCTGCTGATTAGATATGGGCACAAAGGCACACGCTCAATCTTCTGACTACACAGACAAGTTAAGAATTCGCTTGTGTCACCCACTCTCAGCCACAAATGTAAAAGCTCCCGAGAGATCCCAGCCGAAAAGTAGTGCAAGAAAGCAAGAGACTGTATAGAGAGCACCGCCACTTGTCCTAGCTCGGCTCCGCCACAAGAAGAGGCCGGGCACTCAGGGTGGCAAGCAATTAAGCAACTGCGGCGATGAAAAAAGCTTCGCTCATGCTCTGCGATGTCATGCAAACATGGGACGGGTGTTATAGAGTTGCAATGGTAGCAAATGATTCGCGCTGGTGATGTGGCTGATATTTGCGGGTTAGATACTGGGAATCAGATGAATTGCAACTCTTTCCATTTGGACTGGGGGGGGGCATCAACCGAGAAAACTAGGCGCAGTTTCCTGCGCGTGCCCTTGCTAGGAAAGGCCATTACTTCGGCTATCTCTCATGTAGATGCCGCGCTCCCCAATCCGGAGGCGATGGGCGGAACGCACTTCTCTCCAGCAACACTTGTTTTCTTGAAGCGTCAACAGCGGAGGCTTTGACGATTCGGTTTGGACCCGGGCGACTGGTGCCAAACCTAGGGATGGGCTTTTCGGGGCCATATTGATGCTCCACTTTCACCCGTCATCGAGTGCGGAGGAGCAACCCCGAGCATGTGCCCCCGACGGCAACAGTGCCGGGACCATACCCCATTCGGACCATAGAAGCGACTACCTGATTAGGCGGAAGCGAGTGCGAGCTAGGATGGGGGCACCCTGGACGTCAGCAACGCCGCCACTTACACTCTGGCCGTTCTTGCCGCCGGGCAGGATGAGGCACTATGAAGACGACGCGGGCGTTGAGACGCAGTATTCAATCACAAGAAACCGAATGGTATGGACGAGGAGAAACCCGTCGTCATCCAGACGAATGGGGGCGGGGTGAAAATCTGTCCGACACTTACGCGGTCACAGAAACATCCTACAGAGGAGGCTTTCGCAGCCACGCTTTCGTCTGAAGTTGTCCGTCGGACACCCGACGCGCACTGCCATTGCCGTATTCGCTAGATTCCCTTCACGGCTGCCAACTCCCAGGGTCATTGCTCATGTCATTCAGTCCGCTCCCCCCAACCCCCAACCCCCAACCCCCAACCCGACTCGGCCCCTCTCTGAGAACAGTTGACAGGTTTATATTAAGCTTGTCTGCCCTGCTCCCTCATCTCGTGTAAGGTCTCATCAAAGCATAGACTTGCGCAAGGCAGCTTCTTACCAAGCATCATCAGCCAGACCCTCAGCACGACAACAAGAGAAATTATCTTTCCCACTCCATTGGCAACCGTAATTCACACCAAACTATAACTCCCACCCTTCTAGACAGAACCAATCATGTGCTGCCGAAGACGCCGTGCAGCCCGACAAGCCTGGCTCGAACAGCGGGCGCTAGGAGGACGCGGCTGCGGCAGCCGCCACAATGGACCCGGCCCCGGAGGCCCGCCCTTCCGTCCCCCTTGGGCAGGAGGCGGTGGTGGCCCCCGCTTCGGCCGATGGCGAGACGCCCCCCAAGACCCGTTCCAAGATCGACAAGTTACCACTCCTCCTCCTCCTCGCAATGAACCAGCCACCAGAGACATTGAGAAAGGTGCCGTCGAGCCGACATTCAAAGACGTCGAAAAGGGTACGCCTTCCGCTCCCGCTCCCGCTCCCGAGCCCGAATCCAAGAGGGTGTCGTTCATGTCTGGCCCTTTTGGACGTTGGAGAGATTCTGTGAGGAGGTCCTCTTCGAACGCCACGTTGCCCCCTAGGTACACGTCTGGGGTCACCGAGGCTCCATACTGGGACACTGAGCAGGCGGGGCACAGGCAGTCGATGCCGCCGAATTACGATGTGGCTATCAAGAATTGAAGGAGCTGTGTCACGCGAGATATTGAGTCGGTACATCAGGGCAGTGGGTTATCTTAGTCTGCAGATGGTACAGGTAGCAAGTCTGAACTGATTGGAAAGGGTGTGTACTTTTTATTACAAAATTATAGAGAATTATGCGGATTACGTTATTTACCGTTCAACTATGCGCACCGGGTATTTTGAGGTATGAATCCAAACAAAACCAGAAAGCAATACATCCAACTCCCTGCAACATCGCTCGAAATAGGAACAGTCAACTGTACCATATACCATGTGTGGCGAAGCTCAACAACGGTTCTACGGGTGCTCTTCCACACCGATCGCTCGGCTTATTCCCAGTCCTCATAACCCCCCGCTCCGTAGGGGTTCCATTCCTGGCCAGGATAGCTCGTCGCGCTCATCTGAGGCACATCCGCCGGCTCCTCTTCTTTCCTATACTTGACTCCTCCAGACTGCAACTCCTCGTAAGGGTCGACCAAGATCTTCTCCTCCTGGGCTTCACGTCGCATGGTCCTCTGACGTTCATCTTCCGTGTCCTCTAGCTCGGCTCTCGTGCTCTTGCCTCTCGCTAGTGTGGTTGAGGCCCCTTGGTTGGCATTGCCATTTGCGTGGCTGGCATTTCGAGGAGCTTCGTCGGCAGAGCTGTCGCTGACCATGCTGTGGCCTGTATTCGCAGCGATTATAAGCTGTGCCGACGGCTGGGACGGTTCAGACGGCAGTCGTGGTGTAGATTCGTAGATGTCGTTATCCTTGGGTTCCTGATTTACTTGCTGCACGTTGACGCTGAGGCGAGGTGCCGGAGGTGCCGTAGGTGCTGGCGCTGGCGGCTCAGACGACATGATACTCTCTACCACTCCTTGCGCGCCGTCTGAAACGCTGCGTGAGCTGTCTCCCGTCATACTTCCTGCATCGATCGCGAGCCCTTGTGTCGGCTTGGCGTGCTGGTGCTGGTGGGGAGATGAATGCATGTCAGGTGCGTTTCGGGCCACATTGTTGGCGAACGATTGCGCCTCAGGAAAGCTGTTCTCTGGCTCTCCCTGAATCGCTCCCTGAACTTCTCTGCTATGGCCTTGTTGTATCTGGGGAGGTGCTCCACCTAGTGCCGCCGTATCGACAAGGGAGAATGGTTGCTGTTGAGGCTGCTGCGTTGGCGGCAAAGTCTGCTGACCGAACTGCGGGCCCGAAGCCGCGACCTGGCTGTCATCATGACTCACTGACCGTATTCCTCTCGAGTCCTGTTGTGTCTGACGTTGCTGATTGGAAATTGGCATACCGCCTTGGGGGCCGGCGGGTGCCGCATGTGTGCTGTGGCTGGTGTGCGAGATATTGGACTGATGAGATGCCATGCTCACACGGCGGTCACCCTCAGGCCATGCAGCTGCCTGTGGGTGGCCCTGGAGCAGCTGCTGTCCTGGTGGCATGGGAGGGCTTGGGTGACTGTACAAAGAGATCTCAGAAGGATGTCTCTGGTAAACAGCAGGCTGGTCCCAATGTGGAACCTGCGGTGAATGGTAGGCGGGGTACCGCACCGGTGGCGATGTACGTGAGAGGCCGTACGGGGATGGGACTACACCCCCTTCGCCGTGGACGGCAGCATATCCTTGAGGAATAGGGACTTGATCGTACTGAGGCTCAACGTAGGGTTGGGCATTGGAGAAACTTCCAGTCGGCCCAGGCCTGTTGGGAACAGCTCGAGTCATGACAGGATCGAATGGCCGCTCTTCTTGGTTTGGAAATCTTGCATTGTTCTGCACCAGCTCGGAGCCCCTGCCAGCCAGATCGCGTTGTAGAGGATTCCTTTGGTCAAAGGGGCCCACAGATGAGGGGAAATGAGGCTGTCCTTGATACATGTGAGGGGGTCCTTGTGTTGGCAGGTGATTTCGCAGTGATAGCGGGACAGCTGGTGGCATTCTTTGCTGACCCTGGCTCTTTTGAGACTGCTGCGACTGCGGCTGTTCGTGTTGAACCTGGCTGAGGTGTGGCATCTGCTGTTGTGGTCGAGGTTCTGGTTGCTTGGATGATCGCTTGAACGCGCTGAAAATGGACTTGGTCGTCGACTCTTTTGAGGAGCCTTGATGAGGCCGAGGCTGTGGTTGTGTTGAGGTTCTGTTCTTGAACCACTTGGACACGGGATTTTGTTGACTCTCGACACTGAATTCCTGACCGCCAGACTGCAGGTCATGGTCTTGGGGGAAAGGTAACGAAGAACGTTGATTTGGTGGCGGAAGCGCTTGAGAGAATTGAGTTGGTCTGTTCTCAGCATCAAAAACCTGACGCTGATGCTGATGCTGCTGATGCTGCTGATGCTGCTGGTGCTGCTGGTGCTGCTGCTGAGGGTGTCCTGGAGAAGCGATTCCCGCCATTGGCTGACCCATTCGGTCAAGTTGCTGCATGTTAGCAGGCACACCGGGTTGTGGCCGCCCCTGGAACACGTCCTGTGGAGACATTTGACCTTCAGAGGCCAGAGGTGCATTCGGAGCCGGTATTTGAACGACGGCGGATGGTTTAGGAGAATTTGATATCGAGGAGCTTTGCGACATATCGGACCCGCCGATGACCCCATTTGGAAATGATGCCCTGACATTAGAGGGGGAAAGCAGCGACGCAGACTGCTCTGAAATTCGTCTAGCATGGCCAGACTTGTGGACGCCGAGGGCTTGGTTATTAACACCTTGCTCCTGGCCAGGAGGCGGTGTTTGGGGGCCCGGCGAGTTGTCACGTCCATAGCTGTGTCTTATCGAAGGTTCCGGTGTCGGCTCAGCTGAAAATCCTGGAGGAACCCAGTGGCTTTCAGTTTGATCGTCTGGTTGCTCAGGGTGCGAGAGTTGCTCCTCTGCCCGTAGGAATGAAAGAGAAGGCTGTCTTTGATCAGTGAGACGACGGCGTCCCGGTGGGTTATGTTCCGTCTGTGTCGGTGATGTTGGAGCGTCAAAAGCTTGCGGAGGGTGTGAATCGCCATGCAACAGCTGATAGGACTTTCTTCGCGAGATATTCTCATTGAGCAACTCGTGACTGGGCACGATAGGAGCTTCACGGCGTTCTTCCTGCGACTCAGACATCGGCTGTGCTCGCTGTTCTTCCAACGCGGGACTCTTTTGCTTGTCCGTCGCCACAGCGATTTGCTGTGATGGTTGAGGAGAAGGCAAGAAAGACCCACTAGACTTTCTCTGATGAAGATGAGGCCCCTGAGGCTGATGCTGAGACTGAAATCGTGCACCAGCTCCCGGATGCATAGAGAAGTCTTGGAAGCGAGATGACTCCTGCTGTTGCTGCTGCCCGAAACCCTGAGGCAGGCTTCGCGTGGGTCGCTGTCCTGCATCCTCGCGCCCTGATCCAAGGTTTGACGGCGGCATTTGATGACCGGAATGCTGCACTCTGAATTGTGCCGGAACACTTTCATTCTGGTCCTGTGCTTGAGAGAATGAATGCTGGGTCTCTGTCGTCTTATTGGCCGCGCGTTTGCCGAGAAGCCCAGAGAGAAATCCGCTTGCTGAACTTCTTCTCCCACGTTCGTCGCCTTCGACGTGACCCAAAGACTTGTTCACCAGTGTTTCCTGTGCAAAGAGTTGACTCGTGCCAGTGGTATTGCTCCTTTCCCTCCCATGAACAGCGAGGGGGCTAGGTTTGCCAGGTTGATTTCCTGGCGTGCTCGGAGGGCGACCAAGGGTGGCCGAAGTCGCAGAATGAGACGTGCCGGGCTTCTGTTGCACCTGCAAATCTTGCTGACTCGAACTACGAGGGAACACCTTGCTCGTAAAGCCAGAAAAGCGCTTCTTGGGAGGGCCCATTGCTCCGCCTGCTACTTCATATCCAGCAGTCGACGTTGACGAACGAGACAGATTGGGCATTGGGAGAATCGCCGATTGATCGGCACCTGGACCGAAGAATGAACGTTTTCTCTCCGCGGGCCCTGCCGGTTGCTGTACCTGGGAAGGGCCGCCCGGGTTCGGGCTCGCCTTTGATGACGATGTAATCACTTCACCATCGCGGCCTTGGGGTGCTCCAGCATCAGAAGGTTTGGAACCCCGCAAGTTGAGAAAGAAGCTTGACCGTCGTCTCTGGCGGTCTTGCAGTTCTCCAGTGGCAACACTCGCCTCAGATACTGTGTCACCTCGCACGTCTGGACCGGCCATAAAACTCGGCGCTCCACTCCCGGCCTTGGACGCTGGCCGTTCACGGGAAGTATGACGCGAGATGCGACCACCAATCTCTTTGAAGAAGCCAGAGCTTCGCCTACGGCCACGGTCTTCATCTATTGACGGATCGAAACCGCTAACTTCCGAATCACCCGTCTGTGTCCTGTACAGCGATGCAGAATCGCGGTTGTAGAAATGCTGACCCAGATCTTGGGAGTTCGTCGGTCCTGTGGGAGAGCCAGGGTTCGGATATCCCCCTTGCGAAGTAAATAGACCAGGATAACGTTGTGCTGATGATGGAGGCACTTCAGAGAACTTCTGCCGAGGGGGCAACTGCGTCTCGGGTCGTTGTGCCGCCGTTGAGGGCACGCCGGTCTCCTTATCAATCCCATAGGAGGTTTGCAGTTGGGGTGACAGAGATCCGCCCGACTGGCGACTTCTGCTGGTTGCCAGCGGCTCAGATAAGTGCGACTCCTCAAGCTTCCACGGGCCTTGCGGAGGAAGGTGATGGATTGGGTTGCCTCCGAAAGTCGGGGACATTATCCCTTGATGAGGGGGTCTGCCTGTACCATAGGGAGGACCGCTCGTACGTCCTTCACTCTGTTGCATCGCTGCTCTTGTGTCAATGGGCCCTGGTACACGGCCGGCACCCTTCATTGCTACTCCCGGCCCAAGAGGTCTCTTTTCATCGTCAATTCTCAGATCCTGACCAGTCATCCCACTGCTCTCGGTCGCCAGCGTGGCCGCTTGAGTTGAAGTCGCCGAGAGAACGTTGTGTGACATACTGCTGTCTTTGCGGAAACGCGGAGGCCCGGTATCGACTCGAATGGGTTGCGCAGACTGTGCAGACCAGCCAGGTTCCCCTTGCTGGAAGCGGGATGAAGAACTGCCATCATTGCCATACTGGTCAGCTGTCGCTGTAACCGGAGAGGCAACGAGGTCGATATCATCGCCCTCGTCCAAGGGGAAGCGTTTCTTCGCCCTCTTGGTCAGATTGATACCGAATGTAGAACTTCGCCTGATTGGTGGGAGGCCTACAAAGGATGATTGGCGTTGAGGAGAAGTCTGCTGTGATGGGAGTTGGGTAATAGTTTGTTGTTGTTGCTGCTGCTGGTGGATGGGCTGCTGAACCGGCTGCGACTGCTGGATCGACTGTATGTTGGGAAGAACCGTTGAACTGGCACCATGATTTACATCATGCTCCTCCTCGAGAATCTCCCTGCTTGATTCCGTAGGCTCGAATGACCGCGGCGCCTGTGGTGGTGACTGAGGGGACACCACGTGAATCTGGCCAGAAGGAGGCGACTGCGGCGACACAACGACCCAATCATCATATTGATCGTCGGCCGTGTTTCTTCTCGATACCGCGGCGGCGATGGTTTGTGTGACTTGAGGAACAGCATGCTCTACGTGAGGCGCAGGGGGGCTCGGATCCGTGGCCTGTCCCATCTCAAAACCCTCCTCCTCAACCAAGGGCGTGCCTGTGAAAGGGTCCCATGACGGCTGAGTTTTACTGATGGGTCTGGGGATCTGGAGGTCACCTCCAACGGGGAACTCGCCGGGCGTATCCTTCGCCGGGAATCGAGGAGTCGTCGCTATGGAGTGAGTATCCGAGACTGGGGACACGGGCTCCGAGTCGCTGTCCCCGGGAGATCCGGTGGACTGCTGAGGCGGCGTATGGGGCCGTGGTGGGGCCCAAGCCGAAGCTTGATCATCACTAGCCTGAGTCAAGGTATCAAATGAGGATATACGTGAGGTCTGGGGTAGTTGAGGCGGTGGAGTCGGAGAAGCCGGATGTTCCGGGATGGTCTGTGGAGTTGGGCCTGACACGGATCCCGAATGCGACCGTGAGTGGGCATGGCCGTAGCTTTCGGCACGAGACGACGACCGCGATCCGAGGCTTATGCCCCATGAAGTACGCCGCTCAGCTCTGGTCTTAGGTTGAGCCGGCGGGGGAGATGAGTCGCTCTGTCGAAGAAGACGCAATTAGAGATGATTCACCATATAAGATGCCATGTGGGACTTAAGAGTGTCCGAGATCACCACAGGGGTTACATGACGGTGCAGTAGTAGAAAAAAAAGTTTCGTATCATTCCTTAATCATACAGTCCCGTCATTCTGGCCAGAAAGGGAGACACATAACTCATAAGTGATTACCAAAGGGGAAGTGGGGAAGAAAAGTAAAGGGAAAAAAGATTGAAAAACGGGGTTGCTTGGGACAGATCAGACTGTCGATCCCTCCCAACAACCAGACTAGAAAAAATGCATGCCCTGTGTGATGTGATGATCCCAGTTGAGAGGAATGTTAAAGAAATACCTTGTCCCCAGTGCCACGGAGTTTGTTCTTTCCCTTGCTCAATAGACCTTTACCCGCCTTGCCAGCCGCAAGCAATAGTCCCTTGCCCTTCGCCCCAACTTGACCGCTCGAATGCTTAAAATCACTTGAAGGCGAATGAGACGAACCTGTGGGCGCACTTCCCGCGAGAGGCCGGCCTGAAGCTCCCGCCGCGAGGTTAGGGTTGCTTGCGTTGAGGTACTGCTGGTAATAAGGCTGCTGAGAAGCCGGCTGAGAGGTTGTCGGCGACGGCTGCGATTGACTAGGGCCAGCAGCGCCAATCCGAAATGATGCAGTTGCGTTGGCGTGCTCAGGATGCTGAGCCTTCAATGTTTCCAACCAATTGTTAAGTCCCGAATCCATCGACGCGAATTGTGAGCGCGTCTCATTGTACTTTTGAATCCTGTCTTTCGCATTGGAAAGATCCATGATATCTTTGAACGTTGTAATCTTGACAGGCTGCGTTGGCTGCTGTTGCTGAGCCGCTGGAGATGCAAGCAGCTGGCCGACCTCGGACGACTCGGCCTCTGGCTCTGGCTCAGGCTCAGGCTCAGGCTGAACCTGGGTCAGGGCAGGATGATCGCCGGGCGGAGGGCTGGGGGAGACGGGGTTTGACGAGACCCGAGCCATTGACTTTTCTTCCGCGAGCGACAACCGGCGGGTGGGTGCAGCCGATGCAGTGTTCTTAACGGCCGTGGCTGACACGGGTGACGGCGGTTCGATCACTTCGGAGTCCATGCGACCTCTCGGCGCCGAACTAACCTGCGACACTTGATGAGACATCGCGCCCGCGTCTTGCTGCACGCTAATATGCCCATCGTCCAACCCAGTAGCCGGCGGCGTACGTTCGGAGTCGCTGGCTACCTCTGATTGTGCAGCCTGCAGCTCGCGATGACTTTGTTTGGTATGCACGCTCTCTTCATCCGCATCCCCAGGTTGAGGATGAGGCTCGGCGAGGGGGTCTTTTTGAGCATCTGAGGCCTTTGGCGTAACCTGCTCCATTCCTGCTTCCCAAGAGAACCGCCGACCAAGCGCGGGAGGCTGGTCCATTGCGTCTTTGCGAGGGCTCAAAGGAGGAACGTCAGAAATGTCTCTGTTGGGGGAGAGCGCCGTCTCTTGCTCTGGCTGCTGTAACGGCAAGCCAGGCACATCAGGCTTTTCGTCGCCGGGAGTCCAGTAGTCGTCGTAGACGCCGTGTAGGTAGGTGCTTTCACGGGTACCACTGTCATCAACGGCCGGGCTCAGCGACTGGTGGTTACTGAAGTTGTTCAGATCATGACTTGTAGGGCGGACAGGACTCAGGCTGCGCATGATCTCTTCTCTCAACTTATCACTCTCCTTGACAGGGGATGGGTCGGCAATGGTGCTCATGGTGGACTCGCGCTGCAGCCTCTCTGGCGCCGCAAAATCCGATGACGAGCTACCTGATTCGCGAGGGTTCAAAGGAGCCGAAATCTCCAAGCCGGCACCCTGGTCGACACGGCCCTCCATCTGAGCGGCCCGTTCCGAAGTCTCCGGGATGGAAACAGGTATGGATACCGTATCCTTCACGGTAGCTACGCCGCTGTCGCCGAACTTGTCGCCTTCGTTGTCAGTGATGGGAGAAACTTCACCCTGATCCAAGCTGAGGATGGGCTTTCGGTCTGCGGTAGCGGCGGGTGTCGCAACAGCGGAAGCAGTCTGAGAATCGGCGATGGAGCGCGTTTCAGTGACCCAGCCTCCAGGAATAGACGGTCGGGAAGTTTGCGAAGGCAGGCGAGATCTGCTCGACTTCTCAATGGTTGGTGGTGTTTGGGATGGTGAACGCGACCTTTCCCTGCTAACTGGTTGAGATGCAGGCAATGATGAGTTGGTTGGCTGCGGAGTTGTGTTGAAGATGGGAATGGGAGTCGTCACATCACCGGGTGTCGCAGCAGCAGGAAATTTATCCACAGCAAGCGCATTCTCTGCCGTAGAAGCGGCTTCAGAATGTTGCTTCTTGGATGGCAAACTCGGCATCGGGGGCGCTTCGTGAGCGTATTTGTCTTGGTTAGAGAAGAAGTCGTCTCCGAAAAGTGACATGCGAGCCAGGTCGGGCAGTCGAGGGCTCGTAGAGTAACGGCGGTTCTGGTCAGATTCTTCTGCCGTAGGGCGCTGCAACTGCGGTTCCGGCACACCCAAGTTGCTTTCCTGCATGCCTCCTGGGGGGCTCAGTCGGCCTCGGTCTGCGCCTTGGGCCTGAGGTTGTGCAAGAAGACCATCGAATCCGTACTCGCTCCTTCTCTCTGCGACCGGTGCCAAAATAGGTTGCCGTGTGGCATTATCAACTGCGCCCGATGCTTGGCTTTTGTCCAAAGTTCCGCGCATCGCCTGCTGCTCACCAGCCTCGACCGCCGGAATCGTCGGGTTGGCGGCTAACACCGACGGGTCATTTCTAGAGCCAGAAGCACTGTCCATGCTTGGCTTTCCTGACTCCGACAAGCCCACCTCCTTTTCGTTATTGTCGTCCATCCGGCGATAAATATCCGACGGTCGAATCAAGTGCGCTGCTGTGGTATTGGATGGTGTGCCCGGCGATTTGACGTTGGAAGGGGACGCTGATCGTTGCTCTATCCACGGACGTTGCGTGGAGCTCGACCGAGAACCGGAAGTCTGGTGATCACGGTCTTGCTGTCCCATGCTGCTCTTACGAGGAGGAAAGCAGGCAGCTTGAGTTTGCGCCGGGGCCGGTGAAGTCCGTTGGCTTCCTACGGGAGGAGATGGGGTACCCTTGGGATATTCTGGGCGGCCAGCGAACGGTGTTGGGACCGGTGCTGGAACCGTCCGTGAAGGCAGGCCAGCGCTGGCGGGTTGCGGTGATACGAGCTGCTCATTGGGGCCCGTTTCCGGAGCCGTATCCAATGAGGCTGGCCCTAACACAGTCGGGGGCGATTTTACGTCGTCAAGAACAGGCTGCTGGGCGACGGGAGGCGTAGGTTTCGCCGAGTTCTGAATCTGCAGAGGCGGGAGTCCGGCAGTAGGCCGATGGCTAGAGGTCGGCCTGGCTTCATTACCCATCGGCTGCGACGGTCGTATTGAAGGCACAGATTCGGCCGGGTGGTGCGACGGTAGAGCTGCATTGGTTGACTGGCCAGCTTGACGGAAACCCGTCGGCTTCAGCGGCGGCACGGGAACGGGGTCATCGGCCTCGTCTTCAAAGTCGTTACCCCAGTCATCGCCGTCGTAGTTCTGAGTCTTGGCCTCGACCCATTTCTTGGTCTTCGTTCTCTTTACATTGGTCTTATAGGAGGCACTCGTCGGGGTATCTGGGCTTCTACAAGCAGAAGAATGCGGTCAGTACCATTCTACAGAGGAAGAAGGCCGAGTTGTGAGGTGTGTGGATGTAGAAGCTAGTTGAAGCTGACGACTAGAAAAACCACTTACAACGGCGAGTTTGTATGAGGGGCCCTGAAGCCGTAGTTATACGACGAGCCGTCCATAGCGTCGTCCAAGTGATGAGTTTAGGGCTCGACTCGTCTACTGCTTCATTGCTTGTATTCCCTGACTACGATTGAGGACGGTCCAAGCTTCACCGGCAACTTGGAACTGGGTATCGCGAGGCGCGCGGGTTGCGGTTGGTTCCCGATGGATCGGGTGGGCTGGCAAGAAACACTGCGACGCTGGCTCGAATCGCGGACTTTCGGATGGATATAACGAGCACGAGCGTACATTCCAAGTCGATAAAGACGACAGAGTGGAAGGGATACAGGCGCTTCCCAAAGGCCGAGGATTCCTAATGGTCTGGCACGGCACAGAGACAGGAACTGGGCTGATAATGATGAAGGTCGCCAGTCTGACCAGGGCCGACTCTTGCTGGAGACGGGGACGGGGAACCCAAAAGAAAGACGGGATGATAATTTGGGGGCTTGGGAACTCGGGGGACGTGGCTTGAGGCGACCACGCAAGGCCAGGTACATGTGTTGTGGTGGCGAGGAAGGCGAGGGCCGATGTACCTTGGCTGTGATGAGGTAGCAGCGCGAACTCAGCCCAGCCCGCGCGATGAGGAGCCATGGTGCCTGCCTCTGTTTTTTGTTTCTGCCTCCTGCCTTCTGTCTGCCTCTCACTTGTCCTCCACTTTCCACAGCTGCTGCGCGGCGGTGCGGGAACATCTCATCAGGTGGGCTGCACAGCTCGTGCCGGGCTATCCCAGCGCTGTTGCATTGGAATGTCAATCAACAGCAGAGCGAAGGCGGGCGACTACTTGACCACCTGTGCCACCCATGAGGGATAGACCCGTTGGACGTGCTGAAAAAGAGGGGAACGAGCTGGGGGTTTTTTCCAATGGAAGCTCGAGGATGTCGCCGGCTGGATCACGGAAGAACAGGGATGTTTCGTAAACGGCCGCCCAGTGTGGCTTGAAAGTCTGGCTTGTTTCTGTATGAAGTACCGTCCGACACTGTGTGTGTGCTGCATGCGTGGGAGATGGTCTCCTGCGTCTTGGATGTACTCGCATGCCTTGTGAGAGGGCAGGTTGTGCATGCAAGAGACTCGGGTTTCGACGCAAGGCAAGGTTTCCTCAACGTGACCTTTGTAAAATTGACGCGAGTGTTACGGATACAATTGCCTCAGTTGAAGGTGGCTGGTTCATTAAGTTACCTACCTTGGCGCACTCTTTTCTCTGTACATAGTAAGTTTACGGATACGGGCAAGGAGAAGACCCAGTTTGGTCAACCACAACCCTGCGTCTCGAGGAACGTGGAATTACCTGGGGTGCATCATACAGCAGCTGAAAGGCACACCGATATGATGAGAGTTTGCAATCTTCACATCATATATTCAGCAGGATGAGAACTCACAAAGGTACAGATACAACTGAGGTATATTCTGTGCGTCGAGGTATCTGGAATAAGGTACGGGCTTCCGATTCCTGTAAGGACACTAAAATGATGGAGGTAGGTACTTCAAGAAACCTCGCAGTGTTTGAGTAAGGTACCTTATCCGTATCCTGTGGCGGTGCATGCATTTTTCTACACCTGGCCACAAGCCACATTTTCACAACGAAGGCGCTTGCACAACGGTACAGTCCAGTGATCAAAGGGATGGGCGGAGGACAGGTTGAAGTCGCTTTGGTCAACGTATCGGACACCCTGGCCCCGTTACTCCGGCAGAGCCAGTGACTGCACCCATTGATCTGGACTTGGACTTGGACGCCCCGAGTTGGAACTCGGCCACGACGCTCGTTTGCCTCAACTAGAAACAATACAGCTCGACTTTTACATTACTCAATCATTTGCCATATTGAAGACATCAGCACCTGGACGCATCGATCGACTCCTCTCCCTGTCTCTACCCAACGATCGCGCGCATTGTATAGCAATATCCTTTCTCCTAAGCCGCAGTCACTGCCGCGCTCCCAAACGTACCGTCAATTTGACACAGCTCATTTCCCATCCCTGACCATCCACCTCTGCTGCCAAAACCAGCTCGACGACAACTCTACCGCCTTCGCAGAACCCCTCAACAGTCCCGAACGCGCTGGCCGCCAAGCCTCGATATCTACATTGCCAGGTCGCACCCAGCTTATACGCTCTTCCACGATGGCGGTCGCATCGATACAGGACCGAACCGCCGAGTTCAAATCGGTTCTCGCTCAAGCGCAACGTCGCCAGGCTTCCAGCAAGGTCGGCGCTCAACGACGATCACTCCTTACAGATTCCCAGAAAGCCGCCAGCGATGGCGACTCGCGACCGCGGCGTTCCGAGTTTGCGCGCCAGGCAGCGCAAATTGGGAGAGGAATCTCGGGCACAATGGCCAAGTTGGAAAAGTTGGCAACATGTATGCGTTTGGATGCTGAAGGATGCCCTACAATGAACACGGCCTGGCGCTGACCAGACTCTCTACACAGTGGCGCGGCGCAGAACCCTGTTTGACGATCGGCCCGTCGAAATCAACGAGCTCACATACATCATCAAGCAAGATTTGAGCGCACTGAACCAGCAGATTGGAGGCCTGCAGGTCCTAACAAAGCAGCAGCATCCAAAGGCCGATCAAGAGGGAGAACATAACAAGAATGTTGTCTTCATGCTGCAAGGCAAGCTGACCGACGTGTCAGCCAACTTTAAGGATGTCCTGGAGGAGAGAACTAAGAATATCCAAGCCTCAAGGTCTAGGACAGATAACGTTCGCTCCAGTCCTGATACCCGACCAAATGTACATATGCTGATATGGATATGTGTTTGCAGTTCATCTCCAGTGTTTCTCAACACACGCAACCGCCACTTCAACAATCAGCATCGCCGCTGTACGGAACACCCCAACGAGGGACGCCGTCACCAGGCGCAGATCTTCTGTCGCTAAACCCGCCAGGAGACCAGCAGCTTCTCATGATGGAAGAGGCGCAACCGCAAAACACGTATATTCAGGAAAGAGGTGCGGCTATCGAAAGCATCGAGTCAACCATTGCGGAACTGGGATCTGTTAGTTTTTTTGGTATGATCGTGTTTTGGGATGGCCTGGGCTCACAGGAGGGAACAGATCTTTGGTCAGCTGGCAACTATGGTTTCGGAACAGAGCGAAATGATCCAGCGCATCGACGCAAACACGGAAGACGTTGTCGACAACGTGCAAGGAGCGCAAAGAGGTGAGTTCCAAAGGCTGCGTGCTATAGTGACACAGGCGACCGCATGGTTTCTAACTCTCTGGTCGCAGAACTGCTCAAGTACTGGGGCCGCGTCTCCAGCAACAGATGGCTCATCGCTGTATGTTGTACCCCTCGTCGTCGCTCATGGACGCTCCCCAATGATCGTGCCGACAAAAGAGGCTCACGTTTACTGACAAAATGGATAGAAAATGTTCGGTGTTCTCATGATTTTCTTTCTGTACGTCATATGGCACCCTCGCCCCAAGATCGGGAATTCGTTACTGACTAATTTTGCAGACTTTGGGTTCTCATTGCCGGTTAGCAGTGTGCGATGATGACGAGGATGAGGAACGGCGGTTTGGAGAGTCGGGACGGAACTCAAACTGTGCATTCAAAAGGAGATGGATGGCGTTGAGTTGTGTAACATCAGTACCCTTCAGTTGTACCATGACATTAACGCTGGGACGCGGACGCGGACGCAGACGTTGCGAAGTTTAAGAGCTTCTTCCTTGCATACATCTAAATTTATTAATCACAAAATAGGTTAACTTCGGTGAAGTATTTGCGGCCAGGTCCCACGAAGTTGGTTTGGTTAAGCTGCCTAAGTAATAGCGTGTGGATGAACGTAGGGGTTAGATTTCCGTTGGAGGAGGAGCAAGCAGAAGTACAGCATACCAAGGAATAGGTTGGCTTGATTATATGCCAACTAACGAATGTTAGGCAGGAACCCTGGCTTGAAGTACCTCAGTATTGGGGGAGGACGGGTCAGAGCAATGCGGCCAAGCGCGCGGACCTCGGGCTTGGTTCCGGGAATTTTGCCCGTGTTGGAACCGTCCACCCCCCCCCAGGCAATCTCAGGTCCCGCCGCAAACCGGCCGCCTTCAAAGTAGGACCGTAAAAACAACTCCCCACGCTTCTCACTAACACGGGCCAAACTGCTCGAGCACTGTTGATGGCTCGGCCCAACAAAACCCGAGAGCTGCTCCGATGGCCCAGAGAATTATCCATAATTGGTTACACAAGGCCCACCAATGGGAGAGGGTCCGTACCATCCTCTACCCCGTATCGTACTTCACAGGGTTTCTAGCAGTGACTTGACAAACCGGGGAAATCCACACGAAAGAGTCCCTAGCCGGACAAGCTTGCGTGGGGAGCTGAGGCCGAAGACGAAGCTTTACAGGTGACAGGGAAATCGAGATCCACCCGATATCGTTAGTTTGGTATCTTTCCTGGCCTGGCTGGCTGGTGAAAGAGGAGGTGGAGGATTGGAAAGTGTGCAAAGTGGCATGGATTCGCGACCATTGTCGAGCATTTACCCGGCCATTGATCGCTACACATCACCCTGGCAGCCTTTTTCCCCCCCCTTCTACTTCCTTGGCTGGGTCTTCTGTCGTCGATATATATACCGAGATTACACACCACCTTCTTCCGTCCCTTTCTTATCCCGTGTGATAGTCCCCTTTTTATTCCATTGATCTTTTTTTGTTTCTGCTCCTGAGTAAGAGTTGTATGCTTGCTCTACTCTCCAGGACACCTTCCCACTTCAAATTACCCCGCCCCCGCATTCCAATCCAGGAGGCCTCGCAAAGATATCGCCAACCCCTCACCGCGTGTCACATTCACTCCAAAACTAGTTTCAAGATGGCTTCACAGACTTTCAAGTTGAACTCGGGATACGAGATCCCCGCCGTCGCCCTCGGTGTGTAGCTGTTCAACACAACGTAGGCATCTACCATGAACCTCCAACTAACATCATTATCCACCAGGCACCTGGCAGTCCGCCCCGGGTGAAGTCACCAAGGCCGTCTCCTATTCCCTCTCAGTCGGCTACAAGGCCATCGACGGCGCCTACTGCTACGCCAACGAGGATGAGGTTGGCGCCGGCCTCAAGGAGGCTTTTGCCAACGGCATCAAGCGCGAGGACATCTTTGTTGTTACGAAGCTGTGGGCCACCTACACCATTGGCGACGACAAGGTCAAGGAGGGCCTGGAGAAGAGCCTGAAGAGCCTGGGCCTCGACTACGTCGACCTGTTCCTCGTCGTACGTTTCCTAGGACCCCAACTTCGCAATCGTCGTGACCAGCAGAAAGCTTACAATCTAACAGCACTGGCCCGTCGCCATGAACCCCAACGGCAACCACGATAGGTTCCCCACCAAGCCCGACGGAAGCCGCGACATAATCCACAGCCACTCCCACGTCGACACCTGGAAGTCGGTCGAGAAGCTCCTCGACACGGGCAAGGTCCGCTCCCTCGGCGTCTGCAACTACAGCGTCAAATACCTCGAGGAGCTCCTCCCCCAAGCAAAGGTCGTGCCCGCCGTCAACCAGATCGAGAACCACCCTAGCCTGCCCCAGCAGGAAATCGTCGACTACTGCAAGGAAAAGGGCATCCACATCATGGCCTACAGCCCCCTCGGTTCCACGGGCGGTCCCCTCCTGACCGCGGCGCCGGTGATCAAGATTGCAGAAAAGCGCGGCGTCAGCGCCGGCACCGTCCTGCTGAGCTACCACGTCGCCCGCGGCAGCACCGTCATTGCCAAGTCCGTTACCGAGTCGCGCATCAAGTCCAACCTGGAAATTGTCAAGCTCGACGACGAGGACCTCAAGGAGCTCCGCGCCTACTCGGATGACCTGACGGCCAAGAAGGAGCTGAAGCGCTACGTTTACCCGCCGTTTGGTATTGACTTTGGTTTCCCGGACAAGTCGTAGGGTTTAGTCGTTTGTGTGCCATATAAATAGAGCGAAGAAATAGATGATTTGAAGCGCATTCGGTTCCTCAAGAGAGCGCGGCAATTGACCATTGTGCAAGGAGTTAAAAGGTTCGAATGCTTGCGTTGTACTGCACATCTTTGAGCCATATACAGCAGTTTTCACCCCCAGGCCGTTCTGTACGTTCCAGCTACGTAGTTAGAATTGTACAAAGGTTCTTGGTGCAAAGCAGCAGTCATCATTGAGGATGAGGACAGGACCCTGCCAAATTGCTCTAAAATCACATCTTTACTTTTGGACCGCTTTTCTAATTCGATGTATCTACAAGAACCTTCAATACCAAATTCCCGCTCTCGTCCTTCACCTTGGCGGCCATGTCAAACGCGTCCTTGATCGTGCTCAACCCCTTGTACCGGTGCGTAAACAGCTTCTCGAGCGCCGGCAGGCCCTTCGGCTTGGTGGCGATCAGGTTGATGGCTTTGGGGTATGTGTTTGCGTATCGGAAGACGCCGATAAAGTCGACTTCGCGTAGTGCCGCGGCGGAGATGGGGAGCGTTTGGATCGGGGTGCCCATGCCGATAATGAGGATTTTGCCGCCTGGGCGGGTAGACTGTACGAAATGTAGTGAGTACGTGTTTTCCACTCTGTTGGGTAAGTGTCTCTGGGACAAACTTACAAAGATGGCCGTTTGCATGCAAGTCTCGACACCGGTGCACTCATACGTCGCATTCACCTCGCCAACCTCCTCGCCTCCAATCTTAGCCTGCTTCACCAGCTCCGCGACATCCTTTGCGTACGCCAGCTTATCCTCAATCGTCTGCGGGCGCTGCGCGGGGACAATGACGCCGGCGTCGGCGAAACCGTTCTCGAGGGCGAATTTAACCCGGTCCTCCTGGATGTCGGCGATGACGACCCGCTGCTGGTCGGCCTTACTGACGGCGGCGCACAGCAGGCCCACGGCGCCGGCGCCGAAAACGAGGACGGTCGAGCTGCTGGGCAAGTTGCCTCGGTCTCTGGCGTGCATGGCGACTGAGAGGGGTTCGGCAAGGGCGCCGAACTCGAGGGAGACGGCCTCGGGAAGCCTTGGTTTTGGATGTCAGTGTCAGTACACCTTGCACAAATCAGGTTGGAAGCTTTGGGAGCTTGCGCGAGCTTACTTGTGACACCACTTGGCTGGGTGGTTTACCAGCTCCTGGAGAGTGCCCTGCGCATGGGGGAAGGCCTTTGCCGAGCTGCGGAACTTCATGTCTTTGCAGATGTTGTAGCGGCCCACGGCGCAAAGCTCGCAAGCCTCGCACGGCTGGCCGACCTCGAGGGCGACGTGGTCCCCGACGGCGAGGTCAGAGACATCAGAGGCGACGGCGGTGACGACGCCACTGGACTCATGGCCCAGGGTGAGGGGCTCCCTCACCAAGATGTCGCCGTTGCGGAAGTGGTTGTAGTAGTGCAGATCGGAGCCGCAGAGACCGGTGGCCTTGACTGCGACTTGGACTTCGCCCGGCGCGAGCGCGGGGAGCTGTCTTTGTTCCTGCGCTTGTTAGATATTTTCATGTTCTCCATTTGGAGCTTCTGAGAATGGCGGAGCCTAACGATCTTGAGGTCCCTCGCGCCATGGAGGACGGAGGTCTGGACTTGAACACCTGACATGTTGGCTATGAACTCGTTTACCGGGCACGGTCCAGAGGTGCTTCGGGGAGAAAGAAGAGTTGCGAAGATGTTATGAAGGGGTATGTAAGTTACGAGAGTGGTTCCAATTGTGAAGAAGATACGAGGAAGTGGGCAGCCAATTCAGGTGTGATTATCCTAACTTTCTTGGTCAAGAGCAGGTACGTAAGGCTAAATACAAGTCCGATATCGACACATCGGGAAACGCGAAGGAAGTCGAGCTACTGGGGTCAGTTGGAGCGAAGACGCGAATCGGCGGAGTGGGTGATGCAAAACGGAAATGCGGGCTATGAGAGACTGGTCGGTGGGGGGAACGCAGGACCGACAAGCTGCTAATTGTAGCCAAGTACGGAATTCTCAAACCGACTCGAGTACAAGTACGCCGAAAAGTCCATCTCAGCCCCGAACTCAGCTAGCTTCAAGGTTGACAAGACGGGTTGGCAGCAAGTGGGAGAAGCTACGGAACCTAAAGAATAGCCCACGAGGTTCCAGGCACTGGCGGTGGCAGTCAGTCAACTCAGTATATCGGGTACCTCGTACGAGATGAGATGACGATACTTGCGACAGCTGGACAGTGCTGAAAAGAGCGGGGAGACTCAGGAGAGAAAGAAAAGTTGGACATGGTTCGTGTGGAGTTGTGGAGATTGGACAACATGACTAGGTAACTTGCACGATTAGGTTGAGACGGACGCGGCATTCTTTCCGAGCAAGTAAAAGACGAGGCGCATCGTAGATTGATGCAATGGTGGGTGTTGCGGGATGAGTTTGATGGTGGATGAGGGGCCGGGTGGAAAGAGGGGGAGGGGTATCCAAGTCATGTCCAGCCTCTCTTCCTATGATATTCGCCGGTTAGTAACCGGCGGTTACTGACCAGACTGACCCCCATCGAATCCAGGTAATACCCGCCACAAGTCAGGTCGCGATTGGAGAAAACGGCCGTGGAGGCTAAATACGGCAATGCCTATGTAAGGCGAGGACCTGGCTTGGCGGGGTACGCTACGTATAGGATGTTCCAGTCTCAACGTAAAGCCAAGAAAAGAGACAAACACTTGGGCAATATCCCGTCGAGTAAGGCAGCCCGAGAGCAATCAAGAATTGACAATTACAGCTTCGGTGATTCTCAGAAGACTCGGGTTCTCCTGTTCGTATACATCAATTCGGACGAAAGGTTTCTCGTCTCTTTCTCTTCCTCATTCTCTTCTTCTCTTCCCCACCTAACATGACTTTTCTCGTTGTTCTCCGATGTGCGGGGGGGAGATCAGCTACTAACCCCACCTTACCGTCACCTGGCGGTTCTTACGTGGGGGCACCGGCCCGAGTCTGTTGCTAGGCACGCTGGTCCTCTACACTTTCGCCCCCAAGTTATTCTTATCTATCAGACGCTCTGCAATCTTTTCAATTTCATAGAAATCCCATGAAGTACTGCCAGATCTTAGTTTCCCCTGTGGCATTGACAAGGTTGAGGAAGAAAGGAACGTTGAGAAAAGAGAGAAAAGATACGCAGAATTCAATGTCCCAGGCACAAAAACGACGTCAGAAGGTCACGGTTAGAGATGCCCTGAATAAACCCTTACAATGAGGGGTAAAAAAGTCAGGTACCTAAGGTAGAAAGTGTATCAGGTACCAAGGTACAACGAGGAAATGCCCCGCACCTCTTTCAGCTTAGGTTGATTCGTGAGACTCCGCCGCGAATTGCCCCGCGTTGTTGACCTCTCTCTTTTTTTTTTTTTTTCTTCACTCATTACCCGTCTCGTGTCCATGCGTTACTTGGGTGGGTAATGCTGTGTCCTAGATCAGGTTCAAGCAGTATTATGCTGTCACACAAAGTCATTGGCTCGGGGAGAGTCGGCGGCCAAATCGGCGGCGGTTTCGAACCAGGGATGATGCGGTGACTGGAGAACGAGGTAGCTTGCGCCTGTAATACCTGGGTATTCTAAAGCTTGTCCGTTTCGCCGGCAGAAGAGGACCTTACCTTCACAAGCATGAGGATGTTTTATCCGTTGGTTCACTAGTTGCTGAATGCAAGTCGACTTTGCTCCGAGGTCGCCCAATCAAGTCCCACGCGAAACTGCTCTCCTCTATATTCATATAGACAGACCATCTCCTCCAAATTTCCTCTGTCGCGATTCCCCCTTATACCTAATGATAACCCCCCCTCCCCCCCCCCCGAACTCACCACCTCATACTCACATTCATACTCACACTTTCACACTCATACACACACACACTCTCTCTCTCTCTTTCCCAAAATGGCCTCACAATTCTTCTCCCTCGAGGGCCAAACCGCCCTCGTAACAGGCTCCACGCGCGGCATCGGCGCCGCCGTAGCCGTAGGCCTCGCCGAGGCCGGCGCCGACATCCTCCTTGTCCAACGCGACGAGTCCAACACATCCACGAAGCAGGCCATTGAGAAGCTCGGCCGCAAGGCCCAGATTTACACGGCCGATCTCAGTTCCCAGGAGAGCGTCGCCGGACTCGTGCCAAAGGTGCTCAACGACGGTCACGAGATCCGCATTCTCGTCAACTGCGCCGGCGTCCAGAAGCGGCACCCCTGCGAGAAGTTTCCCGACGAGGATTTCGCTGCTGTAAGTTGCTGATCCCACAACTGCATAGCGTCTAATTTGAGATTGGATATGGTGAATCGGTCACTGCTGATATCTTGCAAACAGGTCATGCAAGTCAACCTCAACTCCGTCTTCACCATAACCCGCGACGTAGGAGCCCACATGCTCGCCCTATCCCCACACCCCGTAACAGGCCGCAAGGGAAGCGTGATAAACTACGCCTCCCTCCTCACTTTCCAAGGAGGCTTCACTGTCCCGGCCTACGCGGCCTCCAAGGGTGCCGTAGGCCAGCTGACAAAGTCGTTTGCAAACGAGTGGACCTCAAGAGGCATCACCGTCAACGCCATCGCGCCGGGCTACATCGAGACCGAGATGAATACGGCGTTGCTCAATGACAAGGATCGCCTCGCGAGCATCAGCGCAAGGATCCCCGCGGGTCGATGGGGTACCCCCGAAGACTTCAAGGGAACGTCTGTTTATTTAGCGAGCAAGGCGAGTGGGTATGTGAGCGGGCACGTTTTGGTTGTTGATGGTGGTTGGATGGGTCGGTAAGGAATTCTGGGAGACACCCAGGAATCAGATGCTTCACCGTCATAAGGCCAAAATGAAAATAACGAAGAACCATTACCATTCAAGGCGGCTTCCACGGACATTACCACACATGCCAAACTTTCCAAGCCTCATGGTCGATCCTGCGCATTACCGCAGCTAACACAGAGCTTCTAATTACATTTAGTAGGCCTAGATCTTGCTAGACATAACGCTCTCCATCCAAGGGTAAACCGACCCGTTGGCCATGGGGTATCCCATATGCAACGCTCCCGAGAAAAACCTGGCCTCTTTGGGCGTACCGTACTCGAACAGCATCATGGAGTCTTCTATAGGCATCAATCCATCTAGGGTACCCTGGATCGGCGTCAGCCATGTAGCATTCCACGAGAGAAAGGGTGCTTGGACTTACGTTGATCAATAGCAGACGCGTCGAGGGCTGTTCAATGACGCCAGTCTCCAGCAAGGAAAACTTCTTTTGCACGCCCGACTTATATTCTTCCACGGACTGGTATCCATGCTTCATGGCCATCGCCGGCGTCAAACTAAGCATCCGTCAGCGACCCAATCCGGAACTCATCTCCACCAGGCTTCACTTACAGGAACGGATACTCGTGACCGTCGGCTTTCTCCAGCCACTCAGGGTCAAAGAAGTAATGGCATCCAGCGCCCTGCGCAATCGACCCGATCAGACGATCGCGGTGGGTGTGCGCGATGCGGATGGCATAGTATCCTCCCGAGCTGAGACCCCAAACCATGACCTTGTTCGAGTCAAACCGGCCATCGGCGGCAATCCAGTCGAGCACACTGCTCCACAGCCGGTCAGGGCTCTCCGGATCGGCCGAATCGGCGGGGCAGTCGGCGGTTCCGGGAATCTCGACGATGACGCTTCCCCATCCGCGCTCCAGAAACTCGTCAGAGCGAACGGTGTTGTCGGGGCGGTATCCGTCGAGGCCCGTCATGAGGATAACTACCGGACTGGGGTTGCTTTCGGATGCCCCATGCGGCGCTCTCACGTATGCCGGGATGGATTTCCAGTCCCCGCCCTTGGCATGGATATGCGGGATGTCGATCTCGTCGATGGGACAGTCCCAGGATTGAGCCGCCTTCATGTACGCACGTTTCTGGGCTTCCCACGCCTTCCACTTAACCTGGCAACTGATCTCGGGGTATGCCGTGATGTAGGGGAATCGGGCAATCCGATACACTGTGCAGGCTCTGAGGTACAAGTCGCTCGCTTCCTTCTTGTTACCCGTCATAATCGCCTCATCGCCCTTGGAGGTCAGGGACTCGGCAATGGGGAAGAAGGCCTCCGTGTAAGCAGTGGAGTTTCCGTCATTGATGTTGTTCTTGCAAGTTGTTAGTCACATTATCCACCAACAATGCCTCATAAACAGCTTACCTTGATCAAGTGTTCGAAAATGGGCTCAAAGTCTTCATGTTGCCCATCGTGAAAAGGATAAACGCTCTTGGTGCACTATACCGGGCCGGTTAGCATGTGGTTCCCGTCCGTAACTGTTTGATTCCGGGCCGCATACCGGAAATTTCCACTTGGTCTCCCAAAGAGCCTTGATACCCTGGTGATGAGGCATGGTCCTCTCAAAGGCCTCGGTTCCCATCACCCACTGCCGCTTGCCATCCTGCTCCGGGAGCTTGTGTGGCGACATGATGTAGACGGTCAGGAAACAACGCGAACAGTTCTCTGCTTCGTGAACAGTGGCAATCGGCCCTTGGCTACGTGAATCGGCTTCACTTTGCTGCTGCTTCGGCGACGAACAACCTCTCGGCTAGAGGTTTTACTAAGGACTCTGGGGGTAAGGATCAGTACATTGTCACTCAGCAAACCAATTCGACGCAAGAAAAGCGAAATATTCTTGCAACCCAGTTCCAACTGGAGCACGATCGTGAAATGGTGGTATTGTGAATCGTGACTTACTCTGACTGAAGTGAAGCGATTCGCACGCGAACAATGGCAGAATGCAAGTCCTCTATCATGGTGGGAGACAGAGTGTAACGGTGCAGAAGCTAATTTATATATAAAGAAGTACCTTGGATCTGCAGACGCCGAATGGATCCAATGACGATGCGCGCTCGGAGTTTTAAGGGATGGACTTGCAGACTTATGATATAGTGCCGTAGTGCTTTTTTCGGACTCTGACAGTTGGGGATATCCGTTGTCCGATCGTGAGACGCTTGCGACTGCAAGCGAGAAAAAGGGGAACATGGTGGCCGGCCGTCTTATACGACAGCGCCATGGTCAGCTCCGGTCAGCCATTTGCGACGAGAGAGGCGCTTTGGCCACGCATGTGAAGGATCTGTGAGGCACCCAAAGCCCTGACTCTGACGTTTGCCCGAGCTGCCTCACATTGCGGATTGGGGGAAGCTCCGAAGAAGAGCGGAAGAGGCGAGGCAGGCCTCCGTGTGTGCGGTCTCGCCGCAACGATGACGGAGATGACCGGAGGTTGTACGGCGTGGTTCCTTCCTCGATCCGGTCTCAGTCTTTTCAATTCCCATAATCCTTTGTCAACTTCCGCGCCACTGCAGACTAAACAAAGCACCCGTGGTAGGAGCAGCAACAAAAGCAGGTTCAACAGCCACGCTGTCACGTACTGTTTGAGATTGAAAATGCGAGTGATAAGGCATCGGAGAAACCAAGCCGATCCAGCCAAAGCATGTGAAACGCGGGGGACAGCTTCTCGACGAACCGCGACTCATTGGCGGACGATCCGACAGGCCTGCCGCGGGCAAGACGGCTAGACCCTTTCAATGCCGTAAGCTTCTTGCGCAGCGGACAGGCCCCCCCTTCCCCCTTTGGTAGCGCCATGGGAAAGGCCAAAGTATGCTACGGGTGCCAGCTACTCGGATGCGCTTACAGGTCAGCAATGATCCGAATGTGGCCAGAGTCGACGACGCAGCGGTGCAGTGCAACCTTCTTTGCAGGACCAGAAATTGTTGGCCAGACGACGGAACACCGGAGAAATAGCTCCAAGCCAAAGAAGTGACTGCGGCGTGTGCGAGAAGCGAACGGACAGCCGTCCAAATTTGAGACACGGATCGGGATTGGCTGACGTGGCCGCAAATGTCGAATTTCGAGGTTGGTCAAACAGTACTAGACAAGCTTTAAATGGCTAGAAATGCCTTAAGTAAAAGGTCTGGTATGAAATAAGGATGCAGATGTTTGATGGGTTTCTATTCTTCATTATGTCGTTCATCTTGTTTCTTCGGAAGCGAGCTTGGCGCTCGTCTGAGCCAGCATCTGATATCTAAGGTAGCATCTAGAGCTTCAGTCCTAGTACTCAACATCAGCAGCTCACTGATGCAATTCGAGCCTGTGGTACGAAAACGAACGTTGTCAAACCCGGACCCGGACAGACGTGACCGCCTGATATGGCACGGGATGACAGCTGTGGGACAGTCTTGAGGCGGAAAACAAAAGGCTACTGGGCCTTACTCTTGTCTCCCTCATAGTAGTGGGCCATCTCGAGGCCGGCTCTCCTGAAGCCGCACTTGACGTAGAAGCCCTCGTTGGCTTCGCTACAGTCAAGAATGCTCTTGTAACAGCCGACCTTGGCGGCGATGAAGTCTAGGGCCTGAATGATGCGCAAGCCGAGCTTCTTGCCCTGCTGGTCCTTTGCGACGGCAATGTCTTCGATGTGGCCGACGAGACCAAGGTTGTGAATACTGCCCAGAGGAGCAAAGGTCAGCAGGGCTAGGTGGGAGGAGATATGCGATTAGGAGGGGCAAAGACTGACAATTTGCGCTCGACTATCAAGGCACCGGTTCCGACTATGGTCTTGGTACTTGTGTCCTCAACGACGAGGACAAAGTATCCGTCACTTCTGGAAAGCCAGTGGTAGCGTTCTGCGAATTGAGCCTCGCTAATCTCACCAACAGTGGTCAAAACACGCAGGCAGTCGAGGAAACCGGTGTTGTAGTCGGATTGGCGAAGGGCACGCACGATATAGCCCTCGGGGAGAGCAGCGGCGACGGTGGGGGACACGAGGTCGTCGGTGAAGAGGCCTGCTTCAGCCATTGCGACTGCGACTAGGATGCGATTGCAATCACGATATTGGAGCTTTTCGGTCGGGATGGAGCTATGGGAGCCTCTTAGCCGACGGAGGAGCGACCGAGATTGGGTCGAATGGTTGGGCAAGGGTCGAATTGACCTGTCCTGTGGCTACGAAGGAACGGGAGACAAAGTTGCTCGAGTCGATTGGCTGGCGAAGCTTTCGTTGGGGGAAAGCTGCAGAGGATGCGATGCGTTGAGTTGGCGAAATGGACGGCGAAGCGGTGAAGATGATGGAGGAGGGAGGGGGGCGATGGAGAAAAGAGAGACAGCGTCAGCGGCAGAGAGCAAGAGACACCGAGCAAGGTGGCGGAGGCGACCTTATTGTTGATGTTGCCCTGGGCGGTATTAATGGACGCGGCGATGTTTGCAGAGTCGCCCTTCCTTATCCGTCGGGTTGGAGTGGGCAACGTGCTGCAAGTCAACACCCTACGTCGCCTAGGTAGGTAAGGTACGCCGCAGTGAGGGAACACGACTGCGTCAACCAGGGCAGGGTGTCAGGGTGACAGGATGCCAGGATGCCAGGGTGCCAGGGTGCCAGGGCAGTGAGGTGGTAGCAAGGCATCGCAGATCTCCATCGTTCTGATGGATACCCATCATAGGGGGCCCTCATGCCTGTACGGATACGGATACAGAGAGCCCAGGTGAGGTAGACTCCAGAGATGGTGTCCACTCTCAGCCGCTTCCCGGCATCAAAATGACCCTGTTCTCGCTCTTCAACGGCAATGCGGCTTGCCCGCCGTCTTCAGGATGGAGGATGCTCTGAAAGCAGCCCGGATCTGGCAGCCAATTCCATCAAAATATGCCAATTCATTGGTCCTTGGGGAAGAAAAGAGCTGGTCCAAGGTAATCAAGGTAAGGTACTCCGTAAGCTGGCGCACGTGCGGTTCCCAGACCCGTATCCGCCTACACGGGTCCATCTGGAGGCTTTTCTGCGCGTAGCTATTCATAGTGCACCCGCCGCCGCCTTCGTGCCGTGGACCGTCTGTTGGTGCAGAGAAGTCCTGGAAGACAAATCTTTGAGAACCTCGAGGCCACCATAACCCGACTCGTCCGGGATACCTACATGTCATCACCGCACATCTTCCCGCCCACGGGCCTGTCGATCGCCGAAGCAGCAAGGTACTTGGCGCATGTCCATCCCAAGCATGAGGGCCGGCCGAGGAGGAACGAGGTCAAGCTGCACTCTGCGGCTCTGCATCTTCCATGAATAGCACATATGCCGCACGGTAGAAGGAAGTGATAAAGGGGCAAGCCACCGAGATACATGTTGTGCAATGAAATGGCAAGGTTTCTAGAATAGCAAAAGGGGGGAGGCCGTTCGCACTGGCGATAATTGAAAGGATGCGCCTCAACCGCCTCGCAGGGAAACGGAGGCAACATTGACCCTCTTACATAAGGTAAGGCGAGGGGGTACCTACGTGATACACCGTCACCTCAGCATTCCTTCCGTCCTTCCGTGCTTCAGTGCTCCGGTATGGAATGCCATAGTCTCAGCTGGTATCCGTACGGATACGCAGTACCTTATTCTACATGGCAACTGCATGTGCAAATTTGGCAGTACCCCAAGACAGGGCATTCTGGACCACTCACGCCAGGTTGGAGTTGGATGACGGGCAACTTCGCATCTGTAGGCTTATCGGTTGGATGCCAAGCGAGAGTGAGACGCTAAGGCACCTTGCAGGTGAGACGTGCGCCTGCTGATAACGAACCTGGTGGCAGCCTTTACCTTGAAGAAGATGCTTACTACCTAGGTACGGATGCCTAGCTTACCTTACCTTACGGATACTCGCCATTCATTCGACGTGAAAAACACCAAATACAGGACGGATAGACTGTTGTTGATCTGTCGTATAATTGTGCTAGAGGGTGATGAGACACGAGCTGGAGGTACGCTTCAGTACGTAGCCTGGAAGCAATGAATCCATACACGCGATGTCTATGAGAAACACTTTTTGATATTTACTTGTTCAATTAGTTACTCACTCTTGTCTTCACGTCCAAAATAAACACACCAGTGGGTTGTTTCCAGCTATGTAACTTATTATAGCCATGAGTACACATCGAGGCAGTCTGAAGCACCCATCGGCATGCTAAGTTGGTAGGCATGACCGATTCGAATCACCATGCACGCTACCCTCTTAGCTGTGTGTAGCCCCGAACACTAAGGTAGCCTTGTCTCTCATCGGGTCGGGCAAATCCCCCATTTTCATCTCCATCCCCATCATCTCATCTCACCCCGTCTTGCCCGTCGCCCGTCTCATCCCATCCCACCCCAGACGCTACCGAGTAGCGCCATACCAGTCAACCACACACGATGGTATGTTTTTCCTTCACACAAGCACTTTTGCCTCCTCTACCCGAGAGGCACACGCGCCGGCGAGTCTGGAGTCTGGAGTCTGGAGTCTGGAGACACACACCCACAGAAACCAGGGCCTCGCCATGCCATCCCGTCCCATCCTACCTGACGCCGTCGCCGTCGCCGTCGCGCGCATGAACATCCCCCACAAATTGCTACGGAATCACATGCTGCCCTGCCGCCATGCCTCATGCTCAACGTCCCACTTACTCTCCTATTGGAGCCCTGGCACAGCGGCTCAACACGTCAACCCGGTCACCTTTGCCTGAGCTTTACATTGGGCTAGAGCACCCCAACTGATTTCATTCCACCGCGCACCCCAAAAACCACCTTACGCGGTACCCCCTCGTATTAGTACTCCGTAGCAAACAAAGTGCCTCCTAGAAACGCGGATTCTTGCCTCTCTCCAGAGTTCCCTTCTCACGAACCTCGTCCAAGACCCCGTCATCAGCACAACACAATAAAACACAGCATCGCCACTCCCGCTGCATCCGGGACGGGCCCATCGAAATATGATAGATGTTGGCAGGCCAGCCTGAATCACTACCTACACTGAAGCTTGTCGTCTGCCAGATTTACTCTGTTCCGGTCGTTCCACAACTCTACACGTCTCTCTGTACCTCTACGCTGCCCTGATCTTCCTCTGGCTGAAGGTGCTTGAATGTTGCCACCACTGGTAGCCCGCCTATTCGCCCCCTTTTCTTCACCACCTCATCTCATTCCGCTCTTTTACCATTGCTACTAGTTGTGCTTCTTCTCTTCTCCTGTCTTCTACGCAAGCTTGCGCCTTCTCTACATCTCTGGACGCCGCATTATTTGCCTTCGTTTCTCTTCCCCAGTCCCCAGTCCCCCTGACCGTGTGCTCGACATTCCCTGTCTGAACCAAGCTCGGTCAAGGTCTCGAGTATAACATGGTCTCTGTACATCCCGCATCACAGCAAGTCTAACGTTCGGAACCTTATCCCAACTCCACGTTGTCTGTCACTCGATGACCCGTGCCTCCTGCGTATGCGAGCGCCCACTTCCCGACCCTCACTGGCATCTGCCCCGGCACACGCATCAGAGACCATGGATACCGACGACGAGTGGGACGGGGACGGAGACGAACACTCCCAAGATTTGATCCATGTCCCTCTTGACTCTCACCAAGGACGAACTGTGCTACCGAGCCCCATAGCAAAGGCCGTCAGTCTTGCCACTCGCTCAACATGTCTAGCAATTCGCGTTGGTACCCTCATCAGCTCTTACGGCTTTGATGCTGCCAAGTTCACCACTCTTTCCAGTCTGGAGCTGAGCAGGGGTATACTCGAGGGGATCCTAAGCAGATCCGGGAGAGATATGCTCGTACGCTCCAACAGTGATCTGGGTAGAGAAGACGCCGAGACTGTCCTGGAGAGGAGTCTGGAGCACCTACATAGTGCCATGTCCCAAATCGTTTTTTGGACTACAACCGGCTTCCAGATGACGAGTACAACCATCTCCGTCGCTTCAGAAATATCTCAGCTTCTTCTCTCGTCTCTCGACCAGTTCTTCGGCTCAACCGACTCTTCACGGGCCATCGCGAGCATCATTACCCTAATTCGCCGCGAGTTCCAGAATCCTGCCACTGGTGTAGAGGGCGAGCGCGTGGGTGTTGTGGATCTGGTCATGGGCTTGTGCGCATTGGCCTACCTGCAGCGCAAATGTCGACGCTTCCTCGACGAAGAGACAAGACGACTTGGCCACGATGAGATCGTTTGGGACGTTGTCGTTCTTAACGACGGGGAGCGGGTCGATATCCACGAGAACAGCCTCTACGGGGTACACAAAGGCCGTTACAAGAGCAAGGGTCCTGATATTTTGGTTTCTATCCCAGGAGACCAACCTAGTCCTGGTATACTAGCCACCATCGAACGGCATGGTGAGCGAGAAACCAGTGAAGACGAAGACGACAACGACCTGCCAGAAATTCGCCTCAAAAATCAAATTATGCGGTCCATGCCCGCAGACACGAGCGTCTCCATCTCGACAACGACCTTGACGAGGAAGATGATAACGGTAGACTTTACTGGACCTGAACCCCCGACTTTGACACCGCCTCCAGGCGTCGAAGTTGTCGAACGGGAAGTTTTGCCGTCGACAGAGGGTCCGAAGGAGCAATTGGTGCGGCATCAGGCCGTTGCTGATGTCCCGACCTATCGGGTCGTTTACAGAGTCGACAAGAGCAAACATCGGAACACAACAATCCAGGGCTTCGAGGAGGCGAAAGAGAACTCTCGAAAGGTGGAATCACTGGACGATACCGAAGATTCGGATGGTTATGGTCGAAATGATGAAAAGGACGAGCCGCCACCCGTTCCCCCAAAGAAGGCGCTGACCTCGGCCCCAGCCAGTATTTTGAGGCCAGATGTGACCTCTAACCCGACCCCTCGCCGAACAAAGGTTGGCCCTAGTTTTCCCTCAAGTTCACCCAGCAACCGAATCTCTCAAATCCCGACACCCAAACAGAGTCCTGAGAACGCGCCGAACCAAAAGCGACAGCGCGCGCCCCTAGGGCCCTTGCCAGTGCGGGCACGCCAGGAGAGTGCAGTCCCGCCCTCGCACCCCGAAGTCAACAAGCCCAAGAGAAATAAGGGCGAGCCCCTTTCCAGTGGCAAACCGTCAGAGAAGCCCACCACTGAGAAGAAGGGAGGTATCAGACAAGCTTTGAAAAGGGGCACCAGCTCAACCAGCTCAAATATTTCCAACCTTTTCCACCGAGACGGAAGCGGCACGGGCAGTTCGCAAACCACGGGGAAACCGAAGCAGGCGGCCAAGCCTGGCCCAACGCGTACCTCTGCCCAGCCGGGGCGTCCGTCTCAGACTCGGGCCATGGGCCCGACTGCTGCCTCTAGCTCGCGGGGCCGCAGCTACGAGAACCCCTCGCCCGTCCCTCGCAGCTCTTCACGAGCCAGTTACATATCCGTACATGAGCGACGCCGAGACTCCATTGTGTCACAGACGGAAACCTACTCCTTCCACGCCGTTGACGGATATCGACCCCAGTCTCCCGGGTATGCCCGCCGTGACGGCGTAGGCCAGCCCAGTATTCCCAAGTCGCGGTCAGAGAAGGACATGAATGACCAGAAACCATCATCGCCGATGAAGTCCAGAAGGGCACGTTCCCACGTCAACACGCCAAGCCTCTACAGTATTGCCAATACTGGTTCTCAGACATCTCTGGTCCTATCATCGTACTATCAGAAGAGTGCATACACAGACTCGGAGGCGATCGACACCTTGAGGCGGGCAGGCACAGTGGACGGGGTTTTCCCGGCATTTCATCTCCTCCGGAACATCACTCGATATATGAGATTCTCTTCGGCGTCATATGGTTCCAACTTTCTCAAGTTCATGGGTATATCAAAGGAAATGCCCCTGATTAAAGCACTGGACGACACGCACCACGAGATCAGATCCTTTGCACACCACACAGAATCCGAATCCACCAGCATCCTCCTTGCTTCTTTCGTCGACGCTCAGGGAGGATCCGACACCACCGGCTCAACAGGCACCGGAGTCCCCTTGGTCCACTACATCTCCCTAGACCACGAATCAAAGGCCGTCGTCCTCGCGTGCCGCGGCACACTCGGCTTCGAGGACGTCTTGGCCGACATGGCCTGCGACTACGACAACCTGTACTGGCGAGGCAAATCCTACAAGGTTCACAAGGGCATCCACGCGTCCGCCCGTCGCCTGCTCTACGGCGGCGACGGACGTGTTCTGTACACGCTCAAAGAGGCTCTGGATGAATTCAGCGACTACGGACTCGTCTTGTGCGGCCACTCGCTCGGCGGCGGGGTCACGGCACTGTTGGGCACAATGCTGGCCGAGCCCTCGTCTTCGGGGACGGGATTCGTGACGACTTCAGACCCACATCGCCGACTCCTCGGGGACGGGCGCCTACTGGATGCCGATACAACGCACGTGTGTCTCCCCTCAGGTCGACCCATCCACGTCTACGCGTACGGACCGCCTGGGACAATGTCTCCAGCCCTCCGTAAAGCCACGCGAGGTCTCGTAACCAGCGTCGTCCACGGCTGCGATCTGGTCCCCTTCCTGTCTCTGGGTGTTCTGCACGATTTCCAAGCCGTGGCCCTCGCCTTCAAGAGCGACAACCACGAAGCGAAAGTCGAGGTCAGACAAAGGATATGGCAGGCCTTCCAGTCCGGCCTGGCGGAGAAGTGGTACACAAACAGCAGTAGCAGCCGCTCGATGGCCGCCGACGAGGATAAGTGGAGCATCTCGGCGTTGACGACGCTGCGGTCCAGCATGATGAGCCTCAAGCTACTGCCGCCCGGCGAGGTGTTTATTGTAGAGAGCCAGCGGGTCCTGAGGCGCGACGCGTTCCTCGTGTCAGACGAGGAGTCCATCGGCCGACCTGCGCAGCGGATCGTGCTCAAATATGTCAGGGACGTTGAGTCACGGTTCAGAGAGGTCCGGTTCGGCACCAGCATGTTGATTGATCACAGCCCGGCCAAGTATGAAGAGGCGTTGAACAAACTGCGTTTCGGAGTTGTCGAAAGTTGAGGCAGAATTACAGAATTACAGTCTGGCTGGAGAAATTACAACACAAACACCCTTTTTATTTTCCTTTGTTATTGCGGACGCAAGTTCCGATCTATCACCATATACCCCCCCCCCCGCCCCCACTCCCGAGTGCGAAATAATTCTATGCACTATTCAACGTTGAGTTACAACTTTTAGCCTGGTCATGTAAGGACATTATATAAGTTTGGGACGGGAAGTTCTGGGTAATCAGGGAAGAACCCTAGATTGCAAAGAGATGAGTTGCATGTAGACGTGAAATCAACTAGGAATTTCCTACGCGTGCCATGCTTAATTGTTGGCGTTGCAAGAAAGTCTCTGAAGTAAACCAGTTAAAGGTATCCCCGAAAGCTTTCTTCACTATTCTTATAATTTTACTCTACCACCTACAGTGGCTTTTCCGTCACAATCTTACCGACGTTATCATAAAAGATTTCCTTCACCTTGACGGACCGAAGGTGATCCACGCCTTTGCTCAGCTCGCAATCGTGGTGAAACAGCCACCACTGGCCCTTAAACTCGACAATGGAATGGTGCGTCGTCCAACCCAGGACCGGCTCGAGGATTCGTCCCCCATATGTAAACGGGCCCAGCGGGCTCTCGCTGGTGGCGTAGCAAAGGTAGTGGGTGTCGCCGGTCGAGTAAGAGAAGTAGTACAGGCCGTCCCTCTTGTGCAGCCAGGCGGCCTCGAAGAAACGGCGGTCGTGGTCGTCGGCCAGGATAGGCTTGTTGGTTTCTGGGTCGAGAATCTGTACCTCCTCGATCTCGCCGTCGAATTGGTGCATGTCGCCCGTCAGCTTGGCTACACGAGGGCCGAGTGCGTAGACGCCCTCGCCGCTGGGTTCCTGGGGGCCCAACCACTGCTTCTCAAACACGTCGTTGCCCTCCTGGTAGCACTGTAGCTGTCCGCCCCATAGACCTCCGAAGTAGAGGTAGCCCTGCCCGTCATCGTCGACGAAGCTGGCCGGGTCGATGCTGTAGCTGCCCTTGATGGGTTCCGGGTCCGGGGTGAAGGGACCCTCGGGCTTGTCGGAGACGGCAACGCCGATGCGGAAAATGTCCTCCTTGTCGCGGGCAGGGAAGTAAAGGTAGTACTTCCCGTTCTTGTAAGCGGCGTCGGGAGCCCAGAGCTGCTTCGAGACCCAGGGTACATCCTCAGTCTTCAGGACAACGCCGTGGTCGACGACGGGCTCGAGAGGGTCGAGCGATGATGTGCTGAAGACATGGTAGTCGGCCATGTCATATTGGTCGCCATTGTCGTTGAATTTGATGTCGGTCTCGCGGTCATGGGATGGGTATATGTAGACTTTGCCATTGAAGACGTGGGCCGATGGGTCGGCCGTGTAGAGGTGATTGATGAGGGGCGCCATTGTAGCAGACGAACTGTGCGCGGGATGGGGGAGAGACTGGGAGTGCGGGGGAGAGAATGCGGGGGTGAAGTGTAAGTCGTAGAATTGGGGTCAAATGGGGAAATCCAGCGTACCACCTTGGGTATGCTGGGGGAAGATGAACCTGCTAAAAATGCCGATTTGCAACGAGAAAAGATGGCCAAAGATATCATGCAAAGGTCGATGGGCTCGAAGGAAGCCTTGGGAAGCCATCGCTTATATGCCCAAAAGTCACAACCAGGAATTCTCCACCACCAAAAGGGTTCAGGCGTGTGGATGAATATGAATGTGGTGATGTTGGCCCGGAAGAGTGGAACACGGGACGACTAGCCAGCGGCCTTTGAATTTACCCAGCGCATTTTCCCGGTTTACCCCATCCTGGGCACACCCCCACCCACGCGCACGACGAGTTGGAGGGCGGAACCTAGACGGTGTTGCAAAGGGGCAGGATGCCAGGGTGGTCCAACGTAGACTTCTTGGGGTCCAGCCCGTCGAAGAAGGCGTACAAAAGCAGAGTTGCCAAAGATGAACGTGCGCATTGGCTCGCCATCCAAAGTTCTAATTCTCTCATAGCCCCTTCGTTGATACGCAGGCAGTTGGTGGCACCGATCGGGTTTTGCTAGCCTTGCTGTATGTAGCTGGTCAAAAGTCCTGAATGCCGGTTTGCCCCCGTGTGGTTTCGACTCCCTCATTCGCATCACTGGCCCATCCGGGGTCTTCTTGATCGAACCACGCTTCCTCGGCATCACGTCTCTCCATGACATCGTACTCTTCGTTGTGGTCGATCAGACTGTAATCAAAATCCTCATCATGGCCACGGACAAAACGTTCTGTGAGAAACTCGTGCCATCTCTTGAGGCCTTCTTCCTTGGTCTTCGTCTTTGAAAGATCGGCCTCGGTGGTGAAATCTCTAGCGGGCTCCGGCGATACATTGTCGTCGGTTGATGACTTCAAGTCAGCAAGACGAGCCTCGCCTCTAAGCAGAGAGCTTTCTAAAACCCCCGAGTAGCCCTTGGCCTTGCCTTCGACCTCACGCTCGGCTGGTGTCTGAAACTTGCGAACCAAGCTGTCGTAGAGTAGAGGGTCTGCAAGAAATCTTAGCATTTGGATTGAAGAATAAATGGCTCTGAATCTAGAAAAGAGCATTCGGCACTGGGCCGCTTCAATATAATAGGGAGAAGGGGACGCGAAGAGACGGACCGGCGAGCTCGTGTTCAGCGTCATCAAAGTATTTGGGATTTCTCTCGAGGTATTCTCGGCGACGGTTGCAAGACCGAATGTTGTTCGCTATGGTTGGCGACTTGGGCGGACGTGGTGTCGGTTTCTCAAAGCGCATACTCTGCGGCTGAGCCTCGAATCCGGTGAGGGAGGGCATCTTGAAGCGGTCGGTACCAGACCAGACCGCGTCAGGTCGAGGGCTTTCAAGTGTTGAAACACTCGTTTGCCGATGATATCACAGCCGTGGTATGAGAAACTCTGCCGCTAGTTGTTAGACGAGGTCCGTGTAAGAAGGCATCGGAGAGTGGGTTGGATGGGATTGGAGGTGTTCATGTCTTGGTAGGTACGGTCCGTACGGATAGGTAGGTAAGCAATTAAAAGATGTCACTGTTTAAAATGTGGGTCGGCACCAAGTGTCCAAGTACCTATACTAGGTAAAGTACTAAAAGTCCCTGAGGTACCTTATGCAGAGTTGCAGACACGAGAGCCTCCAGTGTATCCGTATTTTTCGGCTCTTACCTACATGACTGACAAGCTGAAGAACCCCACGAGACTCTCCACAACTTGCAGAGTACCTTAACATGCCGGGGATCGGCATTTTGCCTCTCAGCGGGCCAGCCAATTGATCCTTGGTTTCGGGCCAGACGGGTGCAAGATCTCGATGAAAGGGCACGGCAGGGAGCCGAGTCCGTGGCTGATGAACGTAGGAACCCTTGGGCTCTGGTCCTTGCACGACAAGGCGTGCTAGATTGCTAGGTAATTTCTTGAGGTGCCTTACGGAATCGTCCGCTTCTTCAGATGTACCGGGCTATTTCTAGACGGGAGAGTCGGGTTACCATGAACAAACCTATTGGTTGGTTATTGGGGAGGTGGGGCGGAAGCACATCGACGTGGCCCGGCAAGGAGGGCAACACGGCCAATTAATAGGGGGGAAAATGAGAAAAGCCGTTGGATGTCAACGGGAAATGAGATAGAGAGGAGAAGGACAAGCAGGATTTGGACCGGACATTGAGGCCGGTTAGGTAACCGTACCTTGGAGGCTTCCTATGTAGGGACGGTCCACGGATCCATTCGCGTGGGTTTGCACTTTGCAAGGCATGGCAGCCGCATGGGTATCCCACGCGTCGTTTGCTTCTCTCTCTCTTTCTCTACGAATACCTCGGCGAATTGGTGCTGGGCTTTCGAGGCATCTTGAAGTTCAGTTAGGTTGTCAGCAATTCTGTACCTCTCCCTCCACAAGTTCCAAACCAGCGCAACCTTGGAGTACCTTACTATGACAGCCAGCCCATCGGATCGGCGCTTGACTGGACTTGACGTGGTGGTTTACATCCATCTCGTCTAGCAGTATCTCGACTTACTGGACGGGAAAGCGAGGCATCTTGTACCATTTCTATTTGGCCTCTCTTGCTTCTTCTTTTCTTTTACCGTCTGGTCTCTGCTTCTTGTCTCTGAGCAGGGTATATCAAGTTCTCAACTCTATTACCCTCTCATTCCTCTCTTTCTGGTACCTCTCCTGGTGGTCCTTGGATTTCCTAGGGCCCAACTCACTCATTCGTCACATTTTCTCTCTTGTCCTGCCTTTCCTCTCTCAACTCCCCAGGTGCCCGTCATCCCCCTTTAATACTTCTGTACTCGCACTTACACATTCCACTTTTGTCAACTCGCCTCACCGTATCATACCGTATTTCACCGTGTCCCATCTACTTTGGAAGCATCGCCCTTTCCCCTCCTCCTTTCCCTCCTCCTCCTCCTCGTCGCCGTAGCCAGGGAGGCACCTGATACCACTTATTCATCCACCTCTCATGCCGCCCGTCCCATCCGTTCCTCTTACTCTCGGCGTGTCTCAGCCTCTGTCCACTTGACCCAAAGAGACGACCCGCCAGAACCAAATTCATCAGCAGACGGCCGCGATCACGACCACGCCAACGGCGGCGAAGACGCGACAGGACGCGCACGATACGATACCACGCCGAACTTCAGTTACTCATACCATCCGAGAGTCGCCCTCACTCGCGCGCTGAATGTGACCCCCTCCCCCCATCTCCATGGGTACTGCTGGGGATATCAGAGCCCGTCTTCGGGCAAAGTTCTCACGGAGGAATTCGGCTGCCCCGTCTCTGGCTTCCAACAAGAGCACCGGCGATGCTCACAACTCTCAGGCAACTGATGGGACGAGTCTCACGCGGCAATCCTCGGCCGCTGCATCCGCTTCGGTTCCCAGGTCCAGAGCAAGCTCACAGCACCCGGAGCACACGCCAGTCTCGCCCTTGCCCTCGCGCTCGCCGACTCCACACCAGCCACACCACCAGCTGGAGATGCACCTGCAGGCACAGCCACAGCCCACCACAGTACAACCCCCCAGCAGCGCAGGCGACCACTTGGTGCAGCCGAGATTGAAGGCAATTACGGCTGGGGCTGCCGCTGCTGGGGCGGCTGCAGAGGCACAGGGTGAAGCAGATAGCGAGGACGGGCAGCTGCCGCCACAATCGTCGTCGCCGTCCAGGTCCCCCCATTCAATGGACCACCAACAAAGACAACAACACCATGAGCACCAGATTAAACGTGACAGTAATGGTGATGATGAAAATAAAGGTCATGATGCCTCTCACAACAGCGGCCAGATTTTGGTAGTACAACACCACACCATTGCCACGACTAATATTGCCGACCCAACGCCCGACAACCAACAAAGACCCGCCAGCAGCGCCAGCAATAAGGTCGGAGACGCTTCGACTGGGTACGAGGAGGACGCTCACAAGCCACACCCCGATATCGACTCGCTGGCTCCAATGCCGCGCGCCGCGTCTGAAGGACGCTTGGCTAGTGAACCGACAGCCAGCAGCGATCTGCGCCCGTCCGCAACAACCACAACCACTGCTTCTGGCGCTACCCTCACTGCCATCAGCAGTCTCCCAAGCATTCACGAGGATCAAACCCCACCCGGATTCGACGACAAAAAGCAGACACTCCATCTGCCGCAGTCGTACCAGCCATTGCCGCCAAAACTAGGCGCGGCTCCCACCGTCACCCTCAAAGCGGTCTCTGCTGAGGACCTCAACGACGATCAACACGATCCCCTCAGCCATGCCCTCGGTACCCCGACGCCTCTTGCAACCGCCATCCTACCGAACTCGCCCTTGTCATCCCGCCCAGAAGCGCCTCCCCGCCGACAGAGCCTTCTACCCAATCGGCAAACCACTTTGATTCGAAACCTGCTCGAAGGACGTGCCGAAAACGAAGCTGGACCAGCCAGCGCCGATTCTTTGATCCCCAACATTGCAAACATGGTCACCCGCAAGGTCTGGGTTAGGCGTCCCGGTGCTTCTGCCACACTCATCACCGTCAACGAGGACGACCTGGTCGATGACGTGCGCGACATGATTCTGAGAAAGTACGCCAACTCGTTGGGCAGGCATTTCGATTCTCCCGACCTCACTCTACGGATATGCCCACGGGAACAGAGACAGGATCGTCTACTGGGGCCGGAAGAGCCCGTGGGCCGTACCCTCGATGCCTACTTCCCCGGTGGCCAGAACGTCGACGAAGCCCTCGTTATCGATATTCCAGCCCGGCGTACGCCTAGACCATCACCGCGCGCTCCGACGCATGCTACAACCATCTACTATAATGACGAAGGCCGGCCTTCCGAGGCAGGCGAGGGGTATTTCCCGCCCGTTGCAAACGCTGCTGCTGCTCTTCCGTCGCCAAACCTTCCCATCCCCGTCGTCGCTCCAGTCACTGTCCCTGCAACGCATCCTGCACATCCTGCCCATCCAGTTCACCCGGCTCATCCCCTTACTGCACACACTCAACACTCGATTGCAATCCTCGGAACGGGTCAAGTGCCGCCGATACCCTCACCCGGGGGCACAAGGTCTCGTGCCTACAGGGAACGCCCGGAACGTCCTCGCCTTGGGAGAACCCATACCTCCTCACCTACGATACTGAATCAAGTAAATACTCAATCCATGGCGGCCGCAGCAGTCACTGCTGCACATCCCACCCACTCGTTCCACCCACGCCTCCCACCTTCCAGAACGCAGTCGAACACATCGGAGCAATCCAACGCCCAGCCGGCTGCCCCGCCGCTTCCAACATCACCCGCTCCGGAGGTACAGCCTGCAAGAGTTGCTACCCCGCCACCGAGGATTGCTTCTCCTCGCCCAGCAAGTTCTCGGCCTAAAAAGAAGAAAACAGTAGACCATCCAACTTTGCCGGCTGGCATATTGAATGGCGGCGTGCCACCTATCAACGTGTTGATCGTAGAGGACAACCCGATCAACCTCAAGCTGCTCGAGGCTTTCGTCAAACGTCTAAAGGTGAGGTGGAAAACGGCAGTCAATGGCCGAGATGCTGTCACCATGTGGAGGACCGGCGGTTTCCATCTCGTTCTGATGGACATCCAACTTCCCATCATGAGCGGACTGGAAGCGACCCGAGAGATCCGTAGATTGGAGAGAGTCAATTCGATCGGCGTCTTCTCTTCGTCGGCAGGAAGCGCGCCTGAAGCCCCCAATGGCGAGCCAGAGGAAAAGGACAAGTTGACCAACATGGAGCTCTTCAAAAGCCCAGTGATTATCGTGGCCCTAACTGCCAGCTCCCTCCAGAGCGATAGGCACGAGGCCTTGGCGGCCGGTTGCAACGATTTCCTTACAAAGGTTGGTACTCACCTACCTTCTATACCGACTGATCCACTGTGCTAACATGACAATTTCAGCCTGTAAACTTTGTCTGGCTAGAGAGGAAGGTTATGGAATGGGGATGCATGCAAGCGCTCATTGACTTTGATGGCTGGAGGAGATGGAAGGACTTCTCTCAGCAGAATGACGAAGCCGAAGCAAAGAAGTCGGCCGCGTTGAAGACGAAGGCAAAGAAAAATCGCTTGTCGATGACTTCGGTGCCAGCTTAAAACCACAACAACGCCGACAAGCATGAGCAAAGGAATTATGGCCATGCGACATTGGCGTTCGTTACGTTTGGGCAGAAGGCTACAGCATTGCTAGTGCCGCAAACCTTCGGCAGGGCGGAGTCCTTTCTTGCAGCGGTCCTTATGGGACTTTGCTTTACCAGCATACGAGAGCAAAATACTCACACTCTTCTAAGCAATGATTGGGCAGGCATGGTGCTCATCCCTATTGCAAAGGACCGGTATTTTGTTTATGGCTACTCATCATTTGGTTGCATGGATACATCGGTTCGGATCAAAGGAATGTCTCGCATGGAATATACGAATAGGGATGCGCAGAATGATACCATACAGCGTGTATGCACGAGATATTAATCATAATAGATTCAGCAACACATCCCACAGATCTTTCGCCGAGACAAAACACCTTGTCCCGTGACTGAGTGCATTGCCAATTTTGTGTACATTATTTACGTACCTCAGTTGCAAATCTAGGAATTCGTTTGCGCGGTAGCTTGACGAGATGAGGCCCCGGAAGAGTGATGCAGAAGCGGCCGGGTGGTGGAGACCGGACCTTGGGAAAGAAAGGTGTCACAGTTTTGACCTCAGGCACTTGGCCAATTGACTGAGGCAATTTATCTGTGGGGTGGTCCGTGCACCAGCTCCTAAGAAAACGAAGAAAAAATTAGTAGCTGATGGGGACTTCCCTTCTTCACAACACCACATCACGTTTTACCCAAGCTCCCAATGGTCGCTTAGCCGTAATTCGGTGAACTCAGGCGCGATTCTGCGTCCAGACAACACTGATCGCAATGTCGTCGCGAGCGGGCTCGTCATTGTCGCCATTGGTTCTCGGGGCCAAATTGTGCGATGCTTACGCTGGTAAGGCATCGCGGTCTCGGCCGGCCGCAAAGATTGCTTGCGCCTTTTCAACAACGCCCCTCCAGTCCAGAAGGACCAAGGACCAGCATGAGATGCACGACTGGCTCAGGTTTGGCAAGGGTTCCCAATTCCGGGATGCTCCTAGGCAGGGCCCAATGTACTTGACCTTGAACGAGGATCAGCCGTTCCCGATGAACCCGTTCTTCAGGAGTCAACCCGTGCTGAGCGAAGAGTTGAGGGAAGAAGTCTTCACAAGGGTCAAAAACAAGAAGGAGTCGCTGAAGCTTGTTTCGGCTGAGCTTGGTATCGATGTTCGCCGCGTCGCTGCCGTAGTGCGGATGAAGGAGATCGAAAAGCAGTGGGAAGCCGAGGTAAGCCTGCATCGTTTTCCTTTTATCTCATTTCCTCGATTCCCCCAGCATCATGATGATCAACTTTCCAAAATTCGATTAGTCTTGAAGACGCAACATATGGTTACACCTTGGCACTGCGAGCCTCTCTGATTTGCATCTCTACAATTTTTTTTATATCACATCGCACATCATTTTAGACTACAGTCTGCTGACTTGAGCATAATTCCTCAGCGCAAACCATTTGCTCGACCTTACGCAAAAGCCATCATGGCCATGCTTCCCCAGACTCATTTGTCGAAGGATCCGCGAGGCATTCAGAAGCCTCACGAGCCTGTAAATGAGATCCATGTCCACAAGCTTACGATGCAACAACTTTTCGTACCCGTGTCAGAGTCTCGACAATTCAATAGAGAAGATGCTGCAAAGGCCTTCCATAGAAACATGCTTTCGATTGACGAACGCTCACCACACAAGGAGCTCATTAACATGCGAAAGGCAGCTGCCAATGGCGGCGACAGAGCAGAGCTGACCAAGAAGTTCCGCGCAGAGACTAGGGCGCAAGAGGACAGGCTGATTGAGAGAGAGCGCAAGCGCCTGGAAAAGGCCGAAGAGGAGACGACACGTGTTGATACCGGTCGTTTCGAGTTCAGATTCAAAGAGATGAATGTGGAAAGCGTCGGCAAAGACGGCCGTAGCAGGAGGGGAGTCGGCTGGAGATACGGCGTCCCCTTCTATGATCGTAGGAAGGGCGAGACGAAGATTCCCACGGTGGTACCTTGAACGTGTCCCCACATCATCTTGTCCATTGCCGAGTACATCACGCATAACGACGGCCAACTTGAGGAGGGACCCACGACAGCCACCTAATCCAATCGAAAGACGAAACTGATGTCACGTTGGCTCAGTTTTCGTGTGGGCGTTTATCCTCGTGCAGGATAAGCGCCTGTGTCTACCAAGTGTAACTATATACATGTAACCTATATGACGACGGACTCAGCGGAGGGACGCTTCAGGAAAGAAGCACAAGCCCAGCAAGAAATTATTTATTCTTCCAAGGAAGCCTTTAGAGCAAATATTTTGTGTTTGAGACCCAGTCAACTACTTGACGTCCATTGTCAACATCGACTACTAGGTTTGACCGGATACGGCTGATGTCTTCTGAGGACAGACGACATCTATTCTGCACGTAAGCCTCAACTGACCCGTACTCCTCGCGGAGCTTGTCCAGGGTCGCAAGCATGTTTTCTTTCCTGAGCATGACGCGGCCGGGTTAGCGCAGTGACAATGGCATGTACCTAGTAAGAGTGAGAAGTTGAGCACGTACCGTGAACCAACCATGCGCCTGGCGCCCTCCGGATTTCCCTTCATCGCCTCGGTGGCTAGGAGATGTTTGATAATCTCTTCCCTCCGATCTTGGAGACCAATGTCCGTCAGGCTGTACTCATGGGCCACGATCTCGTCCGAGACGCCGCACAGGCTAAGGATGAGAGCACAGATGATACCGGTCCTGTCCTTGCCGGCGGTGCAGTGGATGAGCAGCGGCGTCGGGGGTTCGGGAGAGGCCAGGTGAGAGAGGATGGTGTGGAAGGGGTCGTTGGGATGATCCGCCTCCGAGGCGGCGCGGAGGATATCGGTGTAGGCCTTGGTGAAGCCCTACGGAAAAACCATTCAGAATTTCAACATGACAATACCGGGAAGAGGGCGGGGTAAGTGAGATGATGAGAGTTTTACGAGGCGGTCCTGGTCACCAAGCGGGAAAGGGGGCAGCAGAAACTCACCTCAGCCCCGTTACTGGAGTAGTTGCTGTACCGCAGAGCAATGGCCTCGGGGCCGTAGTCCTGGTCCCGGAAGACGGGGACGAAGATGCGGGTGGCGCCGGGCCACTCGCGGACGTCGCAGCTCGTGCCGGCTTGGGCGAGGCGCTCGAGCTCGATGGTGGAGCGGAGGTCGTAGACGTGGGTGATGCCCAGGTTCTGAAGGCGGGCGACGCCGACGTCGGTGAGGCGGGAGGGCTCCGCGGAGCGAAAGAGGATGCCCGGCTTGAGGATGCGGCCGGGTTGGGCGTCGATGGGATAACCACCGGCATCGCGGAAGTTAGGGAGGCCCGGGATGAGGTGAAAGGGCGGCTTGGGTAGCTCGACCTTAGGGCGTGGCTGTTCCGTCATTATTGTTTTCCCTTGCGATACGAGTGTTTTGCGTAGCTGTCTCGCGTAGCTCTATGAGTCGAAGAGCAATAGACGCGCGGAGGTCCATGTATCAGTTGTAGAAAGTGCTTGTGGTTTTGGTGGGGTGTAGATGCGCGCACAGCGGCAGTGGGCATCGTCGGATGTGGCTTTTGCGGGGGGGGGTTTGCGGCATCCGAGGCATGTCGTTGGATAAGGTAGGCTCGGCCCTGCCCCCCTTGGGCGAACATGCGCCTTCGGGCGCAGATGGAAGCAGCATCAATCAAGTCAAGGTCACTAATAGGGGGGCTCCTTCACCGAGAACTGACTAACACTTGTGTCCTTAGGTAAGGTAGTGGGTAGATATGGTAGACCGAAGCAAGAAGATGAAAATAAAACAGTAGAAAAGCGCCTCCAGGGTGGATTATTGAGATGGCGGGTCTGCTTCTCGATTACCATGTCTGAGCGAACAATGTGCGACTCGCTCGAATCTAGGGACCGGACCCATCGAAACAATTCAGCCAGTCTTGCGCGCGGTCTTCACCAGCACGTCGGAGACTGAATCAAAGTCAGCATCATGATGAACGTGAAAGATGATAGATGCCAGCGTGGGGCACAGGTGCCGTCCGAGGTTTGTTTCCACCACTGCCAGCTTCGGCCCGTCTACATTCAATGAGAAGGACGACAGCGGGAAAGGGTCAAGGTAGCGCAAGGACGTGCTTGTGTTCCAGCTCGATTTCGAGTTATGACACATCATCCGTGCTTGCAGTCAATCAGTGTTAGGGAAGCGCCATTCTACACCTCCACCGGGGTTTCATACGTTAGCGCAGTGAATTGACAGGGAGGTTCCACTATAAGTACTAATTCTATCTTCTTCGCCTAATTTCTATGGCCAATCCAGAAATAGTACTTCCGATTCTAAAAGCTGATATTTTTTTCCGATCACCGAACCTTTTACTCACGTATATTTCACTATTTTCCCCGCTAGCTTTATAATAATTAGAATAAGTGAAATATTATTATAAAGTAAAAGAAGGTATCGATCCTTATTTTACTACATATTTTATATATAAGTATAAGTATCGTGACTTTGCAGGGCTGCTACCGATTTTGGTAAAGTCTGCTGGTAAGTATTGCGCTAACGTATGAAACCCCGGTGGAGGTGTACCACGACCAACTGGCTGGCTGGCCCGCTGGACTAGTTGAAGTGAGACCTGGCAATTTGCTCAGGTGCTGCTGCTGCTGCAGCAGATGACGACGATGATGATGATGTTGTTCTTGAGTGCTGTCCGGCTCTGTTAACCCGAGTCACCTTGTGGTTGAGTAGCATGAGTAGTAAGCGGTAATGAAAGACTGATTCACTTGAGCCCTGCAACGTGATCCGAGTTCATCCTTCTCGGTGAGGTACTCGTACCTGGTCTGACGTCCTCGATGCGCCTTCCCCGGACGCATGCCAGCAGCAATGTGCAGATTTTCCAAGCCGCAGCACCCTGACTGGCAACTGCCCGTCCAGAGCCATACACCTTGAGAAGCGGATGACAGCAATGACAGCAACCCCTGTTCCAGCTACGCGAACCCCCTAGCCTCGTTTTTGTTTGGCTCGTCGTTCACGCTAGCGCTTTCGTGCTGCGTCATAGGGGACCAACTACTTCAGAATGTGGACATCTGCCCATTTTCCCTGGTTTTTTTGGTTTTTTTAAAGGAGAGAATCGGCCGGAGTGAGACAACAAGATGGCGATCAACCTGTTTATCTTTCCCCTAGCGCCCTCGTGTTGTGATTAGATCACTGCACTGCTACCCTTCTACCTAAGGTACCTTGGTCTGGCTCGTCGCTACCTTACCTTAGCTTGCTTCACCACCACCACCTCTACCACCTTTTCCAACTTCGTTCACAGCTTCAATAGAAAAACCCCTCAGCCTCCGTTCCCCTGTGACCCAACTGCCGTTCCTCCCATCTTCTCCTGACCATCGTCAACGACAGCTATAATTCACCAAACAGGCAAAGTCCAACAGAGTCCAGACCTTCAATAGTGGTCCATCTGCGTCTTTTGCCAACTTACCAGCTTTCCAGGTCCAGCTCAGCCCACCCGGAAACGTAGTCGAGATGGGCCTCTTTGGCATGGCAGCGAGTTACCTCGCCTTCTCCGTCTTGCACTTCTTCCAGTTGGTCCTGGCCGTCACCGTATGCGGCCTCTACGCCGTCGACCTCAACCGTGCTAGAAGCGAAGGGAGCTACACCGACGGGAAATGGGTGAGTTTATTCTGATCGACGACTTAGAGTTGACATTCGGGGGCACGGTTTCAGACGAAACTAACAATCAGCAACAGGTCTTTGCCGTCGTGGTCGGCGCACTCTCCGCCGTAACGGCTCTGCTCTACTTTATCCCCTTCATCTTGCGGTTTGCCATCGTCTGGATCTGGGATGTCATTCTCTTCATCCTTTGGATCGCCCTTTTCGGACTCTTTGGTAATGTACGTACCAACCTTTCCTGCCCCATCCCAGATACCGCCACATACGATCGCATCGTGTTAGAACCACCCTTATTGACTCCATTGCCAGATGTACATCAAGGAGAACGCAGAGGGCGACAGCGGTATTCAGCGTATGAAGAATGCCGTCTGGGTCGACTTGGCCAACGCTCTTCTCTGGCTAATCAGCGCATTGGCTACCGCCGGCTACTGGTGGAGACATCGCGAACGCCGCACTCGCTTCACTGGCCGTGGAAAAGTCTAAACGTATCATCCAAAGGTGGTGATGCAAGACCAAGAGACGGATAGAGCTCGACTGCTGGCAAGTCTGGAGTGGCTGCGTGTGCTCATACACACGTATACCACAGATTGGGGGTGAACGCTCCGTGTTCTGTGATGATGCTGTTACGAGGCCGGTGTTTGGGAGTCTTCATTCTGCCGCAAATACGATACCAAAACCCCGGCGAGGTTTATTATGTATTTTTGCTTTCTCTCTGATTTTACCCTACGAGAGACCCTAGAGCGAGTCGTCGTCTTCGGGCAATGCGGCTTCCGAATCGACTGTGATATTATTTCGCAAAATGCCCTTTGGCTACCCCTGGCTGCTTACCTATCCAGTGGAGGCATTACAATGTCATCACGTCCCTTGCAACTATGTTCCAGACTTATCCATGTGAGATACTAAGAAGATCACATCGGCGACTAGACACACATTCAGGGATTCAAGTTGCGAATAGATTAGTCACAAAAAAACTCAACTTAAAACCCGTCCGTCTAGGCCGGGCCCGGTACCGGCACAGGGACCGTGGGTATCCCGAGGCCCTGAAGACTGGATTATACCTGCCGCGCCGTCATCGGCGCCGGTGCTGCTGTCGTTGCCGGAGGTGAGCGGCCCCGCGTTTCTGCATTTCTTAGAGTTTCGGAGGTGCCTCCAAGATTGTCTGTCTCCTGGGGTAATCTGGAAGACGGCTGCGCCTCCACCCCATTCATCCATCCTATCATGGACGACCCCATAAACTCTCGGGGAACCCTTGAGCTGAGTGCCATACCGTGCGGCGGGTGCATGAAAACGCTCTCCCCATATCGCAATGCACAGCCCGGAGGTGTTCCTCCTGAATCTATTAGAGCCGCTCTGCCGCTCGTCAGGCCAAGTGTGTTCATTGCACTGTTTGACTGCGTGGCTGCCAGGCCTGGCACCTTTGAAGTCCTAAACAGGGAAAGCAAGGGGTCCAGGGTCATGTTTTCCCCGCAGACACCAAGAACGTCGTGTCTCCCCTGCGCTGTGACGTAGTGTCTGTGGCGACCCTGACTGTCCGCTCTTCGCTGATTATTTCTTCGAAATATTGACGAGGGTGGCGCGCTTCAAAGAAATTCGAACAAACACTTCTGGGCATCCCGGTACCCCTTAGAGATCTTCACGTCTCTTCGCTTCAAAACATGGACACTCGGGCCGTGAATGCTAGCAGAATGAATCCGTGTCTCGTTGTTGGATTGAGAACCAACTTGGCTTGGCGTCTGTTGGCGGAAATCATCGAGGTGCCATATTCATCCCACCTTCAGAGAGCCGCAAACGGGATGTGAGCAACGGAAGAACCGGGAGTCGGGGCGCTCTGACATTCCCTATTATAAACTCAGACCGAGCGACGACAGTGAAGGTGTTAGTCAGCAGAGTGAGACTTTGGTATTGAACAAAGGCGGGAAACCAAGTGCATGGAGTAAACCGACAGGAATCGCCGTTTCGCGGCGTCCAGCGTCCGTTGTATCCGTCTACGTCTTCGTTGGGCAAAAGTCGACCCATAAAAACGCACCTGCGGCTGTTGAAAATTGAGAGGACAAGGGCGATCGGCGGCAAGATCAGCAATGTCTTTTCTGCTTCCGATTCAAAGCCCCAAAGGTCAAGCCCCTGGCTTGCATTGGGTGATTGGATCATGGATAAATCCAGTGGGCATCCCAAGACCCTCTTCCAATAGCGTCATGTACTCTACCACGAGAGCCTCCGCTCTCTGCCTGTCTCAACATGGGCCCTTGCCTGTCGTACCGGCGGTACAGAGTACGTAAAGAGTCATTAACACCCGACGATGCGGAGGTTTCATCGGCTGGGACCGAAAGCCTGACGGCGGGTGAGGTATTCGGAAGGACAGGTAGCTCGGGAAGTGGAGGAGAAAAGCATGAGGGGTAAAAGAGACAACTGCTAAACGCTCTGGACGACGGTCGTCCCTGTCCCGCATACTCGAGCTAGCCAGTCCAGGAGTGTTGAACCGAACGTCAAACGTCTCTCCGTCACGGCGTGGTTTAGCGCTAGAGGTGCCTCAAGTGGCACAGTCGAATCCTGTCCGAGGAAGTTTCTTGCGCCAGAGAAGTACTTTGAAGATATGGAACGTGTTGGTGATAGCGATCGTTTCTCAGATACTGTAGCACGTGCGTAGGTAGCCAAGGACAAATGGTAGATGGGAACAGTATGAATCAGCAGTCACCGTAACAGCAAAACAAGACAATACTCTCACCCCTATGGCAAACAAGCATGATATTGCCGCTCGCCGCACAGCCACGAGCCGCAAGCCATGGAAATTGGCAACGATAAGAACGACCTTTGTCTTCTCCCCCTTGTATAATCTGTGGGTCGACGTCAGCGGTTGGTGCCCCATGGCTGTGTCGTTGATGTGACGGTATTCACAGGCGAATAGAAGAGTCTCAAAGTGCAGCTGAGCAATACGTTGCGCGAACATCTGGATCGAACATTGTTGGCCACGGATTGACCGGCATAGGACAGACAGGGTGGCAGTCTAAGCTGGCCGTGCGTATGCCTGATGGCCTATTTGACTGGCTGTCCAGTGTCCAGGTGGTTCTGATGGGCACATGGTGTGCTTGTCGGGCGTGGACAACCACCGCTGATCGACATGAAAGATAGACGACAGCAGTTCTATATTGATGCTTTGGCTCTTGCAATAAGTGAGGATGGCGTATATAGATGTTGATAAGGGTCAAGTTCTCATGAAGTTGGCGGCTCAGCTTGGGCGTTTGCCGACACATTGCGAATCCGCCTTCTGGAGTCTGGATAGAACGTCACAAGCCTAGTTCGTGTCTTCGCAGTACTGCTGTGGGAAACGCGAGACCGTTAATTGCAGGTAGAAATTAACGTCATGTACACACTTGTGATAACTTCTCCATGGAAGGAGCCACCACATGAATCTTATCCGTTGCATCGTTGTTGCCAAGCAAGAACAATCCCGCACAGATAGTGACCTAAGGTTCCTAAGGTAATACGCACCGTGACAGGCGGTAATGTCGCTCTGCCTTATCTATTAACCGAGAGCTATGTGCGAAGACGGTGCCTGCCTGACTTTGGACAGAAGGAGAGAGCTACACAGGATTTCGTATAGGTACACTTGAGGTACCTTAGCTAATCCGCTATGGCCAAGGCACCTTGGCAGGTACGTACAGGTTTTGCGGCACTAGGATCGGAAGGTACTGGGCCCCTGGGTCCAATACGGTCAACGGCCAGGGCAAGATAAAGTGCCTGGATCAACGGCCAACGGCCAACGACCTCAATAAGCTAGCTACGGAAGACCTTTGAAACCGTTTTGCCCATGCCTCCTCGTTCCGTTTGGTCGGTCTCCGCCTCCCGCACCATCCCACCCACCATTCTGAATAATGGTGAGATGCACATGCACCCAGACATCCTTCTTCGTTGATCCTCGATACCATCCGTTTCTCCTGACCCTTTGCAGAAAGATCATCTTTCCTGTATTCAAATACAAAGGACCCTGCAGTCTTCCCTACCCGAGTCCCAGCCGGGTTCTGAAAGTCCGCCCCGAAGGAGCAAAGCATTGCACTCTACTAGTAGCGGCTGCCTTTGAATCCGTTGCAGCCTTCGCGCCATTAGTAACACCACCGCAACTACTGCTGCGCCGACTGACCCAGACCACTTACATGCGAAACGACTCAAGACCAGCTACGGCCACCGCCCTTTACCCGTCGATTACAATCGCGGGTAAAAAAGAGCCACCAGAGGCATAAGACCAGGCACAGTCATTTGTTACGCTACCGCCAGAGGGCCCCTGTCTGGTCCAAGTCCGTCACCTGCAACACAGGGAGGGAGGGGACGAGAGCCTACAGTCTCCCTCACCGCACACATATGCCCTTGCTCTTACATGATATCCACCTCCACGCAGGCTTCACATACCCACCAAATTACCGGCTTTCTCTGGTCTGATCCTGCACCCGTCTGGCGACGTGCAGTTAAAGAGAGAGCCTTGGAAGCCCGGAAATCTGCCAGCAAAGAATCCCAACTGAGGAAGACGGGCTAAGAAAACAACCGCACGTATATCCCATCCTGGACGAAAGACGAAGACGAGGACGTCGGCACCCTCAAGAACCACAGATTTGTCTACTCAGGCCTTGCCAAGCTCCCATTTCCCTTCCACATTTCGTTATCAACAGTATCTGCCACAAGTACCTTCCTCACACGGCAAGTGATACGACACGGCACATGGCATCAACAACAATTGTCACAGGCACCAAGAATCACCAGGCATTGTGAAGGAGGAATCGACCATGGCGAGCTTAGGTCGTTCGTTTAAACCACCAGCGTACTTGCGTGCGCGATCCCGACCTGCGATGACTGGAAGAACCTTGTCCAACTCTTCCGACATCTCGGTGGTCTCGACAGGATCTCGCTCCGACGCCGACGACCTGCTCATGTCCGGGCTCAACACACCAGCGTACGAAAAGCCGAAGCCAGGACCGGATGGGTTCAAGATGTCAACGGCCCCCGAGTTGTGCTCTCCCAAAGGTATGTACTAACTGTTTCGTTGTAGGTCGGGTTTTTGTTCTCTTTGGCCCTTTCCCCGCATATTCCATGCTCTTTCGGTTTACAATCGCAGACTTGCGCTCTGTTTCTGTTGTTTCTCTGCCTTTTGAGGGTCGCACCTGGGACTGCGCTTCATTGTGGTCAATCCATGCGTCGTCAATCTCGTTTGTGCCATCGACCTCTGTTTTCCGTCATGCACTCCGGTGCCCGCACCCGGCTGTCTATGCCACCGCAACGTCGGCGCCGACAAGGACTGACGTTGGCGCCCATTGCCCAATGCTTCAGAGAGCTGAACCAGTAATGAGGTTCCCAGACTTGCGAGAGCGAGTCAGGCGGGCTAAGGATCAGGTGATGAAGGTGTAGTGCACCATGGCTCGCAGCTGGTTCTTGAGACTTCTCTTATGTTTCCTAAATGTTCTATCGTCCTGGAGTTGCCGCAGCTGCCGAGAAGATGGAGGCAGCCTCGAACACTTGGCCAGAGTCAAAAGCCAAATTTACCCTGGGCATGTCCAGAGAAAGACAGAGAATAGCATAAGGCCTCTCGAATGCGCGGGCGGGATGGACTCCGATGAGCATTGAGTGGCCAATGCCCCTCATCTGCGCCCTCAGCGAGCGTCGCACACCACAGCCAAAGACCGCTCACCACTCACTGTAGTGTGACTAGAGCCTGCATCTTTTTACCCAGCAGCTGTTACTGGATCACCACCTCACAAGTTACCTGATCCAGCACGAGCCAATCCGTCTGGGAGACCAGAAGCACGCTGAGGTTCCACTGCCCGCATCACAAGGTCCGAAGACTATGGCATTGTGTGCAAAGACCCCAGGCCTTCCGTGCCTGACGTTTCCATACCTTGGGTTTTGCACTGCTGGAATCAGGTGATGTTCTTGGGGCATTGGGGGGGTGGAGGTGGCACGCCACCGCGCTGTCTCCTGGACGCACCAAACGCTCCGTCGGTGTCAGCACGAGGTCCCTTCACTGCGTTCGGTCTGGTCCGCGCTTCTTCCGATGGGAGCGAGACTGACGCGGTGAAGTAATGGGGTCCTTCCAGGCTGAGGTGGTGTGGAGGGGCTGAGTTGCCGTTTGGGGACTGGACTGGCAGGCGGAGGCCTTGGTTGACTCGGCCGGGACGGACCCTGCCCGCCAGATGGCAGACCATCGTCATAATTCACTCCTATTCTGCCAACGACGGGGTCACCCCCGGCCCTAAGCCCTTTTCTTACCTCTCCCAGAGAGTTCGCTCCTGTCTCGCATGGCCACCAAAGACCCTTACCATACCGTTGCGTCATGCCCATGGTGTATATCCGTTACTCTTTCTTTTTCTTTTTCCCTTTCCTTTTCTTTACAGAAGACTTTTAATCGGAACTTCACACATCCATGTTCCTTGCCTTCTCATGAGGAGACCTCGAGACTAATCTGCCCTTGGGTTCTTCTTAATAGGCGAATCATCCGCACCATGCCTTCTCGACCTATCTTCTCTTCAATCCGCCCGCTACAATCGAACTCGCTCAATTCCCACTGACCTGTCTCCCACAACTACTCTTCGAAAGATAAACTCGGCTCCTGCCTGCACGCCTACGCCTCCGGATCCTTCGTCAGCCCGTGGTGACACCCTTTGGTATGTGATGGGTTTCCTTCCTCCCGCCGCCACCAACCCCCACCCAACATCGTTCTCACAACGAGCCAAGATTTTGGTTGTGGGAATTTCAGAGTAATGTGCTGACATTGACTCACAGTGGTTACTTTCCATTCCACGAAGATTCCAAGGGTTCTGTCCATCGTTCCCAACCAAACAAAGCCGAAAGCGGTCTGCCTAATCACAAAACCGCTTCTCTCGCCATCGACTCCTCCTTTCAAGCGGACTCCCGCGGCGCTTCTCGGTCTGCAGCCATGGCACCATCAATCCACCTCTCCCCCGCGAGCGCTGTCGATCCTGCGGGACAATCCAGCGTCAATACGCCTGTAACGTCTTACCTGCCTAGCGGCGTTCACGATACGTCATTACCCATGGGCAAATACTATCCTTCGAACTACGAGCGAAATAGCAGTCAAGATGGTCGCATAGGGTCTTCCGGGCCCCCGAGCCGTGTATCTTCGACGAGGTCAGAGGGGCATGTTTCAACGCGTGAGGCTTTCAGGTCATCCGCACGACAAGACTCGGAAGTTCGTCGCAAATTACAACAATACCAACGAGACATGATTGCTCAGGCGAGACTGGCGGCTAGCGAAGTGCTCGGTAGTTCACCCAGTCAGGTTGCTGCGGTTCCTAGCTCCACAATTGCCTTGAATGGGGTACCCTTGACGAGCCTACACCATATCGGAAGCACCGGCGTGCACAAACCCATCTCACCAAGACTTTTGCCACTGGGAAGTCCAGGGCCCGTGACGCCGATGGATCTGGAAGGAGGGCAGGGCGGATACCTTGATCGGGGTCGCAATGATGAGATTGCCCGAGTATTACGGGCCGAGGAAGACCGCATCCGCCGGGAAGGGGCAACTTCGCCGGCGGTTGAAACGGGTCCGCAAGTTTTCTAAGTTATAGGTGCCAATGGTGTCGACGATCGAGACAGCGGTGGCCCAGAGCCACATCATCTCAATATGACGACAGTAGGGGCGGGAAAAAAGACAAAAGAAAGGCAATAGAGTCGGCAAGGTCAAGACGATCGTTTATGGTTATGATACCCTCTGGTTGTTGCGGCGGTACTTGATTTTTTAGGATGGGAAAAACACAGTTTGGTCTACGGTTGATGACATTTCTGAAGCAGAATCAACCATCTGTGACGCATGGTTTGCGGCGTTATCACACTCATGTCACATTCGTTGAGTTAGCAGATTTGAGCGACCTATCTTCGCATCGGCGTTGTTCTCTTTACTCTCTTTCTGCTTCCACCCTTGAAAATTGTCGGAAGTACGGCGGTTGGAAACTAGGAGGGAGAGGCAAACTAAACAAGATATTACTCCCACTTTGATGCTGTCCTGACCCCACTCCTGTCACGAAACCTTCTATGACGGTCCAGTATGTGAACATTTGAGTTCGCTCAAGTTACGTGGCAAACAAGCACGAACGAGTCGCCAACGATCCTGATGCTAGGAGCGCGAAAGGCTCTCTGGTTATAGTGTTTGAACTCGACGTTGCCGATCCTCACCCCACCTTGAGCCTTAAGCTGCTTTGCAATAGTTAGCAGGAAAACTGCCCTGTACGCCGCCTAATTCTCCTACCCACCAATCCTGATCCGTATCCGTCTTTTTTACAATTTTTATCATATCTCCCTCATTGAAGCTCAGATCCCCATCACCCCCTGAAAAGTCATACTGAGCGATAACAAATTCTTCAGGCACTTTGAAGCGCTTGGCTGGCGGCGGCGGTGGTGGTTTCTTCTTTGCTGCCAGATTCCCCTGCCCCGAGACAAGCCCAGATTGGTGACCAAAATATTCGGATTGGGATCGTGTGTAGGACGGCGATATGTTGGGGGAACCCTTGGTCTGCCCAAGAGATGTGGCCGTGGTGAAGTCGGTCGGTAATCCGAGCTGAGACCGCGAGACGCTCGTACTACTTGATTGCGGGCTGGGATGAGGTGAAGGGTCCCGAGCCACAGATGGTCGGCTGGCCGCGTTGGTTGAGGGTATTCGCATGGCCCGGGGGGTCGTTGCTGTGCCTTCGTTCATGCCAGAAGGGGTCCGCGTGAAGCCATTGCGTGACGACGCTGATGGTACCGATGATTTTCGACCCTGCCCGTCGTCACCTACCCTGACAGGTTGCCTCCAATTCTTGCCATGCGCTATGCAGCTAATAGCCTCAACCTCTTTTTGAATCGGTACAAACGATGCTGCCCAAGTTGATATTACGTTTTCCATAGGAGGTGGAGGAGAAGGGAAGTCGTGGTCTTCACAATAGTTGTGAAGTACGGTATAATACAGCCCGAGAAGTCTGTTCTGGATAGTCACATGAGAGGCTAGAATATGAGGAATCAATGTGAAGATAGCCTCGATGATCGGAGGCAGAGCTTCCCTGATGTGACCGTCGGCAACTTGGAACTCCTACGACCAAAGTTCGTCAAATGCAGGAACATAGACCCCGTCCAAGAAGTACTCACCTCAGATGCGCAAGTCATTTCGAACTCGGCCTTTGACAGCGCAGCATCTTCCTTGGGGGTCTTGCCGGTCTTCTTCTGGAGTTTCTTGACCTTTTCTTGGGCCTTTTCAAAGTCCAATCTTTTGTTCTCGCGCTGCTTGATAGTCTTGCGAAGGGGTTGGATATATTCATGGGCCTCGGTGGCAGGGCGAATGACCCGCTTGTCAATGGCCGTCACTTCTTCGGTCAGCTCGTCCTTGAGGTCGGAGTAGGCGCCGCTAAGCTTGAAGGTGCGATCAAGCTGCAGCTGGGGAGTTGTAACGCCTGGGCGGCCATGTCCCTCTGAAGCACCAACAATTGGATCGTACAAGCCCTCGTACTCCTTCACCATAGACCACTGGCTAGTTGCCATGGTGACCCATGCCTCACGGAGAGTCTTGGTATTCTCGATAATCTAGCACCGCGAAGCCAATGAGTTAAAATTCACACATTCAAAGACCTGGTTTGGTTGAGGGTGGGTGGGGGGGGGGGTGGTATGGCAGGCTACCTTGACCAACAGTTTGTCTGCATCTTCGTAGTCGTGTAAGACGGCAGCAATTTTGGCATTATCACCAGGGCCCTTATTCATGAGCTTGCCGAATTGTCTCTGCATAGACTGCATCTTGAGGATGGGCAGCTCGCAGGCAGCAACTATCCTGGTCTCGGGGATAAGTGACAGTGCGGTGCTACACTCAGCGAGTCGCAAGTGAAGCGACGGGCAGGCGGATGTTACGTTCGTAGACCAAGTGAAGAATGGCAATGAGGGATTGGCCGGGGCCTGGTGGTGTTGTTTGACGAGGGTATGTCGTAGTGCTGGTCGGAAAATGGAGGAGGGGTGAAAATGTTGAGGCGAGTGAAGCAGGAGAGCGGCGGTGGGCAGAAGACCAGCGACGGCTCAAGCCTGCCGACTAGCCGTGTTTACGGGATGTTCCTGCCTACCTATGCGAGGTAGGTAAGTAGGTAGGTATTCAGGTGAAGAACGTCGAAGAAGGCCACGTCTGGGTACCTAATGAGGTAAGCTAAGGTAGCGGTTGTGTGAAGGCGGGAGGTGGAGGGTTACCTTTGGGACATGGCGCTGTACAGGCAAGACCTGACGTTGGACGGGAGGGCGAAGAAGCGGAGACGGGTACGAATATACGAAAGAATAGTTTTCGTTACTTTGAGGAGGGGGAACCGAGCAATTTGGGGGACTGAATTATTACGACACCAATCTTTTTGGGACAAACGGGCAGCCCAGCCAACCGGGTCAGCATCTGGAAGAGCCCTGGATGCACAAGACGCAACTCGGTCATTGTGGAGTGGACAGATAATTATCATGCTGCTGTTCGTATCCATGGATTCTTTACCTTCGCTATGTGTCATTGCCGGGTACTCTGTACAGCACTCACTGCTGCCTTACCGCAAAATCAGCCTCCTGTCCGGGGACTGAAACAAGCAACAAGACTGAAGACCTGACAGAGCACGCCGAGCCGAATAACATCAAGTCACTGCCAACCCGGCTGGGGTTGGCTGAGGTTGATTGTGGCGTGCCTTGCCGCGATTGCCTTGGAAGAGATTAGAAGTCTCTCATCCTTTTGGTTGATTGAACAAACCACAGGTAGAGATGGCCTGGCCTCTGCACCGTGGAACATGCTGCTGGGGCAGATGAGAATAGACACCGAGGTCCACCACACGCACGCACGCAGGAGAGGCATTGGATGTAAACTCGGGCGGTCATGATGTATCCATGGCTCGAGGCAGCAGGCAACCAACCCCTAGGCGGTGAGTAAGGTATTTGAAGGTCGGTGCTCTGTGCCTTGAGGTGGCCAAGGTACATCAAGGTACTGAAGCTATGACCGGCTGCCGGCACTGGTCCAGCCCACTTGGATTCTACACAACGAGACAGCCAAGCTCACGTCTAAGTCACCCTGACCGCTTGGCGTTCAGACGGGACTTGACGGTACCTACTTGATCTGCCCCGCCATTGAGAGAGTGGCTACCTGGCTAGGTAAGGTAGGTTTCTCACGTCATACCTACTTCAAAGGTAGACGACAGGAGGAATGCACAAGGCAAGGACCTCAGTACCCGATCAAGAGGGGAATTATACATGTGAATTCTCGTGGCTTGGTTTTCCTGTCCGGTAGACTTGCAGAAGTTTTCGGCCAAAATTCTCACTCCATGCGGCTAGCGATGACGTCGGGAAATGTGCCGCGTCGGGTGAATTGTCTTGGCCCTTCATTCAATGTTCACGCGTGCTGAACGCGTCGCTAGCATCCTCGTAAACTGTCCTCACTTCTCAGTAGCTCTGCCAGGAAGATCCCACTAAAAGTACCCCGAAAACTGAATAGGGAAGCCGCGGGCACCGTCTGAACCTACCACGCCCGCACACCGAGTCCCTGTTAACAAACACACAGTTCATTTTTATTCGAGGCCTCTTTCTGCCACACAACTTTTGCTCCCAACACCTTCTTCATACCTTGTTTGCGGTATCGGGTGGGCTCCATCACGCACTTCTTACCCGGTACCTGGGGTACCTTAGGAACTCAGAATGCCACCGCAACTCCACCTCACGCTGCACCGTATGCTTTAAGGCACCTACTTCAGCAACTCAGCAACTCAGATACCTGGAAGGTCTAGAAGGATGGTACCTTACCTCGCCTTGGTGTTGGTGCCTCCTACCTTAGATGCAATTAGGCCCTGATGCAATAGGGCGGGGTGGCTGGACCAAAATGGAGGGGAACCATCATGTGACCTGGCGTCCCACCCCGGTCCCTCAGGCGCGCCCAACTTGGTCGCGTCCGCCGGGCTTCACCTCTGCCTACCTACCTGCCTACCTAAGGGGTACGACATTAGAGGCATGAGGGCACATCGTCAACTTACAGTTTCCAATTTGCCGTTCCAATAGGCAGCATGCGGCTCGTCACCTTTGGCCACGGCTATCGTCTTGACCACAATGCCTCTCGCCAGCCGTAACAGCAACCACAACAGCCAGGCGGGTTGTGGTCTGCCGATTGCCGCTCCCGTCTTGGAACACCTGTGCCTTTTCACTCACGATTTAAAACGAAAACAGAAGCGATGGCAAGATGGCCGCCTCAGATTCCATACATTCAACAAACGCATCATGGTCTATGATGAGAGGGGAAATTTCATCGGCGATATGCACTGGCGCGAGGACTTTGACTTCGGTGAGGGCGAAGAATTTAGCTTGGAGCGTGGAGCCGTCATAGTTCAAGTCGCCGAGTGTATCGGTAGCAAAGACCAAGACTTGACCGAGCTCCTCGATAAGAGAGCCAAAGAGGTTGAACAGAGATATTCTCGCTCTGCTGCCACCGCTGCAAACCAACCACATCCACCAAACCGGCCTTCAGTCCAGAACCCTCAAGCCCAATACCGGCAACGCCATCTGTCTGAAGTCTTCACTACTCCTCGCGGGCCACAGGGAAGGGCTGTCATACCGACAACGTCACCATATGAAGATCGACTCACAGCTCAACAGCCCTCGAGTCCCCATGACGAAGCTCAAAGGCCAGCTAAGAGGAGGAAGAGAGATGTGTCGCCGCCCAGCAAATCAGGCTATGCTCAGAATCTTTTTGGAGCAACCCTGAATCTATCATCTTGGTCGGCCAGCACCCCAGTACGAAGTCAGACTACACAAACACCCAAGAGCATTGCTCCCTCTGGAGAGGCATCGCATCGCCCGGTCGCTCTAAGCAGAAGTACCAACCCCTGTCGGCCAAAGTCTTCTACACTTGTTGATCTGACGGAAGATGCCGGAGTACCGGTGAGCAATACCACAGCCTCGGAAACATGTGGGTGGGAAATTCTGGCCACGAGTAAAACTAGTGCGCCAGCCAAGCAAGTCTCGTTAGGTCAAAGGCCCTTCAAGAGACCAGGCACGCATGTCCACAGAGACAAATCAGTCAAGAGGGACGTCGAAATCATTGCAGGGCCTACCGAGAAGCCGAGCCCTAGCTGTCGCCGATCTGATAATCACCTCGAAGCCTCAAAGCAAGTGGATGGAAGAAAAGGCACCAAGAGGTCGCAGGATGTCATACGAAAAGTAGCCACTCAGAAAATAGATCCTCGATCTAATGACGATGCGCTGCGCAAAGCTGCGCGATCCCACGCTCCAACCTCGGCAAAGAGGAAGGTGTCAGGAATCTACGGACACCACCCAGAGAATGAGAGTAGCTCAGCAGTGCCAGCAGTGCCTGTTACGGAGGGGCCTTCGGTACGAAATGAAGAGGCTGTAAATGCAGAAGAACCGAAGACCAGACTCCGCATCAAGACCAGAGAAAAGCGCGGTCTGATGGTGGCGAAGAACGTCACCGCGAAGAATAAAGAAAGACAACCGGATTCACTTACAGCTGGGCCGACCCGGTCGAAAGGACAGCTCAGGACGGATGTCATTATTTCGGAGACTAGTCTTGCCACATTACCTGTGTTGCCCGTCGAAAATTCACGAGGGCTTCTGACGGATGGCAGTTGCATGGAGCCCATGCCAGAGTCTAAACCGGCAGAGATTGGTGTTGATATAGCGAAAGGCCACGGTCGACCCGGCCAATTAGCCGATAGTCTCGTCCAGCTGGAGACTCTCGACAAGGAAGCTTATCAGTCATCCGGAGAGTCTTTGCAGCCAGTGCGGACAATGCGGACACGAAACTCTCGACTCCGCTCAGAACCGCAACACGACATGGAAGAGAAGGACACCAACCCTGGCCCACGGTTGGCGTCTCTTGGTCGAAGGACTGTGAAAAGTAAGGAAATCATTGGCTCTTTTGATAGAAGACATCTTCGCCCAACCCTCGAAATCTCAGTCGAGACTGTAGATCCCCAGAGAGAACCCCCGGATCCTGCTGGTAGTCGTTTTGAAGCCAACTCATCGCCTTGCGAAACGTCCGACGGTGTTCGGCAAGCCAGCTTAGGGCCTGCCAGGGCGAGTCGACTGGAGAACCCGGCGACGAGGGGGCGGAAAGCGGCACAGAAGTCAGATGCTAGTGGTGCTGCCCCGCAACCTGTCTTGCCAGCTGATCTAGATTCCTCTTATGGTAGGAACTTTAGCAGAAGGAGCAACAGATCAGAAGCCAGGCTTGGCGCTGAAACTGACGTGGCGTCGGGTGAAGTTGAAAAGAAGCTTCCGGGTTTTCAGAGGGCAAACGGAGGTCCCTGGAGCAAAGAGGCGTATGATTTGATGGGATGCACAAGGCCGGGGTGACATGGCCTTCCACATGGCATGACGTGCCACTCCTACAAGCACAAAGGCAAGCAGGCGACACCACGGAACCCGATCCAAGTCCTTGGGGTGTACTTTAGACTTCGCATTCCGAGGAGGCGGGTCTCGAATATCTCACACTCGCCGAGCTCCTCGTACCTAAAATGAGGATGTCATTTGGGTTGGCGCATTGCCAACAGTTGACCGTAGAGTGCTGCGCAAATACAGCACGGTCGAATGCCACACATTTTACATTGGTCCGAAATATTGCAGAACACTTCGAACTAACTATTTACGGTGTCAGTTCTCGGGGTTCACATCGACGGAACCCGCACCTCGTGGCTGCTGCCTCGTTTGACACCTTAGATGGCGATGAGGTAGATGCGCATCAGAAACTCTTGGGATCCGGGACTTGAACCGGAGCAGAGTCGAGCAGGTACTTCTCCCTTCGGGAACTCAGATGAACGGCTGCACACATAGTCAAACAGAGTGTAGCTTGGGCAGATCCTTTGATTTGAACGGAAGGGAATTCTATCACCCGCCACCAAGGTCTAATCCACTCACTGGTTATCACAGTAGATCCCTTCGTCTCTACTATTTATTGGCCTTGCGCGGCGTACGTTTTCTCATGAACAGCAGAAGCCATGTTGACTTTCCAGTGCCACTCGAATTCAAGAGCGAACCGTCGTTGATTTGCCTCATCGAGTGGCGCAAGACACCTGTTACTACCTCCCTATAACTTCGAACCCTGGCCACTGATGCAATGACCGCCTCTCGGACCAGCCTACATGCCGAGTCCAGCGGCCGAGCTCCCAACATCATCATTGAGCCGTACCATCGTCAGCTAATGAAGCTCGCAGATGTCTTAGTACACAAGGACCTATGAACAGCTTCATAGAAACCAGGACCCCTCCTATAAGGAATCTTAAGTCGTCCATGAACTTTTGCAACATAAAGGTGACAATTTGCAAAACCTCAACCTCTTTTGTAATGACGAGATACTGCCTCTTATTGACCATACCGGACCCCTCCGTAGACATCACAGCACCGGCCCTTTTGATTCGGATTGCAAAAGCCAACTATGGTAAAGAGACGTCCAGCAATGACCAAGTTCGCTCAAATTTCCGCCGCTCCTCTCCACTCCATCTCTTGCCGGTAGTATCGTCGTCACAACGACCAGCTCGGAAATGCTTCAGCTGTGGCAACGCGGGCAGGTCGGACGGTTCCGAAATATGGCTTTAATATCTGTTACCATGACAGCATCTAGGAGAGCCAATTTTATGCCAAGCCTCCCCTCTCCAGAGGATATGGTTCGCCATCATAAACCATCACAAACCAATCAGCCAGTGGCCAGGGACGGAAGCATTATGCCAGCACGCTCGCCTGTGCGTCAGGCTTCCACTGGAACGGCGGCAATGGTGAAGGCCATTTCTGCTCCATATCCATTTCATGAACAATGATGATGGTACGAGGCATACACTTTCCGATCAGAAGGTCGAAGCACGAAATATATGTTGCGCATGAATAGTTTTGAACTGTGCAAGCTGAAGCTCGAGGAGCTGTCTTTCGGACGGTGTCCGCCCTTTTCGAGTATTAGGTCGAGGGTGGTTTGGACAAGAACCAGCTTGTTGTGCACAACCGGCTTGGGCACGCAGCTGGTTAAGCCCTGAGAGATCTGCTTGCCAGGGAAAGTGGTAACTCCGGCTGGTTCGGCGAGTTCTTAAGCCTTTGGCATGTTAGGACACCTTTAGGCCATTCACAGAATAAGAATACGACGGTGCTGATACAGCATCTGTATGCAAACAGAAGCGACGATTGAGAGCAGACGCGCAGGCTTAGGCAGAAGAATGCGAAGCCTCCGCAATCGCTTCCATCCTGACTAGCCGGCATTGGGCGAAGCTCGGGATCGAGTTCTGTCTGAGACTCTACCCAGATGAATATTCAGCACCGGTAAGAAAGAAAGTAGAGACAAGTGACGAGAGGTGTATGTCGTCAATTATATCTTTACTACCTGTACCTCGTTCCTTTCCACTTGACAAAACTGGTAGACTAGTTGGGTATTGAATGCCTTTACAAGCTGGACGGCTCAAGCCCGAGGGAGCGGAAGGATTCCCCTGAATCCGAAGAAGCAGACTAGCGTCAAAACGGCATGCCCATAATGCGACAAAAGTACCATGCTTGGTCCATTTGCATATGACTGACCGTTGTGTTCGTACCTGGACTTGATGACACCCTGGTTGACTTGCACCAGTACGGCCGGGTCAGCCACGCACTCGTGTGCCACCCGGCAGGTCCTGCTGTCTGCGTGGTGGCATTGACAGGTCAGAGAGGAAACGGGGATGTGCATAGCCTCGCGAGGTGCCTAAGTAGCTAGACACCGACGAGCTTAACCCAGAGAATTTCCGGCACGATGCGGAACTTGGAAGGCCAAATAAAACTTATGCACTGTACCTTGGTCTTCTCCAGTCTGACCGTCCTAAACTTCACGTACCCGTCGTAACTTGGTACTCTTGGCTCTTGTCAGTCCAAGCTGACTAATCCCCTGCATGTGGGGCTCGTCGCCCCGCGTACAAGTAAGGTACCTTGGGCAGTGTGACATCGATTGATATCCTCCCGCCCTCCCAACTGAAGACACTACGTTGTGCTGCGTCTGGGGGACCTTTGGCATCATCTCTACGCCTTCCGCCGGGGTCATGGTGCATAAAACAGGTGTGTATCGGATACCTCTCGGTACCTCGTTGCCTGCGACGAGAGCTTGTGGGTGAAGGTACAGCGAAACTCCAGGCGGGTTGTGACTGGTTATCTGAAGCCTCGAGCGGCCGCCATTGGGTACAGGTTGACTCACTTGAGCCACGTGACCTTGGCTTCGCAGTTCGCATCCAATCAGAGACAAGAATGCTCGCCGAAAACCCAGCGTCCGGCTCGCAGTTTGTGGGGCTTCTACGCCAATAAGATACTTCCAAGTGGGCCCTCAACCCCTCATATGCACCCTTGATTGGCCTCGTCCCCAGACACCGTCAGCGCCGCGCTAAGCCGTATTCATCTCGCCGACGAGCTCAATCAAAACCACCGGCTGCGCCTTGCTGGGGTACCGATGTGCTCCCAGCCGCGGCCTCAGCACTGAAATACCATCCATGACTCCGGCCTGACCAGCTCATTTATTTCTCTCTCGTTTCTCTCTTTTCAATCTTTCAAACTGAAAAGCCAGAAACGTCGATTAGTAGACTCGAGTGAAGCCACTCCGAAGCTGGAGAACATTCCTTGTCCCGTCTCTTATCCGCAATTTTTCTACCCATCAATACTCCATCAGTCAACAGGAATCCAAGTTGCTGACAAACTGTCTGCCCTCTGCAAGCTTCGCCCTCAGAGAGACAACTCCCCATCGGAATCGATCGCCTCGAAAGAGAGCTTCCTGTCAAGGTGAGCTTCATTCCTATCTGATTTAGAATCCCCACCGGTATACCCAAGGCAGTATGTAGTGTCTCAGTAGAGGCCTGAGGAGTTAGACACTTCACCCGCACGATGTACCTTGTACCACTCTCATGTAAACGCAATGAAACCTCCCTCCCTCTCTCCCTTCGCCTTACCTTTGCTCGATGTACAAAATATTCAGGCAGCTTAACACATCCTATTGCGCCGGTCCAAACAGTTACTTATCCACCTTCACTAGTAAGCAATCAACCAACGTCGGAAACCATTCAGTCTTCGCTACTGTAGGGATCCAATCCCCCCTCACTATATCTTCCACATTTCGCCGCATACCTTCAGTTGCCAACACTATCAACGCAATGTCCGGCGTGATACGAAATCATTCGACCGTTACCTTCCAAGGGTTTTCCATCTCACAGCCTTTCCTCGGCGCGTCTTTGCAGTTCTACCCTGAGATGGGTACTCAGGAACTTGACGACCTCATCAACGCCTACCTCCCCGGCTCTGTCTCCATCCAAGAGAAGCGTGCTACCGTCTCCATGGACTTCTTCGCATTCTCTCAGCTTACCGGAGAGACATTCAAGTACTATTCTGTTGTCAGCGAATCCTGCAGCTCCGCGACCTCATCTGCTGGATCTAGCCCCAAGCAAAACTCTAGCAGCAGCTCCAACTTCGTCTCCCCGGTCATTTCCGACTGGGCCTGGTCTCAGTCTACGCCTAGCTCAGCCTCAGTATCTACTCCCTCGTCCGCCACCCAGGAAATTATATCCTCCAAGACATCCAAGAGGACGACACCGTCGGCAACAAAGTCCCAGGCCAACGACTTTTCCCACCTCCCTGGAATGAAGATCATGACAAAAGATGGTCGCGACGTCACAAACTCTGCTTCCCGCGGATGCAAAACCAAGGAACAGCGTGATCATGCGCATCTGATGCGCATCATTAAGGCATGCGATGCCTGCAAGAAGAAGAAGGTTAGGTGCGACCCCAGCCACAAGAAGCGCACCACCACACAGGCTCAGGGCACCACTGCCACCCCAGCGCGGTTGGCAAAGAAGGCCAAGACGTCCAACACGAATTCGCGTGCGGCTATTGAAAGATCACCACAACCGAGTAGCACATCATCTCCATCACCAGCGTTGTTTACAGAACCATCATACACGGGTCTCGAGATTCTCGATATGCCAGCCAGCCTCTCACAATCCTGGGAGTCATTTTTCCAGTTTGACGATGAGCCCGCCAATGTCACTCCTTTCGAATACGACTTCTTCTTCGACCCGGCGGGCCACCTCACCCCTGAGTCTAGCCAGTCTCCCACTACTCCCTCGATGGTATTCAGCCAGCCGCGGGACAGCTGCGACGGCCTGCAAAATACGGTCGCCAGCAAGCCATTCCCCGATGAGCTCGACGCTCGGCCTCCGACCCTTCCGTACTTGGACTCTTCCCCGCGTGCCAGCAACTACGTCGACTTCAACCTATACTCGCCCGAGCCGAGCTTCTTGGATGACGATGTTGCACTGCTCAATGACATTGGCACTACCACTACTAGGGACCAGAACACACTTGCTCAACGCCGCGGCTCGTCTCAAAGCGGCCAGTCGTCGATTCGGCAACAAGTGCACCTTGGTCGTTCCCCAACGGCGTCAGACGACTATTTGGCAGACGATAGCATAGTAGCGTCATTCTGGGCTACACTGGGAGGATCCAGCATCGTAGATCGCCGTCACCGTCGCCGTCCATCATCAGTGACAGCACGTTCTGGAGTATCACAGCCGGGCGTTTCAATGGTGCGTTTTCATTACACGGTACAGCCTACCCTTGTTCTGACTATTCTGACAATCAAGCAGAGTGAGCCTACGTCTCAATCGTGCCTCTCCGACGTCATTTCTCGCACTGTGAGCTCACAGCAATTGGCGGACGCCCTGCCAACCAGCTCGCCACAGCTACTACCACAGCCACATGCTTCATCACGCTCTGCCGACGGTCTTTCTGGACTATCTGCTACTCCACTTGTCGGGGTAGGGGTACTGCAGGTAGTAGGCGGCCAAGCGCAAACTTCTGCAACCAGTGTTTCTTCACGCTCACAAGCCATGATTGAGGAGGCCCCGTACTCCATGCACACCACGAGGGCAACTAATGGCCCCAATTATCACGGAGCATCCGACAGCAGAGTTTACAGCAACTCTTCGAATGCCCAACTCCAGGTCACCAGGCTCAATTCGTCAGAAAGTCGTCACATCACCGCACAACACGTTCCCCAGTCCTCCACCGGCGTCTTTGGACTAAGCGGAGCACACTCCCTGATGGCGGCGGTGGCGGGTGGCAGTCTGACATCCAAGCGTCGCTCCCTTGTCGACTGGTTATCCATCTCGCAGTGTCTAACCTACATAGCACTGCTTGCGACGGTGTTCAGCGCGATCGCGGAAGTACTCCAGGCACAGGCGTTTGTCAGCCGACTCACTCAACTCGCTGTTGGCCTAGCGATATATAAGGTCTACCACTCTTACTCAAGTCTCTATGACTCGAGACCGGAACAGAGCCATCTTAGTACCTCTACGCCAAAGCCGCAGGGCTTGAGCGACGGCGCGAGGCTTCTCTCCTGTGTCAGCACGAGACTACGACGTTCCTGTCGACAGAACCAAAACGCACGATCCCCGATCAAACGAGCGGGGATAGCTTGGGTTCTGGGCCTCGCGCAAGAGTTCTCATGAATTATTGCGTCGATCTGCGGCTTGGGCTAATGGTCCTAGCTTGCGTGGATAGGAATAGTTATCGTAGTGTTTTTGTTGCTGGCTACTGGGAGCGTTGGTTTCTGAGATACCCCTCTGTTTTTTTGATGAGACGCGCATTCCCTGACGATGGGATGCGTGTCAGCTATATCATCGGGCAAGGTGGGGTTGTATTGTAACAAGCTGGAACCAGTATACTGGACACTCGGCAGCTGCATACGAACTGCTTCATAGTCTAGTCGGATTTGGTCGTAGCGTTGTGCGATACAATATAACCGCCTTGCTCACAACTGTGCGTCTTCACTTTGGCTCAACATGTGCCTGTAGATGGACTCGGCCAAAGCAAGTGTATAGAATGTCGCACCAGGGACGTGTTTAGTCAAGCTGAATGCTTGCGACGTTCGGTACCTTACTTCAACGGGGCCAGTGGTCAGTGCCACCGTTAGACAGTGGCGTCACGTGATTTTAAGTGTTCCCACCTAATGCAAACTTCATCAGTCATGTTAGATAGGGTAGAGAGGTATTGCTATGGCTGATTCAACCATCGCTCCTTAGAAGTTGGCAGGAGAAACGTGACTTACAACCTAACCTCCCATCACAGTGAGTAGCAGACCACCAAATATGTCTACTGACTCTGACTTTCTAGAGTGACGTGTGCTGACCACGGGTAGACTGAGTCATCCTTGTTTGTAGGTTCAGCCACTGTCACTCCACCTGCCATTTACCACAAAAAGGGCCTTAGCCAGGTCATTTCCCAATACAGGTACCAATAATTGTATACGGATTCATTTCAAGCGTTCGTTCCGCCTTGACATCAAATTGCAACAGAGAACGTTTGGCTAGAACGTCTTGCCCTGGGCTTCTACTGCAGCTGTGGAAAGAGGCCGCAGAGTCAGACAAGGAAACCGATGGCATCAGAGTTCTGTGACACTTTTCTGAAAACTTGGTTCTTTGCTTCCTTGGAACTTCCCCATTCAAGAGCCAAACAGCAGCCCTTGGCAATTTTGGTTCTTGCTTAATAGGAAGAACGTCAACAAAGAAACCTCTGGCAAGAGACGCAACCTCATCACAGTCTTAACCTACCTTGCCTCGGGTGTCTGTCTACCTGACCTGACAGGCTCTAGGCAATCCGGCACGTCTTCGCACACGAGAGCTTGTATCAATCTACCTTGTTCGGTCTCATAATACGCTATATCCTGCGTTGTGCCTGAACCTCTCGATTTCTTGCCACTTGCTGAGACCACTGTGCCTTAGTTCGTTGCTACAAACTTGGACGGCACCGGATTACCTAGGTACACAAAGCAGGTAGCCTCCATCCTCAACTCTCCGAGAAGGTGACCAAAGTCTGCATTACAGGAGTCATCTGGTGTTTCTTGCACCCTGGTGCTCATTGTACTTGGTGGATTGAACTTGTGAGGGTATAAGTTAGAAAGGCAGGCACCGAGGTAGTTCCTTCCCAAACCGACCAACATGAACGCTCCTACCGCCTCAGACGCATCCTCGGGCGGGTCTGGTTCTGGGCCTGAATCTGGTTCAGGAACTCAGGACAGAGATAAAGGCAAGCGCGCTTCATCGACAAGCAAGTTTCTGCAAAACATCCTCTGCCGCCTCAAAACCTCGCTTACCCCCAACCCCAAGTCACCGTCCCCGTTTCCTTCCTCGCCCACTTTATCCCCCTCCTCCAAGCTACCATCAACGATCACCGCCCAAATACAGTCAAGCCGGGCAGAGCAAACGTCAATGGAAGAAGACTCAAGGATGGCTGGCGTCATTACTCAACACAGTCGGCCGACTGTACCAGTGCTGCCTCTGCATTCCTCCAGCAAGGCTTCGATTCCCGCTTCGGATCATGACAAGGAGAACCGCCCCAGCGCTCCAGTGGTCCCCATCCCAGCTGCGGCCCTGAGCCGCCTCAGTCTTGAATCCATCGGTCGGCCGCGATCATCAGCCTCCATTCCTCAGAGTACGCTCACGCCTCCCGGCGAGAGACCTATGCACCAGATGCTCATGGACCAGGCATTGGATATGGTAAGAGGCTATAATGACCAGCAAGCCCCTACATCTCAATAAATTATTTCTAACTTGGTAATCAGGCTCGACTAGCACTGAGAACAAATGAGACACCCGTTGGCTGTGTCCTCGTCCACAACGGATCGGTCATTGCGAGAGGCATGAATGCCACGAACGTGACTCGGAATGGTACCCGCCATGCTGAGTTCATGGCATTGTCTGCACTGCTGTCCTACCGACCCAACAATAGTGAAGAAGCCGTCGATGCTCAGCTTCGCCAACAAGCTAGCGAACGTTCCAAAGCGGATGTTCCTGACGATGAATCGGACTTGTTTCCTGATGACGACGAGTATGTCAGGAAAGGCCACCTTTACCCATACGGCCAGAAGCTTCATCCCGCTCCTCGGGTCGACCGTTCCATCGTTAGGGAGTGCACTCTTTACGTCACAGTCGAACCCTGTGTCATGTGTGCCGGTCTACTGAGACAACTTGGTATCAATGAAGTCTACTTCGGCGCTGTCAACGACAAGTTTGGCGGAACCGGTGGCGTCTTCAGCATCCACAAGAACTCTACAGATACTCGCAAAGACCCTAACCCAGTCACCGTTCTCAGACCGCTCCAGATTAACGCCTCCAACGTGCCAAGGCCGGTCAGTTCTGCCTCTGGAACGAGTCTGAACATTAATCGTCCAGCGAGTCGGGGCGGTGATGGCGGAAATGTTGAGCCGGGCTTTGAGGCAGAAGGCGGCTGGGGCCGCGACGAAGCTGTCGGTCTTTTGCGGAGATTCTACGTGCAAGAGAATGGCAGAGGTAAGCTACTACTGGGGGGACATTACCATTGAGAAGTTGTAAGCTAAGACTTCTCTAGCACCGGTGCCGCGCAAGAAGGAAGGTCGCGCCGCTAGGCTGGCGGCCATGGAGCAAGCTGGAGGAGAAGCCGGAACACCTGTGCCATCCGAGGCTTTCGATGGCGCTGCCGGCGAAGACCAAGATGTCGCTGATAATGATACTGTTGCTGTCTCTAGCGGAAGTGATGACACGGACGAAGCTTGAGTGTGCGGTTGAGCAATCTCGACGGGACAGACGTATCACATACCACGGGACTTGATCATTAGATGGGGTTATCAACAATGGCAGGAATATCCACCATTCATCTTACATTGCCTCTATTGTATTTTTAACGAAGGGCAATGACTGGTGGACGAAAACGTATCAACGTTCGGGTATCCGATCCAACCCCCTATTATGGTACTTAGATGACTGAAATTCTGCGAAACTCCTTGAAAATGATTCATTTTACTCCGACCTTGAGGATCTGTCACCGTGGGGTGGTGATGGTCTCTCCGATTTCCTTGTTTTTGCCGGTGACAGAGCCGCCCTGCTCGGAGCTGATAGTCTTCTCCAAGGCCTGAGGCTCGGCAGCAGCAGTCTTGTGCTCGTCAGAGCGCCAGAAGTCCTTCTTTCCCTTGAAGACGCGGCGGACCCAAGGGGGCAGGATGCCGCCAGGAATGCGCCAGGTCCAGGGGTCTTTCTCGTGCTTGTTGTGGGGAACAATGCGGCCGCCGGATGCCTTCTCGATGACCCAGACAAGGGAGTTGATGATGATGTAACTGCAGACGCCGCCGATCAGGCCGTCAGCAATGGAGTATGTGAAGGGCATGAGGGCGAGAGTAATGAAGGCGGGAACCGCATCGCCCATGTATCTCCAATTGATCTCAGTGACGGCCCGGACCATCATGGACCCCACAAGGATCAACACGCAACCAGTGGCCCACGAGGGAATGGAAGCAAAGATGGGAGCAAAGAAGATGGAAATGAAAAAGCAGAGACCCGTGACAATGGCAGTCAAACCAGTCTTGCCTCCCTCGGAAATACCTGCACCGGACTCAACAAAGGCCGTTACAGGAGGAGTACCGAGGACGGCACCCACGGAGATGCTCAGCGCATCAACCATGTAGGCCACGGACGAGCCCTCAAAATCCTGGGTCTCCTCATCAATGAGGTTGGCAAAGCGAGCCATGGAGTAGAGGGTACCGGTGCAGTCGAGAATATCGACGTACAAGAAGGTGATGAGTGCGAGACCAAAGGCACCGCTGTATCCTACGACATTCCACTCTTGGACATGGAGGGTCCTCTGGATCGGGTGGAAGTCGACAACCTTTTTGAAGAAGTCAAAGTTGGAATCACCAACGGCGGTGTCAGGGAAGTAGGTGACAGCGGTTCCGCGGGGCCAGGAGATGATGCTGACAAGTATAATTCCAGCGAGGATGGCGCCCTTGAAGCGATACATCATGAGCATGACGGTGAAGATACCACCACAGAAGATGCCGATCCACATGGAAGGGTTGCGCATCTTGGTAGAGGAGGGGCAGAGGCCATCACGCTGCTCACTCTGAATGCAACCGGCCAACTCGAGGGGGGTGGAGGTCGCGCCGACAATCAGACCAATGCCCTCGCTGTAGGTGAGACCGATGAGGGTGAGGAAAAGACCGATACCAACACCGGTGGCGAGCTTGATGGAACGCGGGATGGCGCGAGCGAGCCATTGGCGCAAACCGAGCAGGGCGAGGCCGAAGAAGATGAAGCCCTCGATGAAGATGGCGGTAAGGGCGACCTGGTAGGGAACGGCACCAGTTCCGTGGTAACCGACGACGGAGTAGGCGAAGTAGGCGTTCAAACCCATACCCGGGGCACAACCAACGGGCATGTTGGCGAGAAGACCCATGAAGAAGGTGGCCAGGGACGAGATGGCAGCTGTGGCGGTGACGATATCGCGCTTGACCTCTGCCACACATAGCATGTAGTCCTGGTCCTTGTCGCAAGTAAAATCAGCCTCGGTACGTGGGCAGACGCAGGTACCGCCGGAATCGGCGACGATGGATGAGTTGACGGCGATGATGTAGGCCATGGCGAAGAAGGCGACGAGGCCGGCACGCATCTCGGTGAAGAAGAGTGATCCCTTGCGCTCACGGGGCTTTTGAGGTTGAATGTCATGTCAGCGTGTTGTTGCACATTGTTGCATGGAACGTACACCTGGCGCGCTTTGCGCGAGGTCGCGTGAGGCTATCTGGAGAGAGAGACGGGAATTGGGACTTACATGACCGGAGCCCTCGAGCTGGAACCACCGACCGACCGGGCCGGCGGCGATCTTGGCGTTCCACGTTTGGACGAACCCCATTTTGGCACACGAAATTTTCAGTCCTTTCTTTGTTTCCCGATCCCTTTGGGCTGGTACTGGAATGGCGATAAGGAATGTGTCGTAGTCTTCCCAAAAATATGAAACACTATCGGCAAGTAATAGATAAAAGAAATGTGCCCCGAGATCTGCTCAATGCTGGCAAGTCAGAGTGAGATTGTGGTGGCACTGTCAAATGGCAGGAAAGATGCCCAAGATCGAGCTGCAAAATAAAGCAAGACAAGCCGAAGCCGGTCTACTACTAGTTTTTCTTGACAAATGCGGGAGAGCAGATGACCCAATGGGATGAGATGAGATGTGCCTCCGATGGGAAAGCTGGCGGCGACGGGGGGGTGGGAGACAAGCCTTGAAAGATACAACATCAACAACCAAGAGGGCGGAACGGTCGATGGTTTTATCAATGGCCAGGACTGGCACGGGCAGTACTCATATCAGGATAGAGGCAACGTACCGCAGCCCTCCCCTCGTGGACGAACGACAACGGCCAGTCGCGTTATCAAAGAAAATCTCGAGCCATTATTTATTAGTGTGAAGGATTATCATTTGCTGCATCACCGGAGGGGTGGGTGGGCAGCATGGCAAGGGCCCAGGCGTGGTGGATCAAAAAAATTGTGTACTTTGTCCGGATAGCTGAGGTCGCCAAGACCAAGATGGCAACTAATTAGGAGCTGGGAGGGGCATGGGAAAGAGTGAGATGGAAGACTGACTGGGGGTTTGTTGAGACTTGAGAGTCACTGTGGTATCCGTACGGATAGAGTGATGCGATGGACGAAGGCGAGGCCAAGCCAAGAGTCGAGGCCACCCCCCCCCCTCCCCTCAAAGGACTAGCGCAACGCCTTTATCCTTGTCCCGATTCTTTTTTTTTTTTTTGCATGCAATCGCATGAAGTCTCATCGAGCTCACCGAGTTCTTGTCTCAGTATCCCCGCCGCGCAAAAGCTGCATACACAGCATCATGGCGCGGCGTAGCATACCGGGGCGGACCGGCCTCGAAGCGCGAAGCCGTGTGCCGAGAGAAGACCAACTCAGCAACCTAGACTGAGCCAATTTTGGGCACAGCCTTCTTGCTGCTTGTCTCCTTTGGAATGGGGTCTGAATACTTAATGTGAGCTTGTCCATGTGGGTGTGTAACGTGGAAATGTGGATGCGCCGAGAAGACACATGCGCGGGATGGCGGCGGCGCGGCATGTCATCCAATGGCACAGGCAAAGCCGCAATAGAGAGGTATCGGGCCAGAGCGATGAGAAAAATGACAGGCCAAAAGCAGCGTCCCAGCTATCTGGGCCGTGGACAGGCTGTCTATCGCATCCTCCCATTCCGTAGCCACCAAGCTATCCAAAGAGTCCCGTAAAGTAGAGTCGTCTCAGAAGCTCAGACACAACGATGACCATGTGGTAAGTTGCGACTTCCTAACCCCAGATGGCATCAGGTGAGGGAAATAATGGAGGAGACGCTTCGGACCGTCGGCTTGGTGGCTTCTTTGGTGATTGGAACCGTCTGTTCGTTATGGTCCTCACGCCTGAGAGGCCGCTATGCTTTGCCAAGCCGCATCGATAATGCGCCGTGTCAGACGCCATGGAGAGGGCATGCAAGGACAGCAGCATGGCATGTTGTTGTGAGATTGTGGAGTACAAAGAGATGGCGCTTAAGCAAGATGTAGGTATGTAGGCAGCGGGGCCGACAGACGCGTCAAGGTAGCTGAGGGCGAGGCAAGCCAGTTCAGGCTGCAGATACTCCGTTCTGCATGGGGAGATGGCCGGCTGGTTCGAAATCTGGATGGATTCCATTCGCAATCAATTTGTAGTCGTAGTGTATTCGTAGTGGTTGCCCAGAGTGAGATGCTGGGCAAGCATGGTTCATGATGCGTCAGTGACAAGCGGAAGTGGAAAATCCGATCACGTATAAATCGAGTGCGGGGCCGAAAATGAGCATCGCAACAAAAGTGCGTGCAGCTCGGGTGAGAGACGGGTCCCCCTACCCTAAGATCCCCAGAGGAAAGAGTTGCGCAACGCGACCGGGCCAATCACCAACAAGAAGGGTCGGACAGGATTCAGGAGAAAGAGCATAAAGAGACGGCAGTGCTGCGCTACCTTACCTCAGAAGAGGCTAAGGCCGTGTAAGTGTACCATAGTAAGTGAATTGCGGATACACTCCGCCTGCTTCAACAGGAGGAAACTGCGGAGCTAAGGCAAGGAATTGGGTATCGCAAGCCTGTATTTTTTTGGTCGGTGAGCCGCCCTCCAGTGCCTCCACTGGATCCCACCGGTTGTGGAACCTGCTCGTGCCTACCTACCTACCTATCTTATTGAAGGTATGTGTACACTGCAGTACCTTAAACTGTGACAAGTTGCAAGTCGCAAGTCGCAACAGGATCAACATGGAAGGAACTCAATGGAACCAGGAAACTCGCGCCTTACCCATCCTTGCCTCAGCTAGCTGGCTTAGGTCCCGACTGCATATCCGAGCAGCGTGTTTCGGTGCTACTGCACCCAGGCATGGGCGGAAGCCGCTCAACGTTACAGGTTCCTTTCTTATTCAATCTCAGCTAGCTGCCTTGGTACCTGCTCTGTGCTGTAGGTACCTTGCCACGCTTGCCTTACCTTAACTTGTGTGCTGTGTGTGTCCAATACTGTCGCCGCTGCCATCCTTCGCCCGTTCCCTTCCCGCTGTTCCTTCCTTCCTTATTTCTCCTTTTTCTATCCTTTGTGCAGAGAAACGCGGGATCGGGCGCCTCGATCACGACGTACAGGAGGTCCCATTGTTTCCCCGGCAAGTGCCGGGTGCCTATGATCGAATACTTCGTACATGCTCTGCTCCTTTGCTCTTCTTCTGCAGCACAAGATTGCCTTGGGTTTCCTCCATCATCTTGGCGATACTCCAACATGGCGTTTACGGAGGCCTAGAAGGCAGAAAAACCATTAAAAATCATTAAAAAAAAAAAAAAAAAGGTCCGTCTCTCACTCAATTCGACCAGATTGCCCAAACCGGCTCTCTGACTGTCAGTTTCGGAAGCGGTTCTCTTGCTGGATCCGAGGCCATTGGCCGTGGCGGCACCCCACATCCGAAGCTAGTCCCTTCTAGGACCGAGCGGCCATACCTCAGCCGAGCGGGACCGTATCTAACTTCTCCGATAATGATGCTGACCCTCTTGAGCCAGGCTGGTCGGGTCGGGTCGTCTCTGGCATTTGTCAAGTTGTCAACTGGCCTCTGAGTTCTAATTAAGCTCTGGCAGCCTTATCAGCTCCACGGACACTAAATTCGAAGCTAGTTCCTCGTTTCCGATGCCCCAGACGCAATATTTCTTGGACTGTCGATGGCCTGCATCTGCTGCGTATTGAGCTATTGCCACGTGCAACTGCTCACCACGAGCGCGACTTTACAAAGTTCACGTCTTTGCTCGACTTTACTGATAAGAATCTTAGACATTATGCCACGGCCGAATCCTGCCCAGCCAGCTCTCGCCTTTACCGTATTATCTTGAATGTCTCGCTTTAGGTATTTCCGATCCCTACCCCCATGTTGAATGTACTTGTCTTGCCCAAGCAACCAATGTCAGCTGTAAGCCGTCATGTGATCTTCAATCTGTGGTTTGCGCAACCGGCCGCCGCCCAGTTCGGAAAGCGGCGCATCTGCCCACCAATACCAGGTTTCTCAAGCCCGAGCATTCCACACGGTACACTATTGACCCGATAACTCAAATACAACTACACGTTGTGGCGGTCTACTCCATTGATCGGTCAGATACGTGCACTCAGCTCCAACGGACAGCCCATCTGGCGTCTCCCATTCGTCTGAGCCGCTGGGCGATAGGAAACCCCCGGCTCCTGTTTCCCCGGTCTTTCACCGAATAATACGACTCGTCTACTTCTGTGAGTCCTATCAACACTGCCCGCCCAATCCGCTCTGGCCCACCCCCACGGATCGAGACAGGGACAACAATGGCACTAGTGCACCACCGCCATCTGACAGACTGACGAAACCCTCCTGTCCAGCATCTCCACAAAAAGGCGGAATGCCAAAGATGGCATTTTGACTCGCGTTACTTCAAAGACTGGCAATTGGCTCTCATTGGCTCCCAGCTCGCCTCTGTCCATACTACGTACATGGCTGGCCGCTGGGCTCGAGGGTTTAGAAGCTGTGGCGGTAGTGTTCAACCCAGCAAAGCCAAAAGCAACGTCTTACAGCTCGACCACGACCACCTACGCAGCATTTGTCCATATTAATCGCGCGTCTATCAAACCATCTACGCCGTGTCGTACGAGTCTACTATCAGGGCAACCATCGAGCTCGGAGGTCGGTCGTCTGATTTGGAAATAGTATAGCAGAGCACAGGTGCGTTGCTGCCTTGAGCTTGTGGTCACAAGCTCTCAAATGGGGGAATCATCTCAGCTCCCGACAGTCCTGGTGACTTCTGCACCGCTGTGTGCCATGTCCGCACGGCCCCTTGTAACCCAAGGGAAATCATCGTCGAGCAGTATTTTCAGAGAAAAGTGCTATCTTGGAACGACGTTGACGCATCGCAACCTCTCTGCCATCTTTCGTGCGCCTCGTAGTCGGGCGGTGGCTGCTATCCACAACTCCGCGTCACCCTAAGCCAAGCAGATGGGTCAATCGAAGAATAGACGCGACATCGCACCCGGAGAGCTGGGCGAACACGATGGGGCAAAATGAATGGATATGAGGCACACTACCCATGTCCCAGGGGGACTTTTTCTTATCTGCCAGGCCCAGTTTTCATGTACGGAGATTGCTGAAGATACTACACTAGGTACCGCAATCAGTTACAACTTCCCGCCATGGTCGGGTGGGTTTCTCTCCACCTTTCTTTCCAAGGCCGAATGCCGGGTATTCGAGATCATGGATACAATCCGAAACCGCGGTTTTGACGACCCTATCAAGCCCAGGAATTAAGCAGTAAGGCATGAGGCGAATTCTTTGGTATGGCAAGCCACCCGGGTATACTGATCCAGGCGTGCTTCTGACTGTGCCTTGTCTCCCTGACGCACACAGGTACAACACCGGTGTAGCTTTATACAAGGGGCCTCCTGCCCGTCCACGGTCCAAGCTGTCTTCTCACAATCACTGGCACCACCTTCATCATCTACTTCCTCCGACGAGTTGTGGCGACTCACTGCTTCTGCTTCCATGGCTCCGTGACGACGGAGGCAATTGCGGCAGCTTGATTTTTGAGTCAATCCCGGGACGTTGGTACAGGTACCACGTTATGAGCTACCGATCGCGGGAGAAGTGGAGTTCCCCTCTGCTCTCAGCCTCTCTCGAAGCCGGGTGGGGCCGGGCCGACAACGTGCCGACGATGGGGCAACCCCGCATCTCGCCGGGCGGGCCTTGATGAGTGGTCTGGCGGCTGAGATGGAGTTGGTGGCGAGTGAAAGCAAGTCCACGGGCGCTAGAGCCCTCGTTGAGGCAAGGTTCGGGGTAGATGGGACGTCTTGTCACCTAGGCTCGCGCCTAGTGCTGCTTGGTAGTGCTGCGTGAGGCAATCAGTCGACAGGGTGCCAACGTACCTGAGGACCAAGGATGCGCGACACCCTGCCACTTAGTATCGGCCGTGTCGAGATATAGCCGGCAGACCCATGCGAGCAGTTGCCAGGAACGCAAGCAATGTGCCTGATGCTTCCTCCTGGTTGGGTAAAGCATCTATGTCTGCGATTGACACGAGGCAACAACGCACCCACAAACTCGTCGGACGGCATCCGACCTCCGCAATCCCTGGTAACAGCACCAGGACCGGTGTGGGGAAACGACAGAACTTTAATCTTGTCTCTGACTCTCGTCAACCCCGAGCGAGACCAACGTGATTCTGAGCAGCCAGGGTGACCGACGTCGCGGCTCGTCAGACTTTGGCCTCCTTTCGCAGGACACAAAGGGAATTGGCTCTCTCGCTGAGGGTCATCGAGACGGGCAAGACAATCCACATTTAGGGAGCGGTGCTGGTGCCGTGCGGTCGCTGGGTCACATTCGATTCGCATCGCGACGTCACCGATCACTATGTGCCTCAATGAAAACCCAATCCCGCGCCGACACGGAGACAGCAACAAGGTTAGGGAGCATATCATGCATCGCAGACTCCTCTCCTCTTTTCGCGGGCTGGGTCACAGCGCTGACCACCAAGATCTGCTCTCAACAACTCAAACGCCCCTCTGTGATTTGTGAGCGTAAGCCGACGGCGGTCAAGCCATGTACTGCAGCGCCAGCGAGTAGGCAATGAGGTGAGCTACTCAACGGTCAACCGTCCTGCCATGAGTCGATGTGACGATATTCTCACGATGTAACGGCGAAAGCGCCACCCGCCGGAGAATTTGGCACCCTGCCGCGTCTTCTCGTCGATCTTTAGGGATGTTGGGTCATGAAAATCGTGACGGGTGGCCTCCTCATTCTACAGCCTGCTTCGCCTCGACCCAACACTCTGTGCGCTAACCACAGAGAGTTTTGTGTTTTTTTTAGGCAAGGATCATGGCGCAACTAGAGCGTTAGAAGGATGGCAAGGCGAACAGTAGCGCCATGACGACAATATCCGTGCAAACCCGACGTCAGCCGGCAGGGTGTTTGTCCTGGACCGGGCTACCGCCCGATGATACTCAAGCTGGTTCAAGGGGAGAAGCGCCAGACAGTGTTCCCCTCAGTTGGTTCAGATATAGTGACAAGTTGACCTTGGTGACAGTACTGTTGCAACCCGGCTGCTGTCGTCTGGAGGCTTCTCCAAACCTTTGTCAAGTGAGCATCAGCGTCTTACACACTCACCTGATGATGCGGCCAAGGTGCGTACATCATCGGTCAAGCAGGCGTTGGTGGCACCAGTCCCAGTGCCGGAACAAGCTGGGGTTGGAAAGCCCGACCAATTGGAAGTGGTAAAGCACCTCGAGGTGGAATGGCCGTGGAAGATTCAAGTCGTTAGGGATGATTTCGGACAGGGGCGAGGCGGCCAACGACATGGCAATGCCATAGGGACAATGGAGCCATGTCGTGACTGTACCTAGTCTGCTGCATGCAAGGTGCGTTGCGAATCAGCTCTGCGATGCAGCACTGCCGGGTGCGCTGCTGCTGGTGATTGTTGCACAGGGTTACGGACGCAGTGGCTTCGGAGGGCAAAGCGAGGAAGCGAGGTAACGAGGACGGGGATTCGTTTGCAAGACGTAAGAGTCGGTCGTGGACTCGTGCTGCAGGTTGACCTCATCTGACGTCACCGGGGCTGGACCCTGCATATCGCCCCAAGGTGTGAAGCGACAAGTGCAAGGTTTGTCATTGGCCGCTTAGATGACTCTCCACTGCACCGCCGGCAGCGCTCTTCTCCGCTGAGGTGCGCTGCAGTCCCCCGTCCTCGCCTGGGAGCGGTATGTGAGGTGCCCGCCCGGTGCAGTCCGCTTCGCATCCCGGGCCGGGTGAATTCTTCAACACAAGACAAGGTCCCCTTCTCTTCCTTAGCACCGTTGTATACCTCAGCTGCTAAGGTAAATCTATTTCATCGTACCCGTATAATACCAAGACAGTGGATAATTCCCGCGGTGTGTGGCAGATCCGTTCAACGGTCGACTGACTGGTCCAGCCCAGGGCAGGGGTTCATTGCATTTCTTCCATTGTCATTTCCTGCAACAAGGGCAATGTTGGTTCGCCGTTAGATTGTTAGTCATGGCCAAACCGCCATCCCCATGCACTATTTCGACTCGAGTCCTCATGCGCTCCTCAAGCCACCCTATCTGTATTCTACCCACCTAAGGACTCCCTTACTCGGGCTGTTCGTGCCACGTACTTAACCTGCCTACCTTGCCTTACCTCACTGTCCACCTCCGCGTGCTCCTGACTTCTCTCCTAGTGACTGGACGGAGGCTGGCACCTCCCGGTGAGGGAAAGACGCCCCCCCTCCTGCATCCAGTTCCAACTCCCCTCAGTGGACGATGCACAACGCACGCGACTGGACCGGTCCCAACTCAGCGCCAGCAGTAGCCCCCCCGCAAAACTCCAGCGGTCAGCCGATCGCTCTGGCGTGTGACGCTATCCTCCAGACTCCCTCCCGTCTCGTCTCGTCTCGTCTCGAGGCCTGCGTGCCTGTCCCTTCGTTGTGGTTCGTTCCTTTCGTCTATGGTTTTTCATCACGCTTGTCTTTGCTCTGCTCTGCCCTGCCCAGCCCTGCTCTTTCACCAGGTAGGCAATTAACTACCTACCCACACGCTTGACAATCACATATCCTTCCCCCGCCCTGCGCCTCGACCCATCATGGCCACCTTTGTGACCAGACCATTATATACACCATCAGAACTCCCCTTCCCTCACCCTCGGCACTGCTCTTCTACTCATTCCTGACATAGATCAGCGCCGGCATTGATATCTACCCACCTTGTTCTACTGGCTTTGTAGCAGAATCCATACATTCTCCCGCCACACCTCCATATCCTCAAATCCTCACATCCTCGCACATATTCTACTCCTTCCGGCCTGCCACGCGACTATCCCGAACAATAATGGGACGCTCTCGTCGCAGAGGCCCTGATGACGACCTGGACCCTTACGAGTCCTACGGCCGCCCTTACGACACTGCTGCCGACCCTTACGCCCAAAACCCTTCTCGTGGACGCAGTCCTGGCCCTCGTCGCCGCAACAAATCAGAACCCGCCGCCGCTCCGGCTGTCTATGATGACTATCAACGCGATCCCGAGTCTAGGGAACAACCGCGGAATTACCGTGAGAGTCGAAAGTACAGCAGGGACATCGTCCCGGAATCCCACGCCCCACAATCAGACCAGAGGGAAGATCGCAAGAGTCGCAAGAACCGCTACTACGACCAAGACACCTATCAACCACGTGCACGGAGCCACGGCCGCTCCGCCCGGGAAGCCCCCGTTACCGCTCATCATCGTGCCGATGAAGATGCCTTCGACGCATTTGCCCCTGCATCTCGCCGCGGCCGGGAGCGCCAACATGCATACCACCCGCCCCGAACAAGCGACACGAGGCGCTCCAAGTATGCTGACTTTGACGCCGAGCCCCGTTACTCTGAAAGGAGACGCTCCCGTTATGCCGACTACGACGAAGCCGATCCCTACAATGCTGAGTTGCGCCGCTCCAGGAATGATGAACCACGCGAGAGTGACAGGCGGCGTTCGCGCTACCCTGAATATGAGGGCGTCCCCCGCGGCGGTAGTGAATCAAATCGCGGTCGTCATCTAGATTCCGAGGTTGATCCCCGCTCCAACCCGAGAGGATATGCCGGCCACGGCCAGGGTGGTCGCGGTCGGTACATGAATGACTCGCCCGAGCGGTATGTCCAACCAGGCGGCGGCGGCCAGCAGCGCTCTGCCAGAGGCCGGTCCATGCCCAGAAAAGGTGCAGCAGGCGGTGCCTCCGGTGCAGCTCGGCCTCGAGCCAAATCAGCCGTTGGCTACGCCGCATTGGGTGAAGCCGCCCAGACAGCCTTCAGAGTTGGAAGTCAGGCAGCCCTCCAGATGAAGAGTGAACCCGGTCCGTGGATAGGTGAGAAGGGTACGCGGGTGGCTACTGCTGCCCTGGGCGCCGCCCTCGTCGATACGTTCGTTGGTCACAAGGCCACCGGCATCAAGGGCGGCATGCGCCACCAAGCTTTGCGCCAAGCATGTGAGATGGGCATTCGCAATTTTGTCGTCCAACCTACTGTAAATACGGCGACCCGACGCAGTGGGAGTTGGGGCGGCCATGGTGGCGGCAGCGGAGGAGGTCAGGGCAGCAGTGGTAGAAGACGGCAGTAACACTTCGGACTATCCAAATTATGCGAGACGCTACTTTGTAGTCGGGTCTTACAGTGTGTACCCATCCTCCCCCCTCATTCTTCTATGTCTCCCCTACCCTTCGCTTCCTGAGCATACCAATCCACCATCTTTTCCCTTTTCTTTGTGGCTAGCTACGGTTTTACCGAGCGCGTTGCAGGATATGGTGCCGGCTGGAATGCTCCTTAATCTGGGAACCATGTGAGAGCATATAGACGGTGAACGAGTCTCGAGGGATTGGGTGGGTTGGAATGCACAAGCATCCAGAGCAACGGCTGACAGGAGGCACGCCCCCCTCCTCTGTAATAAATGGGTCTGCAGCCAACATTTGATCACAGGCAAAGGATTTAACTGAGCATAGAGAAAGGGGATGCAGTGCGACAGCTTCGCCGTTCTCGCCACTTGTAAGTAGGAGAAACATGACCATAAAGACAAAAGTTTACTTCAGTGTAGCACCGTGCCTATGCGTCGCATCAAAGCAACCCCTGTGTAGGCACCGTAGCGTACATTGCAATTTGGCAAGCCTTCCTTAGTTAGCTACGGCCGTCTAGAAACTTAGTTGTAAAATCGAAGTCAAGCTTGCGTGGTAATAATGTAACCTGAACTCATATATGAAGATTGGTACTATTAGATCAGTAAGCAGAATAGTAGGCTTCAACTAGGTACTGGACGTTTTAGCTTGCACAACGAGCAGATCCGCCTTTACCCCAGCCGTGATGAAAACACCCGCAGCCAGACCCAAACAGTCCTGGATATCTTCTGAGACCCTAACAGACGCCTTGCCTTCAGTCGCTTTTATAGCGCTGCGCCGACCGAGAATGACCAGGTTGTGCCAGGTGACTTCTCGCGTATCCGCTCTGACACCTGACGCCGCATAGCTTGAGGCAGCCTCCAAGACATTGGCAGAAGAAGAAGTCTCAAACTTGATGCGTGAGACCACACTAGCAGGTGTGTGCGTCGACACGAAGCCGAAGTAGTCGCTCTCATGAGACTGAGATTCTCCCTCAGCCGTCCCAGTGAAGTGCACCACGGTGGCCTGTGCATTGTGCTTCTCACACAGTTGAAGCACCAACTTGAGAGCAAGCTTGTCATCGTTGCCGCCAAAGTACGGCATGAAAACCTGGTGAGACTTGTTCGTAACGGGAATTGTCGGGATATCGTGATGGATGTCACTGAATGAGTATGCTCGCGAGAGCTTGTTGCGATCGCTACTGAGGTCCGAAGCAGGTTGGGGTACACTGCCTTTGGGGAAGAAGATGCCAATATTGTGCTCCGGGGAGTCGAGGATGGACTTGGCAAAACCTGTATATGTTGATCCAAGCTTGTTAATGCTGTCGGCCGACAAGACTTGTGTGTCCACCAGGCTACCACTTGCGCTCCAGGGGACGAGGAGAAGGTCGGACGAGATATCCGAAGACTTCGAAAGGAGAGCTTCAGCAAAGCGAGTCTCGGGCATGATCGACACCTCGCCAGAAACGGCAACCTTGACAAATTGTCCAACGGTCCGGAAGATGTTGACCACAGGGTCATTCCGACTGAAATCGTCGACCTGAGACACAGTCATGACGGAAGAGTCACGATCGGTGAGATGAAGTAAGCGGAAGCCATGAGCCCGCACAGCCCTGATGCCGTTGGAAGAGCCCAAAGCGACTGTGTCTGACTTCACCCCAGCCTTCTCGTCATTTTGGGTGTAGTGGTCTCCTGAATCGGACTGTTTTCCAAACAGAGAGACTAAGTTGAGTAGGGCCGGCATATTGTCCAATCGGAGGTATACTAGCAGGCGCTGGACTCGGTCATTGGTCGGCTTGGCAAATTCGTAGTCGTCGGTCGATCCACTGTGACTCGCGATGGGTTCACCGGTGTCCCAGTCAATCTCACCACGCTTCCAAGCCTCAAGCTTCTTCTGATACCAGCGAGGATATAGAAACGATGTCAGAGGAGTGGTTGCGAAGGTGGTCAGCAAAGCCATGACGACGAAAATGGTGAAAGTTCTGGTGCTCAGGATCCGAGCCTGGAGGCCAATGTTCTGTGCTTCAATTAGCTTCCATCTCCGAATCCATCTCGTCATTGAGCTCTCCTCCGATAAGACGCCGAGGGTACTTACGAGGACAATCAGCTCGACGAGGCCCTTGCAACTCATTAGAGCCCCAATGGAGAAGGACTCTCTCCAGACCAGGCCGTTCAATCGAGCAGCGAGACTGGCACCAATGACTTTGGTCAAGAAGGCGGTGAATGTAACGGCAATAACGTATCCCCAGGTAATACCACTGTCAAGGAGTCCCAGATTGGTGTTGAGTCCGGAAAGAGTGAAATACAAGGGCAAGAATAGAGCACCAATCAAGTCTTCTAGCTTTTCAGTAACCTTAATGGCAAAGCCGTTCTCACGAGGCAGGATAAGGCCAACCATGAATCCTCCGAAGATTGCGTGGACGCCAATTATACCAGTAAAGAAAGCCGAGGTCAGGGCGATCAAAAGGATGAGTGCAATCATGCTCTGCGAAGGTCCGTTCTCGATGTTGCCCGTTCGTCGTAGCAGCCAGAGCAAAGCTGGTCTAACAAGGTATAACAGGAATAACATGTAGCCGACACACGCGAGAAGGATCCAAAGAGCCGAAAGACCCGTTCCAGCGTTGGCGAGTGCAACACAGAGGGCGAGGAGGATCCAGCCTGGGGCGTATTAATATTGTCTGATGCAGCCAACATGTGACGAAGCATAACTCACCGACAACGTCATTCGCGACACCAGCTGAAAGCACAATGACACCGACAGAGGTATCAAGGAGCTTCAATTCAGTCAGAATACGGCAAAGAACTGGGAATGCCTAGAGGCGATGTATTAGTCGGATGTCGATGGAAATACGACGGTGTAGAGCTTCTCTCAGAGCTTCTTACCGTGATTGCAATAGCAACACCGATGAATAGCATGTAGATAGGAAAGTCAATGTGCGTTACGCCCTCGTCACTAGAAAACTGGTTGTAGAGACCCCATGCAAGAGCGCAACCGAACGCAAAGGGGAGAGCCAAGCCGGCGAATGCAACTGAAGTTGCAACTCGCCAATTGCTGACGAGGAAGCGAACATCTGTCTCAAGACCTATGAGGAAAAGATAGAGAACAAGACCAAGATTGGCTACCAACGTCAAGTTGGGGATCGACTCTGTGGGGAAAATAGCAGCACGAAAGCCGGGGATTCGACCCAGTACCGAGGGTCCCAGAACAATGCCGCCAATGACTTCGGCTATCACCCGAGGTTGCCGAATCTTGGACAATGGCCAGTGGAGGAGGTGACAGACTATAATGATGAGTCCGGCCTAGATTTGGCAAGTAGCATGGATTAGCGTTTGTTGGAGAGAGCCGAAAATGGATCGTAAGATAGAAAGTCACGAACTTGGATGATAAACATGGTGATGGGATCCTTTGGATTATAATGCGAGGGGTTCGCGCCTTCTATAACGCCACCCTGTGAGGGAACTCTATTTCCGCCGGTACTGGCCGGCGCAGCTGAAGACGTTGCCGTCGCCGACAGCATTGCCGTGATGGATGACATGCTGACTGATGGCCCTTGACTTCTTGTTCTTGGCGGTTACTGGGCTGCTATTGAGGCACAGGATGACTACGCGACTGAGGGCGTGTGGAAGCGCGGGACTGCGCTCCCAAAGTCGAAAGGAGTTGACTGTGTGTGATAAGACCGAGCGAAAGGTGATACGGGAGAGACCGCTTCTTATATGGAGTTGCCAAGTGAGTACTAGCTATGGGTGGAAGGGGTGGGGGGGGGGGGGGGGGGGCGGGGAGGGGAGGGTGAGAGAGGGGGGGGGGAGGGTGGTGGGGGGGGGGGGGGGGGGGGGGGTGTGTGGGGGGGGGGGGTGGGGTGTGGAGTGGGGGGGTGAGTGGGGGGGGGGGGGGGGGGGGGGGGGGGGGGGGGGGGGGGGCAGGCTATTGTGGCCAAAGCATTCAGTCCCGTGGTATTGGTACCCTCCGCATGCACTAATCTGACATGTCGAGCGTGCTGTTCCGCGTACGCTGCTTCTCTCTGGCTGCAGCTGCCACCAACATTAGAGATGCCGGTACCTAGTTGAACAATATGGTTGGGTGTGAGTGAGTGAGCGAGAAAGTTGGTGGTATTGAAGCAAGTTGAAGGTTTTGGTCACTTGCCTTCCTGGCGGATTTAGTTCGCGACACGTGAAGATGTTTTGGAGGGGATGTGGAGGGCGGGGAGGGCGAGTGAGCAACGGTTTGTGGAGATGGGCACGAAGAGTGGGAGACTGTCTTACCTAGGTAAGGTAGGTAGCGGTACATAGAGTTATAGTGGACCCTGCAAGCATGGGGATTGAGTGATTGGTTTACGTATCCCAATATGAAAGGAACGCAAACAAGAACAAAATTGAAGCCAAGCCCAAAGGGTGTGGGCTGTCACTATCAGTCGTCGACTGATGCGACGGTAAGGTCAAACACCCAGGGCACCACCAGGCAAGGTGTATGCCTGGTTGCAACTTACTCCAAGGATTAAGAAGAAAAGAAAAAATTCGTTCCTGCTCTACAACTTTCCTGGAAGTCGCCCATGACACCGCATTTCATAAAAGGTAATTAAGATTCGTAGTGAGAAGGAATACGTATCTGTACACACCATAGGTTTTGCGTGATGCGCTAGCCAGGGGCATGCGAGTCATCTCATCGCCTCCTACTCGTCCCATACCGCACCTAGTCAATAACCAGATGAAGAATGGCTTCAGAGCAACATCTCATTGTTTTTTTCTGATATCCATCCGAATGCTGAGCTGGTCCCTTTTAATAGCCGTCTGTGCCACTTGACGGATCAATTGGGTTGCGGCTGGTAGTTCCAAAGACCTGACTTGACGTTACCCGGACCGCCCACAATGCGTTGTGGATCGTGCAGAGAATCAATGCTCCAACCAGGGTCGATGCCTGGCCTTATCTCTCCACCTCCTTGGAGGCCAGCCTACAGGCCGCCTCTACATGACGGATATGGATATATCGTACCGCTGCTTGCTGAGTGTTGACCGCTAGTCTAAAAGTAATCAATAGCAAACAGAGGACATACTCCGCCTACCTAGGAATGGGGGGAAACGCCCCAGATGAAAGCAGGTCTGCAAGGACTAAGTTGTAGCGATACGTAGATTTGGAGAAAGTGGACAGCGCGGGGAACAAGTAACCTTCGGATTGATTGGTGACCAGGGTCAGGCAATCCCGGTAGGCTGGGCTGAGCCACCACCGGCACCCTGCGTCAAAGTTTAGAGCGGATACCAGCGGCAACCAGAATTGATCCACTGGCCTGTGTTCCACCTGAAAGAGGCATCCGCCCTCGACATTTTCCCAATTATCGACTCTGCGTTCCATGAATCTTCATCGTCAATGGTCCAGGGCCCGTTGCGTGGAACACACTAATCTAGTTGGTTTCGCCGGCTCGCTCCGTCGCCTCCTGCTTCTCAAATTCCATTGTGCCACAATTAAAGTCATGCGTACGAAATCGCGGAAGAACCTAAAGCCGCGGGCAACGGTGGTGGTTCACGATGCAGTGCCTTGTGATCAGCCTTGTGGTCAGCTACCGTAGTGTAACTTCCCGGCTTGGTTACCTTAGCTGCGCCAAGAATAAGCGCAGATACCGCCGAAAACTAAGAGCCAACATACGTACTCTCTACTCACTACAACTAAACATTACCTTCTATTCAAAAAGTGTCACAAGATGTCCAGCGCACAACTATTACGGCCAGTTCGTCGGCAATAAGGGTTTATATTAAAAAAAAAGTCAAGGTTACAAAACGAATAATAAAAATTATTATTTATTTTTTATAAAATTAAAATTTTAAAATTTTAAAATTTATAAGTTTATTTAGTTTTAAATTAATATATATATATATAGCGAGCCGGTAATTATTATTATATATACGTTTTTATATATATAAAGTTTTATACATATATAAATAAATAATATTTAGCTAAGCGTATTCTTTTTTAATTTAATTAATTAAAAAATATTATTTTAAAATATAATAAATAATAATATAACTTAGCTTTATTTTAATTTATTATAAAAAAAGTTATTTTATAATAATATAGCTGTTGGTTTACGTAATCACAAGGTGATTTATTCGATCGAACCGTAGTAACGAAGGGTCAATTACTCTTATATTAATCTCTACGTAAAGTAAAAAAGAGAGGTTCTAACCGTTAGTTAAATCGCCGGTTAAACGCTAATATAAAGACCCTTAGATAGCCCTTGCGCTAGCGCTAACTTAAGGTCGAATTAGGCTTCTAATCCGATACTAACTATCTCTTTTTTATTATTAAATTTATACAATTAAAAAAGCAATTTAATAATCTTACAATAACATATAATACGCTAATAAAAATAATATTTATAATTCCTTTTTTATTTTTTTTTAAGCCTTTTTTATATAACTTATTTTTTTATACGTACTGTAATCGTTTTATTATTAATAAATTATTTTAAGCCTAGGTTTAAGTTCTATTTAATAAAAATATTTATTAAATTATTTTCGTTATTAATTTAATAGATTTTAAAAATCTTACGTTACTTATACGATTATTATAAGGCTATAATATTTATTATTAACCTCTTTTTTTTAATAATACTTAACTTAATAAAATATTTATATAATAAATAGGAATCCGTATAAACAATTATTAGTATTATAAATAAGGTTAATTAATCCGTAATCTATTTAAGCGTAATAAAGATTGCATAGGCGAGGTCGACGCCGTTAACTATTTTATAAACTTTAAAAGTTAAAACGCTTTTAATTATTTTTTTATTTTTAATTAATAAATAATAAATAATATTACTATAGATTATAAATTAGTCGTTTTTTATAGCCTTATTTATTAAGATAATGATATATTTAAGTTAAGAGGTTAGATCTATATTATTTACGAACGATTTATTAATAAAGACGTAGAGCTTAGTAAAGGCTAAATTTAATAGATAATAAGTTAGCCCGCGATTTAGGTTTATTATTTACTAACTTAGCCGTTTATTTAACGTGGTAATATTTTTTTTAATTAAATTTATAGTTTACGTTACTTTTATAGTATTAAACATTACTTTTAATTAGTAGATATTAATAATATATAATCTTTTTATTTATTTTATTTAATATATTTTTTATTAATTACGTAATATAAAGCTAACGAGGGTAATCTTTTTTTTTTACTTTTTTTAATAAAAAATAATAATATCGCTTTTAATCATAAAGATCCCGCTATTAAACGTTAATAAGTAATTAATAATAAAGATCTTTTTTAGTTTAATAGTAAATCCGGCCTTTTTAAACTTTTTATCTTTTTTTTATATAAATTTAATATTAAATACGCTTAGCGTATTATCGGTTTATACATTAACGATTTTATAGGGTCCCTTTAAATAATTAAAGATTAATAAGTATAAATCGTAAGTTAATATAATTATACTTAGCTATTTAATATAGAAATTGTGGTAAGTTGCTTACTAATAGGTTCTTAATTTTATTAGTTTATATAATAGCTTAAGTATTTTAATAATCGTGCCCTTTAGATATTTATTAGTTATCTTTTTTAAGAAGTAAATAAGGATCTTTTATATTAAACTAATAACGGATTACGTATACGCTTACGTAATATCCCTACTCTATATATAATATCTATTTTTAATAAAAGAAAAGATTAAAGCTAATATTAACCGTTAGCTACTCTTTTAAACCGTTAGTAATTACGTAAATAATTCTACTTTTTTAACGTTATTATATCCTTAAATTATATAATAAGATTTCTTATACGGTACGTTAGTTCTTTTGTTTTTGATCTCTTAAACTATATATAACTTAAAAATTTATAAATTAGTATATTTATTTAGATTATATAAAATAAAGCGATATACGCCTCGATTTTATAAAGTTTTTATTTTAACAATATTTAAAGCCTTATAAGGCTTGCCCTTTATAATAATAATCCTTTTTTTTTATAGTTTAAAAGCTAGTTCAAAATCTATTTTCTTTTTAACTAAATAGAAAATATCGACATAATCGTTAATTAATCCGTTATAATTAAAAAGCTATAGAATTAGGTTTTTCTAAGGCCGACCTTGCCGCCGTTATAGCGGATCTAATAGTTAATTATCCGATTTATTAACTATAACGATCTTATTAAAAACGATCTTTAATTAATTAATTTAGTCTTCGCCCTCTTAAATAAGAGGTAACTATTTAACTTTCTTTAGTTTTTCTTTTTTTTCCTTATAAATTATCTTTTTATTTACCTAGTTATATAGTCGGATCGCTATTATTATAATTTTAAATAGTTAGTCTTAATCTTTTATAATTATATAAAAGCGCTCATTAATAGAGATTAGTTTATATAATCCGGTTTATTTATTTACGGTATTTCTCTAAACTTATATATTTAAGTTTAATAAGATATTAAGATTTTATAATATATTAAGCCCGTTATATACTGTTAGGGCTTTATTAACCTACCTTCTCGCCCCTAGGTCCTATAGAGCTTATATTACCTTCTCGATCGCTTATACCTTTTAAA